GCTTACTCATCGTCCTCCCCAGTAGTATATAAGGAGGACTCTGCAGGCCTCTGCTCTTCAGTCGTTCTCTCACAGACTGAAGAGTAAGTCCCACACTACCTATGCTTCCTTACATGTTTACTTACTAGTACTTGTAGCCTCTCTTTGTGCGGCTTACAGGTACAGTACTATGCAATCATAGTCGTTCTCTCACAGACTGAAGACCTCTCTTTGTGCGGCTTACAGCCTTCCAGGTTCAGAGTTCATCACATCATACGCTGGCAGAGCCTCGAGCTGTATAGCGTGTTGTTGGTTCTGCCGAACCTGTGCCATCTCCTCCCGGAGCGTCGCCATCTGCACTACCAGCGGCCCTACAAGCCGCGGTATCGACGGGTCAGCGGCGAGGCGCTGCGAGCAGTCCTCCATCTGCACATCCCCCTCCGCCAAGTCGGAAGCTTCGGATGTGGGAAGAGGACAGGGATCAGGAGGAGTACGAGCAGAGGTTGATGCCGGAGATATCTCCTTGTCTTTGTCTTCATGACCAAGTGACGCCGGCGTGCGCTGGATGCGTGTCAAGTAGTAAGTGTATGCACTTAGACGGCTGACGAGATCCAAGTGAAACGTACGTATGGAGATGTTTCACGACATAACACAGGACGCGGCGCCAAATGTATCAACCTCATCGGGCAGCGCGATGTCCTCAGTTTCCGTCACGAGTGGGCCGGTCTGTCCCTAGATGGCCACGTATGAGCATTTGGCGAACTCCTGGAATCGAGTGGGCGAGTTATGTAGAGCCGAAAGACGCTCACGGAGGTGGGTATATTCGATGAGCATACGTCGCAAAGAGCGCCGGATGACACCGACCCTTCCGTACTGTACACGAGGCAAGTTGTGAGGAAACCCGGTGCGTCGACGGGAGCTTGCGAGCGTTGAGCGGCGAGGTCGAGTCGAAGCGGTGGGAAACACGAGAGAGTCGAGTCCGACGCGAAGTGAGTAGGAAAAAGTCGTATCGGAAAGACTGCCGGGCTTCGTAGATACATGCAGGTACTTGTAGCTAGCGGAGTCCGGGCCAGAAACGAGATCGGAAAAAGAGTGGAATCGAAAGGAATGTGAGAGAAGCTGGTCGAGGCCTCGCCGAGCGCGGGTGAACGAAAGGATATACGGAGTGTCCGTAGAGTGACATGATGAATGTAGGAGGCATCGATGAGATGAGTATCGCGGGCGATGGGCGAGCGTCACGATCACGTGACCGTGCTTCTCCCACCCGCGTGTTCTGTCCGCAAGAGGTCGTGGTAAGCGCGCCGCCTTACATCCGCCCTCCAGGCCTACTGTAAGGAGGCCTACTCACTTTTCATGACGACCACTGCGGGCTCAGCTTAGGTTCACGAAGCCGCTATCGTCCTTGTGGTCCACCGCCATAGGAGCTGCCTGCTCATCATCGTCCTCCCCCTCTGCATCAACATCAGAGAGGTACACCTGCCCTCCGCCACCGCCCTGCTGCTGCTGGACAGCGTCGTCGTCGTACTGCCCATCTGCCAGGCAAACATCCCCCAATGCGTCAACAATCGCACTCAAAAGGCGGTCGATCATTGACTCACTCTGGGGTTCGGGTGTGGCGTCTTCCTCACGCTCTCCGCGGTCCTCGCGGTCCTCAGGCTCGCGGTCCTCAAGCTCCTCGGTGTATTCACGGCGCCCGCGCCGGCCACGACGAGTGGGATGGCCGTGACGTGCAGGACACGGCTCACCAATACGATCGGTGAGTGGCCCGTTGTAGGCGTGCGCACGCGCCCGACCCCTGCCACGGCCGCGTCGAAAACCGCCTTGGTTCGCGCGCTCGTAGCGCGGGGCACCTCCGGTTGGACGACGGTCCCATTGAGATGTCGACGTGCTTGCCTGCTGCACAAGGCCGGCGATCTGGGAGTTGACGGTCGACGCATGGCACAGGAACGCGTTGAACGCGTCCGCGGTCATTGTGACACCCGGGATACTCGGCGCGGGCTGGTGCTCAGCGGCAACGAGCTCAGCATACTCATGCGGGCACGGTGCATAGCGCTGCGAGACTTTGTAGACGTCGACGTACCCCTCGGGCGGGTTGCCCGGGTACGGTCCCCTCTTCGCGAGCCAGGTGCGAAATGCGTCGGCGTACTGCTCCCAGCGGACACGGTCTTCAGCGTTGTAGGCAGCCATGGAGCGTAGTGTGTAGCCTGAGTGGGGTGCGATGGAGGTAAGGTTGTCGTCTCCTCCGCTCGATCGTTGCTTATATATTGTCCCAGTCTCGATCAACGTCGGTGTACGCTGACTCCGCCCGCCCGTCGGCACATCTGGAAAGGAAATTGCCGCCACTGATAAAATCGATGGCGGGGCTTCTACCGTTCCTGCGGGTACAGGGCGGCCACGTAATTGGCCTGCACTGCTCACCCCCAGGGCTTCAAAATATTCTGTCAGCGCCTGCAGGTGCTGGACATCGCGGTACGGCGCCCAGGTGACATCCCCAGTACTCCATTGGGCCTCGAACTCGGCGTCGGAGCCTCGGCCAGAGTGGGATATTATCCGGTCCACCGCCCACTCGCGTGGCTGCTCCCCAAAATGAGGGAGCTGGTGGAATTGCCGGCCGGGAAAACGGCGGTCGTCGTTCGGGAAGTGTGGCCGCAGCAGCGATGCATGGAAGACGTCGTGGATGCCCCGCGCACGGAGCTCCTTTGGCAACTCAAGTCGGTACGTCGCACCCGCAGACACCACCGCCGTGATGCGGAAAGGACCGAGGTATTTCGGTGCGAGCTTCCGCGCGCGCCCCTTCGGGAATCGGGATACTGAGATTCTTGGTGGACAGGTATACCAGGTCGCCCACCTGAAACGCCGCTGGACGGTGTCGGTGATTAGCCAAGGTTGTTTGGTCGACTCGCGCTGTTATGATTGCGTCGTGAGCAGTCATAATGGCTTCCTTCATGCGCTGCACAAACACCTGCACGCCAGGGTACTCAGAGTCATTGGACCAGACCAGGGAACGTGGCATTTGTCCATAGTTTAGGTAGAAAGGTGAGAAGCCAGTCGTCTCCGACCTTGCCATGTTCAGAGCTAACTCCACCGCTGGCAGACGTAACACCCAGTCCTTCTGGTCGGCCTGGACACACTGGCGGAGCATTTGTGTCATAGTACGGTTTGCTCGCTCCGTCATGCCATCGGTCTGTGGGTGATAGGCTGATGAGAGCCGTAGTTCGGTTCCCAAGAGTGCATGAAGCCGCTTCCAAAAGATGCTCATAAACAAAGTGTCTTGGTCGCTGATTATGCGCTCTGGTAAGCCGTGTAACTTATATACATGTTCGAATATGACCTCAGCCATCTCCGCTGCCCCGTATGTCTGTAGTGTAGGCACAAGGTGCACCATCCACGTCAACTGGTCGATGACCACGCAGATCATGTCAAACGCGCCCGTACGGTTCTCTGAGGCCGGGAGAGGGCCGACAAAGTCGAGGGCTATATACTGCCATGGACGACGAGGGACAGGGAGCGGGCGCAATATGCCCATAGGACGTGTAGTGGACGACTTCATTGTAGAGCATATGCCACAGGTCTTGCAGTAGTCAGCGACATCTGCGACCATGGTGGGCCACCAGACTTCGTCACGCAAGTAAGCTAACGTCTTCTTTGTCCCCAGATGCGCAAGTATGGAGTGTGCTTGGCGGATAATAACCTCGCGCAGCCTGCGAGAGCCAAACAGGACATCGGGTATACACAGACGGTAAGCCCCATCGTCTTTCTTGTATATGAGGCCATCCACTGATTGGAAATGAGGGAACTGGGCAGGTTCTGCGGAGATCTTTCGGAAGAACGCGTCCTCAGTGTACCGTCCACGCAGCGCTCCGGGCAACTGCATACCCAGCTCGCTCGCACTGGAGACAATAGTAGCTTCTTGTGTAAGCCTCCCTTCGCTGTGTTCAGAAGTCTGGTCGCTGATCTGCGCCGCAAGAACATTGGGCGACACTGAAGAATCATCTATGCGTGCGGCATGCACAGTTTCTTCTGATAGCGCGGATATCACACGTGAAGCTCGCGAACGAACATTGCCCTGAAGTGGTTTGGGCAACCGAGCACTGTGCAATGGAGTTTTGGCAGCGAGTACATCACTGTAAGCACCCTGAGGTTTTGGGTTAGCTGCCAAACGAGCTGACCGTCTTGTTGAACTTCTGTGTCTACGGCTGTGCCGGACCGGGAGTGGCAGTGATAGTGGCTGTGCGTCTACCATACGCCAGCATGGACTTTCCTACTTACCATATACATACATTCTTTTGTTCTGTACTTACTAGGCATCCTGCCATCCCTCCATATGATTCTGGTACGTTCTACGATGTTCCGGACTATTCTAGACAGCGTCCGGATTACTCGCATTACTCAGCCATGGACTATCTGACCTTATGTTGATTATGCTCCCTTACTCAGCGTTACTCATCGCTCAGTCAGCGTCCTCTGGACGTCACATGCCCTCTTCCTATATGCTTACTCATCGTCCTCCCCAGTAGTATATAAGGAGGACTCTGCAGGCCTCTGCTCTTCAGTCGTTCTCTCACAGACTGAAGACCTCTCTTTGTGCGGCTTACAGCCTTCCAGGTTCAGAGTTCATCACGTCTCGGTGACAGATCCAGAACAGCTGCGGCTCCCGTGTATATAGCACGCATAGGTGGAGTCCCCGCTCCGTCGTCTCCAACATATTCGGAGTGAGCACGCTCAATTCCAGCTGGCTCATCGCTGTAAATGCGGGACAATGCATCCGCCAGAACATTCGTCTCACCAGGGATGTAGTGGATCGAAAACTTGAACTCATTGAGTATGTCCATCCATCTATGTTGGCGGGGCGACAAGTGCTTCTGGCTCATGAGGAATTCCAGAGCTTTGTGGTCGGTACAGATGCGGAAGGTCGCCCCGTACAGCAGCGGTCGGAATCGCTTCAAGGACTCAACGATTGCCAGCAATTCCTGCTCATGAACGGGGTAGTTCTGCTGCGCCGGGTTGAACTTACCCGACCAGAAAGTCACCACTTTCACCATCAGCAAATCCTCGCCTTGGCACAAGTATCCGCTTGCACCAGTCAGCGACGCATCCGTAACAAGATTAATTATGGGAGCACCGTCCGAATAGTCAAGAGCGGTACGGCGGTTGTTCCGCCACCAGTGAACGGTCTCCTGCACTTGCTCAAACGCACGCTGATGGGTCTCGTTCCACTTCCAGGTCTTAGTCACACTCGTTAGTGGCGCCAGGACACCCATAGGTATGCGTATCCCCTCGCAATCTGGCACGAGGAAGCTCACGGCTCCAAGGAAGCTGCTCAACAGAGATTTATTTGTTGGGACTTTCCAGTTCTGTACAGAATCAACCTTGTGAGGGTCCATCCGTATGCCGTGCTCGTCAATGACGTGACCCAGGATCTTCAGACTGTGCGCAAAGAAGTTCATCTTGTCAGCACCCAGATAAAACTTCTCGCGTCGCAGAACATCCAAAACGGTACGCACATGTTTGACGTGGTCTTCAATGGTGTCTGAGTAGATCACAATATCATCCAGATAAACATCCATAAATACGCCAATGTACTCGGCGAAGATATGGTTCATTACCATCTGATAGGTGGTAGGTCCATTGACGTCTCCTTGTTGCAGAACAAGGCTAACCATAGTGCTGTCTGGTGTGGTGAACAGTGTCCGCGGAACATGTTCGGGAACCACTCGTATCTGCTCGTACGCATCTTTCCCGTCAATCAAGCTTTGATACTTATGCTTGACCACGTTACGTAGGATTCCATCCATGTCTGGCAGAGGCGCCGCGAGTTTGTGAGTGTTTGCATTCTGTTCCCGCTTGTCTACGACTGTTCGCAATCGTAGGACACCGTCGTCTCGTGCTGGCTTGGGTATCATCAGCATCGGCGACGTATTCACGCCCGACGCGAGTTCCCAGCGCCCGGATTGGAGGTAATGTACCTTCTTCTCCTGCCAGAGGGTCTTCAATGCGTCAGGACACTTAGAAGGCCTCCAGGAGTACACGGCGGTCTCGTCAATGAGGGGATAGTGTGGTTTATGGCCCGCAGCGGCGGCAACGCCGTTGCAGCTCCATCTTGACACAAGTCGGCCGCTTCTGCGCGAAGCATCCCTCGTAACTCCTCGAGCTTATCCACGAGAAGATCTGCTGCAGCCGAAAGAATAACCGCGACGTCCTCGCCCTCCATCTCCGCCGGCTCATTGCATCCGACGACAACCCGTGCCGGGTTGAGGCCAAGCGCAACCTTGTGCTGGAATATAAACGGAGTCCCGAGAATAATGTCGTAGTTTTCGAGGTTAACTACGTCAAAACGTCGTCGGGATGCTATCTCTTGGTATGCGAAGTCCACTGTTGCGCAACAATTGATCTTCGAGCGCGAACCTTGTACCGCAAGCTGCACGGGGAGTTGTTTCTATAGAACATCCGTGTGGATCTTCAGCTGATCGACCAATGTGGTAGATACAAAGTCCGCCATACACCCAGTGTCCAACAGAGCCCGCGCCGGGTGACCGTTGATACTGATAGACACAACCACGGGCATGGGGGTGGTCCTGGTGTAGTCCTTTGGGCGCATTGTGTTCCATTCGATCGCTGGGATCGCATTCGCAGGTACGGCCACCGGCTTCTTCTTGCGATGTTGCTGAGGTTTGCGCATACCTACAGCGCAAACCATGAGTCGAAGACGGCGCTGTTTGCGTCGCTCTTTCGCCCTCCAGTGCTGCCATAGCTCGTCCGGAGAATATCCATCCAGCACTACTCGCGAAACAGCCGTCGGGTCGAATGTAGGCTGTGTAACATCCTCGTGAGTGAAGATGTATTCTTCGTCGTTCAGAGCTGATGTCGCAACATATCCATGCGGATGTAGACCCACGTGTACCAGCTCTGTCTGTTCTGGGACGTCCGGAAACTCCTTACGGAGCGACGCTTTTACATGTGCACGGAGCCAGTACAGTGGTGAAACATCTCCGTCCATTCGAGCATCGCACTGAGGAAATCCTGTTCCCCACTCAGGTCTTGGCGGGATCTGGATGAAAGCGTCCCATTCCTCTTGAATGATATCAGGTACGCCCCAGCTTGGATTGTCCAGCTGTTCCCGAGTGACGATGTATTCGTCTGGTAGTCCGATGGGTGCCAGGTGGTCGACAACAAGGAATGTGCTCCGCCCACCATAGGCATCTACTTCGAAACACTGCAAAGGCTCAAGACCGACGGAGTGCGCCGTCATCTCGTCGTAATACGACTGGAATAGAGCCTGTATGTATTCTTTACAGTCCTCCTCATGTGCGCGCGCCCATACGCCCTCAGTTGAGGCCATAGGCTTGTCCTCGTCGAGTGTCTCAAAGGATACAGCGCCCAAGAAGAGCGCATCATCGCTCGCTCGTTGCGCGCGCGCGGCCAGTCGATCAAGGTCAGCAAAGTTGATGGAGCCGACATGTATGCCTGGTCCTGTAGGTGCCTTCGCCGTTTTCCTGGTCGGACAATTGCTGCTCTGATGTCCAACGTCCTTACAGGTGAAACAGCGTCCCTCTGCACGCAGGCGATCGCGTTCTTCGCGGGACAAGGGATTGCTACATTCGTGGTCCTTTTGCGGGGCCTTAGCCGTCTCATTACGGGATGGTTTGCTCTCTGCAGTCGTATTCTTGGTTGGCTTTGACTTGTCTTTGTAGGACTCGCCCTCCTGCCGTTCTGCGCTCGGTTTGTAGGACTCGCCCTCCTGCCGTTCTGCGCTCGGTTTGTACGGCTCAGGACCCTCCGCGCGCGTCCCGAAACGTCCCCATGAACGTCCGGGAACTTGACCACTGAATGCTCGTTCTTCGCGTCGCGCCTCGGAGTAAGCTTCCTCCTTTTGGATCGCGTATTTAACGAGCTTATCAAGCTTCGTCTTCTCAGGGTTCAGCCCCTTCTCGATGAGGTATACACGGATATAGGTGTTCAAGCCTCGCCAAAAGATCTGGACAAGCTGAAAGTCGGAAACGTCGGGGAATTGGATGGCTAGCTGTTGTATATCTCGCACAAAATCGCGTACACGACTGCGCCCTTGTGCAGAGCGTTCCAGACGTGCTCTAAGTCGCGCTTTGTAATCGGTTGGGAAGCAATAGTCAAATAGAGCTTCGTACAGCTTCTTGACCGTCCATTCCGACTGTCTAGTCGATACATGACACATGAAGAAGTGTCCCGGATCCCCGCTCATGAACTGCACCATCAGCTTCAATACGATACGGTCGGATAGTTCATTGAGCTCGCCCCAGGTGTCTACTTCATAGGTCCACTGATCAAACACGTCGAGGTCTGCAGTGCCATCCCACACAAACGGTGGTTTGATTTTGATACCTGCCAGAGCCTTGCGCATTCGTTTGTGGTCTGATTTCTGTCGAGTGCGATGTCTCTTCTCGCTCTTGGACTTGCCTGACCGAGACGAGTCCGAGTCTGAAGACGACGGGCTAGGCGGCGTTGATGCGCCCTCTGATTCACTCTCTGAGCTCGACTCATTAGTAGTGGTAGGACTGGACCCGCCTGTACTGGGTGGTCCGCGTCCACCACCTCCTGCGTCGTCGGTTGTCTTCCTGAACCACCCGCCCTCCGGTATCTGCGACGCCTCTCGTTGAAACTCCGAGTGAGCCATCTTATGAGGTGTATACCGGCGGTGGGGCTCTTCTTTGACATCTGGAAGTCTCGAGGCCTCTTGAGACTTCGTAGTGGTATGACCCGAAGGCTCCGGGGTTTGCGAGACAAATTGGCGTAGGAAATCACGCTGTGACCTGTCTCGAGGCACCGTCTTGGCTTTCTGCTCGGACGTGAAACGTCCGTCGCGTCCAGCAGGTGCCTGGTCCGGCTCACTTGTAGGAACCTCGACAATGACGGCCATAGCTTGAAGTACAGGGTCCTCATGGTCGAGTTCAGCCGCAACTGTCTCCAGGGAGGCTCTAATCGCGATCTGTAGATCGTAGTCTTCGTCCTCACTTGCGGAGCTCTCTACTTCACGCCAAAACTCGTCGCTAAACGATGCTTCTATTCGTTCTACTCTAGGTAGCTTAGGGACAATGATTCCAGCTTCCCAGCCATCCGGCACAGGCCCAAGTTGGTCGTCAGAATCGCATAAGTCGAACCAGGATGGGAATCGATTATTGGATACCAGCGTGCCCGGTGCGTGGGTGATCGCTCGAGTACCTACATGGGTCGTGCGGACCCACGGTCCGAGTGAGCTGCCATCGCGGTGAGACTCTCCTCGGTTGGGGGTGCAGCCATTCGGGTGCGACTCCGGGGAGGACGCGCAGTGTTAGGACCGTGCGCGGAAGTTCGGGGGTTGACGAAGTCCCGAAGTACCGAGCACCGGAAAGGAGGACTTCGCGAAACTATTAGTAATGCGCCGGGCACACTTGTCGGGTGTCCTCGGTTTACGAGAAGTACCGACTCGGGGGTCGGGAGTACAAGTACCGGAACTAACGAAGTTCCGGAACGAGACTAGAGAGTCGGAGGGACAGGAGAGGGGAGAGGTCGAGAGCGGAATAGAAGACAAGCTTAGGGGCGTAGTTCGGGGGTCGGAGGTTCGGAGGTTCGGAGGTCGGAAGTCGGAGGTCGGAGGTTCGGAGGTTCGAGGGTAGAAGGGAATTGGATAAGTGAACGAGATATCCGAACTGAGTAGCTAGTACAATCCAGTCCGGTTTAAATACATAGAAGCCTAATTGTTCTCGGAAACAATAAGAAGTACCGTAACGGAAAGTCCGGGACTTCGGGATATAACTCGTGTCTGAAAACAATAAGCCTTTTGTCTAGGTGAGTGTCTTGGCGCAAGGCGCCAAGAAGGAAAGGTCTAAATGGAAGAAGTCGGAATAGGGTCGGAAACCGGTAGTTCGTACGGAGGTTCGTAAGTTGGCACCGGGGGTTCAGAGGTTGGGCGCACGGGATGTAACACGCAGCCATCTTTCACGCGCAGCGTGACCTCCAGGGGGCAGCCAACAGGGCGCTCCTCCTTATCTAGCTCCTGCAGGGTGTTCTTGTAAGCCTCGTGAGTGGTCCTCGTCGTGAGGCCGTCACTCAACGCGACTCCGCCGCTGTTGCTAGCGCTCTCATCATCCCTCGGAAGCACACCGTCGCTTGACTTGTCGCGGACAGCGTGGGCATAGGTACGAGTGACTCGTCGAGAACCTCCAGTGTCGACGAGCCACTCATAGTCGGCCATACCCCATTTTGCGCTGAGAGCTGTGTCGCTCGCAGCAGCGACGATGGGGTTCTTCGGGATGCGCCGAGCCGGGAGGGGCTCGGCTGGAGGGAGAGAGTACGGAGTGGGGAGCTCACCAATGGCTTCCCAGATCTCCGTAGTCTTCGGCACGTTGTTGTGCGTAGGAGCAGCGGCGGCCACCTCCGTCGAGGTCCGCATGCCCTTCTTTGTTGTCTTACGAGATTTGTTCGTCATTTTCTCGGGACTTGGAGGTTCCTAACAGCGAACGGGTGATCAAACCGACGCGTTAGAGGTGATACGAAAACAAAAGATACTCAAAAAATGTGAGGAAACCCGGTGCATCGACGGGAGCTTGCGAGCGTTGAGCGGCGAGGTCGAGTCGAAGCGGTGGGAAACACGAGAGAGTCGAGTCCGACGCGAAGTGAGTAGGAAAAAGTCGTATCGGAAAGACTGCCGGGCTTCGTAGATACATGCAGGTACTTGTAGCTAGCGGAGTCCGGGCCAGAAACGAGATCGGAAAAAGAGTGGAATCGAAAGGAATGTGAGAGAAGCTGGTCGAGGCCTCGCCGAGCGCGGGTGAACGAAAGGATATACGGAGTGTCCGTAGAGTGACATGATGAATGTAGGAGGCATCGATGAGATGAGTATCGCGGGCGATGGGCGAGCGTCACGATCACGTGACCGTGCTTCTCCCACCCGCGTGTTCTGTCCGCAAGAGGTCGTGGTAAGCGCGCCGCCTTACACAAGTTGGGTCAGGAGAATCAGTGACGCGAGAGCAGATGAAAAAAAAACGGAAAGGCTGCGTTCCTGCTGGGCATGTCGGTGGACGGTACCACGCGACTGTGAGGCAGCGTCCCCAAACGTGTGCTTGCGTAGAGCGTGCGCACTGTAATAGGGGCATTACACCGACACGTGGGCTTTTCGTGTCGCAGCAGCGAACCTTGGACCTTCATATGTTGAGAAACGCCGCGCAAATGAATGCAACGAACATGGAGGGTATGGAAGGGGAACTCTCTTGGTGGAGAATGCCTCAGGGACTGCGCAATTCGCAGTGTGCGCTCAGGCGGATCGAGACATCGCGTTGGCCATTGCTGCGGTCAAGCGCAAATGGTGAGAATACGGACATTTTGGGAACAAAGAGACTCACGCAGATCGCGAGGCGCGGCTCGTCGCAGGGCCGCAGCGGAACAGGGCGGAGATAGGGCAGTTCCCGGCATGCGCATCTGGAGCTGATGCACTCCTGAGCGCCGTAAGATCTACGCCGCAAGTAAAGCGGCAGACTCGGTGCTCGGCGAAGACCTCTCTGGGTGAGTTCCATGTCGTCCGAGCCGACGCACGCATACATACGTTAGACATCCCAAGTTCTGGATTACGTGTGTGGTTGAGTGAAGGTACAAACGTACTGTACGTGGAGCCTTGGGAACGTTAGATTCCGCGCGTGGCCAGCCATGCGGCCGTGGTCGTGGCCGGCCATGGCTGCGGGGGGCGAGGGAAAATGTCACGTGCGTTTTTCGACGCGGCCGTGGCCGTGGCCGTCTTAGCGCCTGTGGCCGTGGCCACCTAAGCGCCATCGCGCCCTTCTCCTCGACGTCCACCATCGCATACAAGAGCTCGCGGCTCCAGCTCTCTCTCTCTTCGTAACCCCCCTCCTTTCGCCTCGAAGTCTACGACGTCACACAGCTCGCCTCACACGCCTTACTTGGAGGTTGACTGCCCACGCCACACGGTTCCGACTCACCAGCGCCCGATCTCGGCTCGGTCACCAAGGTGCATTGTCATCTTCTTTCAACTTCTCTCGGGATCTGCGTCACTTATACATACATTGCTCTGATAGGTTTCGTTTTGGTGGCGCGAGCAGGCACTTTGGTTAGGAGGTCTTCGGTGTCGCCAGGTGAGTACTACATCGTTATCTATTATGATCACTGATCCTTATCCAACATGGTTGCAGATGCGTCCGAGCTCCGAATGTGCTCGGATCGGCGCTCCCTGGTGCAAGCGCAGGGCTGTCGTCGACTGCTCCCAATGCACCCCCTGCTGCAAGTTTCAGCAGTCGACCTCATGCCGCAGTAGGTATCATCGTAAACAGCGCCAGGCCCTTCCACCCTCTGCCGCTCCTTCGTCTTCTACCGCCTCTAATGCTGCACCTTCGAATGTACACGTCTCGTCCAATACACCCGGCTCGGATCATTCAGGGCCAATGGGTACATCAACAGGTATGACCGTTCCTCGCCTCTCTTCTGGTACAGTATCGTCAACGTCCCTTTGCTCTGAATCTGTAGTGTCAGCGGCCCCGTCGGCGCTGGCTACGTCATCCATGTTGTCTGCGGCTGTCCCTGAGCTGTCCAATGTCCACTCGTCCACGTCCACATCGTCTGCGTCCACGTCCACATCGTCTGCATCCACGTCCACATCGTCTGCGTCCATGTTCACACCGTCTGCGTCTGCGTCCATGTCATCTGTGTCCACGTCCACGTCATTTGCATCCACATCAATGTCCACACCGTCTGCATCCACGCCCACTCTGTCCACGTCAGTCTCGAGCATGCCTGTGTCAGCGTCAGTACCGACAACATCGGCCCCAGTGCCTTTCAGGCCTGTGCCATTGTCGACTGTTCCAGGTTCTTTGTCATCACATGCCCAACCCCTGAGCTACCTTTGGACACCTAATCAGGCTCTTGGTGCTTTCATGGAGCGGAAGAAGGATGAGCTGCGGCGTGAGGAGGAATCAGCGAAGCAGCTGAATGTCTTGCATGTTGAGGAGAGGATGCGTAAGACGGTCATGTTCCGTGTCTGGACAGAGGTATGCCTTATAAGTTAACACATCATCTTCTTTGTTCTTATGTGCTGTCAGGCAGGGAAGGCTGCAGCCTCGCTGCGCATACATCTTCCCGCACACCCACACTATGTGCTATCAGCTCTGCCAGCCATTCTTGCTCTCTTTCCCGAGCACACCGGTCACTGTGCTGTCCTTGATCAACAGCTGGGTACCTGGATTACGGTGGACCTCGAGTCCGCTGGCACTGTTGATGCAGGTGTCAACACTGTCTGCCTTCGCTTGTCTGGCCTTTCAGATGATGATTGCTCTGGTCTCACCTCATCTTCTGCTCACCATGGCCAGTCTTCATCATCAAAGCGCGCTCGATCACCGTCACCTCCACAATCACCGGCCTCCCATCATAAGCGTCTGAAGCTCCACTCCCCTTCCCCTCTCCCGCCATCACAACCTGGGCATAAACAACAGAATTTCCCCTCATCATACCCCTTCTCTGTTGTGTGGGACTTTGTGAAGGCTGTGGATGCCCTTTGCATGATGTCCAACCTCGATCCTGTCTTGGACTCTAAGGTCAATGGTATCTCCTGCAAGAAGTCAGGCTTCAATGCCACCAAGAAGGCCCTTCGCTGTGGTGATGAAGAACTTTGGGCGACTTTTCAGGCCTCGGGTGCCCTCTTTTCCGACTATAAACAGAAGGTGAAGGGTATGCCAGAAATCTCGGTACTCCCATGGTCAAGGCCTGGTGGACTGATACTCTCCGGTGGTGAGTTCATTGTGCTTTTAGTGATGATATACACTCATGTGATTGGCAATATCTTTACTAGATCCCTGCTCATCCAGCACCATAGCAAACTCATTGCAGTCCTCAGGTGCTGACCCTCTTTCTGTTGAATCTTGTGCTACCTTTGGAACAGATCTTTCTAGCTTGACTTCTTACACATTGGATTCCAATCTTTCATTTGGTATACCCTCCTCGCCCACTATATCTTCAGATACAGTTTCTAACACAGATTTCGAGTTTTCTGATCTACTTGCAGGCTTGTTAGCTCCATCTTCTGATGATTACACCTTCAATGATCCTTCATTTCAAACACTTTTACCATTTGATGCTACAACCCCACTCTCTGACAGCCCCTTAGATTTCCCTGACACATTTGACTTTTTAGAGCTTGATAGCTTACCACTCCCTACATTTGACTTTTTAGAACTTGATAGCTTACCAGATCCACTCTCATTTCCTGGCTTCCCTGATTTAGACCTACCTTAGTAATCATGCAGTTGCTTAGCACAATCCACTAATATCATTTCATTAATACTACAATCATTTAATCACCCTCAATAATGTATTTCCCTTATAATTCCATCCACTGATGCACTCAACTGGTCTATAGATAAGCACTGTTAATGTGCACCCACCACTGATGTGCCTGTTATCATGCCACCGCTGGCCACCCCTCTTTTTTGTGGTTCCTTTGATGTGTCTGTTATCGCCCCACCGTCGGCCGACCCTCGTTTTCGCATTTCAAGCCCTTGCGGATTGACAAGTATGCGACTTCGCAGTGCCATGCCTTTGCGGTTCCACGCCTTTGCGGTTCCGCAGTCCATATTGCGGCTGCAGAAGCCTCGAAGCAAACCGCTGATGCACTCAAGTCTCCCGTAACGGCCGCTAGGACGTCGGGGTCGACGGGCCGAGAGGATGAGACCCGAGAAGTGTCTTGTGTGAGCGGGGGATTCCGAGTACGATCCCGAGTTCCCTACGACGCGGAAGGCGCGGGGAGGGGCCGAGCGAGCTTTTCGCTCCTGACCTGTGAGGGAGGGATTGCGCGGACGATACGTGCTATCGCAGGGCGCAGCGCGGGGGATCGGGGACGCAAACTTCGGGAGGAGTACTCACTGTACGCAGCGAGACGAGGACGTCGGGGAAGCTGTTGGGAGGGAACTCGCTGACGCTGTCGAAGTCGCAGTCGCAGACGCCGTCGCAATCGCAAACTTGAGCTCTGAAGGGGTAAGAGAAGGTCCATTTCCCGGTGCTCGGGGCCCGCGTATATACAGGAGGGGCCGGAGCCGTACGGGAAGGATAAGAAATGAAAGATGCCCCCGTCGCGCACGGCGCGACGGGCGCGACGATTGGGCCTCTACAGGGGCCGCGCTCTACTGGCCCTGCCTAGGCTGTCGGGGCTGCGCGGTGTGATTGGTGGGCGGGGGCGTATGCGCCACGACCCCCGACGAGCGTATCGGGCATTTCGTACTGCCCTCAAACCCCGATGCTTGGCGGGGCTTGGCGCTCTCGGTCGGGGCCGCTTATCGCGGTTCGCCTTGCTCGACTCGCGGGTAGCGAATGGGGGTGGTGCGTGGGCGCCCAGGCGGCCTTCTGGGAGGCTCGGGGCCGCGCGGGGCACGCGTCGGGGCGCGGTATTTGGCAGGGAGTCCGCGTCGGGGTGGTCTGAGCTCAAGAGCGGTGCCCACACCACGGCGGGCGGCAGGCGCGGTGAGTGCGCATCAGCACCCCGATGATGCACTCAACCGACCGGTAAGGACAGAAGAAGGAGACGGTCGAGAGCCCTAGGAGGTCGAGACCGGGCTGCGGAACGTCTCGCGAAGCGTGAGGAGAAGCAGGTTTGTGTCGGGTGCCCTTCGGGCGGCGCAATACGCGGGAGAACGCAGCAGAGGGAGCGGAAGAGGGAAGGACGGTGGATTGATGACAACTCAGCTGAGCTGGCGTTCCGCGGGACACGGGAGGGCCTCTTCGCAGCCCGTGTTAGGCTTCGCAGGGAGTTCGCAACGCTAAACACTATTTCGCAGGGGTTCACAGAGTTCGCAGTTCGCAGGGTCGTCGAGGGTTCTTCGTGAGAGAAGGTGAAATCTGGGCCAAGGGGGGATCTGAATTCTCACAGCCCGAGGGCGTAGGTATTTACAGGGCCAGCCAAAACCGTGCTACAGTGATCAGAAAGTCTCTACAGAACGTCCGTCGCGGAGGGGACCGGCGCCCGCGATGCACCAGCCGTCTACCGCGTAAACGCGGAACACGCCCCTGCGCCCCGCCGGTCCGGCGATGCGGAACACACCCCCTCCACGTGTGTCTGCCCATGCGGTCGTGATATCGCGCGATAAGTCGTTCCGTGCGAGTGCGAAGCTTCCGCGCCCGCGCCGCGATGAGGCCTCTGCCCTGTTGAGGTCTTGCAAACCCACGGAAACCGCGAAAAGAAGGCCAGGCAGGTGGTGGCTCGGTACCGGGCGTATCACCGACACCCTCGTCTACGTCAAATACAGTGAGCACTTCCTGGAAGTCACAGCGCACCGGTATCCCGCCTCACGTCATGTCCGCCGACTAGCGTCTGCGCAATCCCCTACCCCCGGGTCAGGAGCGATAAGCTCGCTCGACCCCCTCCCTCCTCCGCACCTCTGTGTCGTAGGGAACTCAGGATCGTACTCAGAATCCCCCGCTCACACAAGTCACTTCTCGTGTCTCATCCTCATGTCCTCTTGGCCCATCGACCACTGTGTTCTAGTGGCCATTACGGGAGGCCTGAGTGCATCACTGCCCTCAGCTTACACAGCATTGAGTTTGAAATTTATAAACAGTAGAAGTTTTTTGATTCAAAAAATGGTACAAATGAAGTCATATCATCAATAGCAGCTCCCTGGGTGCATTAGTTGGAAAGGCCTTTGCCTTATGAAGGTCAGCTATAATTATCTCATTCTGGATTCTGATCATCTCATCCAAAAAGAAATCATACCGCGCAGCCCGCATCTCCTGAACTATTGCCTGAAAACCCCCAAACCATGCATTCGTCATCTTAGCTGCAGAGGAGTTGAAGCGCCATTTGTTGCCAACGAGGAGATCAGGAAAGAGGGCTGCATTGCAGTGTTGCCCACAGAAGGCATCACTGTCCTTGTGCTTTGTCTTGGCATGGAAGGGATCGACTGGCATAGCGCAGTGGTCGAAGTGGTGGTCGTTGATAGCTATGACATGCTTCTTGAAGAGACAAGCTGAATCATAGTAGATCACTTGTGGTAGGGAGGCTGGAGTTGGGAACAAGGCCCGCAAGAAAAGCTGCATGGATATAAGAATAAGGGGAATAATTTTGACAAGCATCAATGTTACTCACCCTTGTTCCATTCAAACCCTCTGAGCCAAACATAGTTGCGCGCCCCAGAAGTACACCACATGTAGCGACTACGAGTTGCTCGTTATGGGTGCGCCTACGTCCAAAGCATGCACGGGGTTTTGAGTTGCCTTCGTCTGACTTTGAAGGGCATTCACCATCCGCATCGATGTCGATAAGCTCCTCCGAAATGCCTTCACCATTGTCTTCAAGTGAGGCTGCACGAAGGCGCTCAAGTCTCCGCCGCAGTACAAAGAGCGCTGAACGTCCAGATGGGTCCTCGAGAGCACGATGAGATGGCTCAGGGCATGTTTGATGATCCGTGGTAGCGGGAGAGTCACATCCAACAACAACACAGACATTGTTGTAAGCCTGGTGCTGCTGACAATAGCGGTCGCGCTGAGACTGTAGTGGCTCTTGACAGTCATGGATGTTGCAGCATGGTCGTCCAATAGATATCCCATCCATAACCGCTGCACGTATGAATTCTAGGGATCCATGAGACCTATAAACAAATAATACCTGCAATATATGCTCACCATGCTGTCCATTGACATTTCTTGTTACACAACATTTATCACAGAGGTGGTTCCAAGACTCCCGTCCAGGCCCAACAAGTGAAGCAGTCCTGGCTTGAAGTGCAGAATCAAGGCGTGAGGCTTGTTCACCCTGATTATTCAGCACAAGGACTTGGCTGCGCTCCTTTTTGTCGTGAAGCAACCCAAGAAGGAAGAATGCATCGCCCACCAAGATAGAAGTCAAGGTTGGATCATTAGACCAGTCAGCCGGGAACCGCTTCAGAGCCGCAGCATGCTCGAGGTTGTATATTCTTGCACTATTTGTGAAGGATACCCTTAAGATAAGGCTTTAGATACAGTTACACAATAATCCTAGAATAATATATTCACCATGCACAAGCGGCAGAATTCGCAAAACGGGTGCATAGAGCGACCTCGACAAAGATATGGGTGGCAACATGGATGGCGGGAGGGATGTCCTGGTAGTATACACGGGATTGGGTACCATCGACATAGTAGTTTGGGTAGTATCGTATGCCACAGCCTTAATGGGACTAGTCAGCCCTGACTACCCATGCCGCTAAAGAGGGGCCACTTACTGCCACATCTGGCCGAGTGAGACATTGCTGCAACCGGCCCATGGTCCCGGGTGAAGTAGACAACGGGGAGGGAGATCGCACCGACAAGGGCACGCTGTTGTCCAGCACGAGAAGCTTCAGCATATGTACAGCCACGTGCGAGGCAGAACCATGTAGGAGGATAGAAGTTATAGATCCCTGATCAGACAACTGTGAGGATACTCAAGTGGGATGAAGGGAAATAGACGCACCAATGTTGTGCCGTGTGCCATGCTCCAAAAATACCTCCACTAGCTCCCGGGAAGGCGAGATCTCCGTCGCATCAGCTGGTGCACACGCCCATGCAGCATGCCCCACAGTGTCCCAGAGGTCGCCGACATGGGCGGGTAGGATACCCAGGGCAGAGGCGAGAAACAGCACCGTCTGTTCGGGGAGCGAGGGCGGACGTTCCTGGGTGTACGACGAGTCCGACCAGCAGATTTGAGCACGCAGGCGGCCGATGATGTCAATGAAGGTGATGAGCGCCCGTGTGGGCAAGGCGGCGCCAAGGGGGTGCTGAACGAGCGCCGAGAGATCAGTGTTGACGGATCCAGCCATGGCAGCAGAAAGATGGTGGGTAAAGCAAGGTAGTACGAGGTATAGCCTGAGCGCGAGTAAGGATGGGGGAGCTGAGGAGAGGATGGCGCGTCGCCAGGGGAAGAAGGGGAAGAACGGCCGGCAGGAGTACGGCCACGCGCACGCAGTGAGTGCTGCGGTAGAGCGGTCGGCGGGCCGGTCATGTGGGGAAGGCGCGGTGCGGCGAAATGCGGGGGGAAGGCGGGGGGGATTGATGAGGAAGTTGGTGCCAATCTGCCTTGTGCCTATATACGGACGGATTTTGCGCGACCGGCGCCGTGATGGGAAATTCGTGCACTCTTTTTCAGCGCCTACGAAATGATTTGCGAAAATATTTCTCTTTTCGGCGGCTATTCGGCCGTGGAAAACTGGGCGCTTGGGACCGGCCACGGCCGTATGGCTGGCCGCGCGCGGAAACTAATGTTCTGGGAGCCTTGCGAAGAACAGGAACTTTTCATATCTATAATCCGACGTCAGCGTGTTCATGATAAGATAGCGCTTTGTACACTCACTGGCTACGATACAAGAAGAATCGAGAATCGCAGCGTAGAGGCCTAAGTCCAACCAGCGAACAAAGAAACTATGCAGCGCATGAAGTACGCTGGCGGGAGGCGCCCCACCAAAGTCGATCCTACTCCTGGAGAGTGCTACCAGCTCCGGTCCGGCGCTTTGTGGAGGCAGAGCGAGAGAGAGGCCAAACCTTGACATCACTCCGATGGTGACCGATGCATGGTTGATTTAGCACCCAACAATACTTAGAGTTCTCTAGCACGGCCGCCGCATTCGAGACCACGCAATAAAGGTGTCCACAGTTGACTAGAGATTCCGAGGAACAGCTGAGGTAAGTCCACCATGAAAGACTTGTGCAAATGTAACGTACTGAGCATGACGAGTGGCACCAGGACGTGAGGCGACCGTCCAGCTACCATCCAACTCGCACACTACGCATAACCGTTGTGGCAATGGCAGCCCACCATGCCCAGAGGCCTGGCTTTCATCTGCTGAGAGGGTGGATCAGCGGTTATGACGGAAGAGTTCAACAATCAGTACGATAACGAACACGTACCCGTTCGCCCCGACTTCTAGGCCTGTTCCCGCTCGGTCGCTGCCAGCGGGAAGACCCCAAGCCTGTGCAGCTGTGATTCGCGACATCGACTTTCCGATCGTCGTCTCCACCGCGCGAGAAAAAAAATCATCGCGCACGCTGCGCTGTTCGATCGAACGTATAAACTGCCCAAACTCGAGGTTGAGGGCGAGTTCGAGGGCGACCTGAACAAGCGGTCCGAGGAGGCGCACATGTTGCTAGCAGCGAGTGGGTACGCACGCGTCGCGCTTGTCAACTTGGCGGCGATGGACTTAGAGTAAAGGGGCGAGGAGCCGGAGAAGTGCTTTGAGACGTCAGACAAGTTCAAGGCGGCGGTGGAGACCGAGTGGTCGAAGTGAGTGTTGTGAAACGGAGCTCCGCAGGCGTTTTCAGGTGCGAGTGGTCAAATGGTCGAGGGCTTGCCATGGGCGACATGGTCCATAGGATAGATGATGGCGTCGGAAGCGAAAGACAGCCACGTCCGACGCAGCGTTCGCAGACGAGACCCAGCAGAAAGGACCGCCGATGAGCAACTTTCGCGTGCCTGGTATGGACTATGATCCACAAGATCCCCACGTGAGGTACAGAGGATGTCCAGCGAGGATAGGATTAGAGAGGCCAGAGGTACGTTCCCGTTGTGCCACGGAGAGACTAGTGTGGTGCCGGTCTTGATTCCGCAGAGAGGTCTGTGCGTGTTTCGAACCGGAGTATTATAAGGGGCCACTGTCGCAGCAAAACGACAGAATGCACTTACGAGTTATACGGCGGGACACCGGGGATTGGCGAAGCCTCGTCTGTTTTGAACGTACTAGTAACTCTGCTTGTTCTCTAGTGGGGTCCCACCGCGCTCCCGAGGTCGTTAGGATGGACGGTTTGTGCCTGAGCTGGGATGACATGAAAGGGCATGCAGTACTCGCGGGTGATGGAGAGAGTGTCGGAGAGAAATGCCGACAGCGAGGACGAGGCCTGGTGCACAGTGGTCCGTGCATGCCCCTAACCCAAGACATCGACCGACATGCCGTAAACGCGCCTACGTAGTACCCGGGCGCTATCGGCGCCGAAACATCGACTGCCTCCCTCTTCCAGTACTCACAACACCCAACTCGAGTCTCCTGATCGAGTACTATCGCTCGTCCGCTATTTGCGCGTGGAAGGGATACAGATCATTGAAGTGTCTTCTGTGGTCTGGTACGTAGGCAGCAGTTCTTGTCTTGATTCCTGCAGCATCGTTGCTGATGGTGTGTCTCCCCGCACTTAGTCGGCCGGCGCACATTTTTACTCTTACGATGCACAAAATGGTGTGCAACCCTCTTGGGAGATCTCAACATTGACCTCGTAGCCATCCTCGGCCCTTTTGTTCCACGTATCGATGTGATATTGGCCGTCGTCTGTCCACGCCTTCATCGGGGCCGGTCGTTCTCCGACCGTACATCAAAGCCGTCAACGATAGCGACTGTGTTGACCTTCAAGAGCCACCGGATGCCGCCAGACATTTTCAGACAGCTGCTAAGCTTCGCTATGATCAGGGAGGATGTAGTAGGAGTACACCGTCCCATATCCTGGTGCGCCTCTTCGAGTTATGTCCGCTTCAAGCACACACTGACTGCTACGCCACGTGCGGCCCTGCAGAGCGTACTTCCCTCCACAAGAGCGGCACATCGCAGAGTGCAATACAGGCGCGAACGTCTCCGAGCGTAGTAAGCACGACGTCACAGCACCCCCTGCGTCCGCCTCATAGCATATCGCTACTCCGACGACAGGCCTCGATCGGTACTGGGATATTCCTGGTGCTTTTGAACACACACAGAGCCCGCGATAACAGAAATAGGTGCGTTCTGTCCCCGGCAGCCCTTGCAAAGTTTCCTGATTCATGTGCGTTTCTCCTGTCTTAGAGATTGCGCCGTCGCAGCGCCGGTTCACGGCAGGTATGTCTGAGTGAGATCATAATTGGAGTGAAAGCCGGGCGATGTGTCGACGGGTGCGAAACCTCGGATGCAGTTGCTGAGGCTAGCGCAGGAACGCGGTGAGCGGATGATCTTTCGATAAAGCACACGCGATCTAGATCGTGGAGAATATGATCGCAGAATACGATCGAGCCTTAATGTATGTTTGCGTGCATTTGTGTTACCAGACACGGTGCGAAATGCCAATTGCACGCACGAGTACCACATGTTGTACTATCAGAGATGTATCTTATCACCTCGCACCCGCCTGCACCTTGCTTCGACTATCCCGTACTCTCGCAGCTTCAATGAGACTATAGTAGCGGAGCAGAGCAGTGTAGGAGTCCGGTGAGTCTATGCCGAGTAGCCCGGATTAACAGTGAGAAACGTACTTCAGCGAGGGACATACGGGCCCCAGGCCCGGACCTTCACAGGCTCGCCGAACCACCGAAATGCGGCCCGAGAGGAGCTGTTTGTGCCGTGTTTCCCACCAGAACCCCTCAGTGAGGACTTTGGGGAGGCCGCTTTGTTGGGCTAGAGTCGGTCAACCGCTTGTAAGCAAACGCAAACCTGAAGAGAATGTCGAGGGAATGAACGTACGAAGGCTTGCTTCCGAAAGTCTTCCACCCTGCGAGCCAGTTCGTCGATTTGGGCAGAAATTTCCTTGAGGTCGGGTTTCCAGAAGGCAAGGTGCGCAATGTGCGGACAGGTACCCTTCGAGGACTCCCAGTCTGACGCGTCGGACGTAACCTGTTCTAACTCTTGCTTCAGGCTGTAGAGAATCAGGCACCTGATATCAACGCTGTGTACCGCAGCACAGATAAGGAGAAAGGACATACGCTTCCAGACGGTTCAGCATGTCCTCTTTGCCTTCTCCGCCTTCTCTGCCCTTGAGGCCATTCTCGAACTTAGCCAAGCAGTCTTCGAGGCGTTTTACTCTGACACTCGGGCTACGAAATATCAGAGCGCCGGAACGACAGCATATTTCAATGACCGGGGGGATGGCGAGGATTATGGGGATTATGATAAGGGCTTCAGCCATTGATGCGACTGTTGAAGTTGAGCCGGATGAAGAGACGAAGCCTGCACAAAGGTAGATTCAGTGATTGGGCGGATGTAGCGGGATGCGAAGCTTGGTACAGTTTGTAGAAGGAGGGAAAGACGAGAGGCAGATGATGAGGGTGTCATGTGCGACGACAAATTACTTATGGCCATGAAACTTGGGGCCCAGAGGTACGGTGAACCTCGGTGCCCCATGCATTCTGAGTGATGGCACGATGGGCGGCCTGAGCGCCCAATATCGCAGACCTCCCCACTGGGAACCTTATTTAAGTTGTGCGCCATAGCAACAGCACTCCCCGTATGGCAACGCTCAGCCCCTCTCGCAACGTCCAACGCCCACCCCATCCCAATCCTCATTCCAATGGCTCTCTGCAATCCACGGGTCTTCCCGGTCGGTCATGCCGCATGCCTGTAGAGCGCACGGCACGGCATAGCGGCCGACGCGTACTAGGGGCCAACCCAACCGTCAGATTTCCTGCGCTGGCATTAAACCCCCAACCTCCGGACTGAAGCTCAGTGCCGCGCACCTCGAGCTACCCACTAGCTGCTCTCTGCGCTGGTACTCACCCGGCGCAATACCACGCGCGACGCTTCTGAGACTCGAATGCTTCTCCTCTCCACTCCGACCTCTATCCACAACTTTCACCAGTCCGACCGCACAACGCACCGTCTCCCTATGGCGGCGCCGTAGACCTGATGGATCGGGAACGGGTGAGCCCACGTTCTCCCGCCAAGCACAGACACGCGTGCTCATCCTATCAAAGGTTTTCCGATCCTCATGCTTGCTGAAGGCAGCCCTTAGCGCATAGTACGATGGTGGGTCCACTGTAACTCCTGCGAGCCCATAGCCAGGCACGTCTGTTTTAGCTGTTTGCACGTCGCATCGCTCACTAATGCGATTCCCCTCAGGGTTCGCTCGCTCCTCCACGGCAAAGCAGCTTGTGTTATGCTAGCAGATATTCAATTCGAGTCGTGTGGTGGCTCGCGCTCTGGAGCGTGGTTCTGCAACTACACGACTCTAATACTTTCTTACAGTCGGACAAGACACTTCGTGAAAGCCCCGCCGTTTTCGCTGTACGTTTCTCACTGTCAATGCACTGCACAATATCGCTAACGGGCGATGCACAGCTCCTCGAGATACCGAAGGGTCGGCGCATAACTCGGACTCACCGCGCTCGGATTTTGGATAGTATCTTCCCCTCGCTTATTCCCTAGAGAAAGCATGCTGCGTCCTGCGCGCTGCTCCGCTCTATGGCGTCCTCAGCTTCTCATAGACGGTTGCCTTCCCGTGGTCTATTCCGAACTTTGTGTCTGCAATCTGTGACACTGTAGCTCCCGCTGTGCCCTTGCTCTCTATCATCTCGTACTTTCTCGTGCTCGTGCCTGAGTTGTCTGAATGTCATGTATCGTATACATAGCCGTACATAAGCATACACCATCTCGATCATATTCGAATTCTACGATCATCTTCCCCGCAATCTAGATCGTACATGCTAATTTCAGATGACTATTCCGTCACCGCATTCCTCCGCCGCTCTCAACAACTACGTCCGAGATCCAGCGAGCCAGGCTCTTACTCCCGTCGCAGTCACAGACAAGCGTGCCTGTCGTATCCGGCCACTGCGACAGTGGCATCTCTCAGGCAGGGGCAGTGGATGTTTGTAAGAGAGCATTGGACGGGCCTTCGTAGACGGAACGCACCCGTTATAATCATCGCGATTGTTCCAGCGCTCCAAATTTACATCAGGAGTGATCGAGCCTTGTCGTCGGGTTCGAGTGTGCTGTGCGGAGGCGGGCGCAGGGGCGCTGCCGTACTCGCTACGCGTGGAGACGTTCGCGCGTGCGTTGCATATCGCGATGTGCCGCTCGAGTAGAGGAAGGTACATATCTCACAATTGGGCTCTCATCTGTAGGGTCGCGTGAGGCGTATCGATTAGTGCGTGTCTTGAGCGGACAGAACTCGAAGAGGCGCACAAGGATATGGGACGATCTGCAGCTGCATACGGACGCATAGAAATATTTCGTGGCTTTCGAAGGTTGACACGGTTGTTATCGTTGGTGGTCTTGATATACGGCTGGAGAACGACAAAGTCGGCGTTGAGGTCTTCCTGGAGGTTATGACACCAGCCTGTGAAGTTGAAAAGCAGTACGGGCTAGGAGGTGCTTCAAGTTCGCGTCTAACCGAGCTGAGTCGCGCACAGGCGCGCGATGGGTAGGGAAGGTTTGACGTCATCGCGTTAGGGCAGGCGGCGTCTTGAGCAGGCGGATTCGCTCCAGTCTGCACCCGATGCGTTTTGGATGCGTTCTATGATATGTCTACTATGCTCGTTCCGTTTGTGCCTTCCAGTATGTTTCCTGCATGTTCTGCTTGTACAACAAGGTCCACTCTCGGCTATCTCAGTCATACTCGTCCTACCAGCGTGTACTGCGATCCGCTCGTGCACCACGACAGCGTATGCCTCCCTCTCATGGCCGTCTACGCTATGCCTCGCGCATACACACGGATTCCCGCGCTCAACACACAGAACATTTCCGGCTCAACATGCGAGACTAGCGTTGTCTGCGCGAGAACACCCGAGGCTGTACATCTAGCTGAGGCCTGATGAACACCCATCCACGACATCCCTCGGAGGTTCGAACGGACGCCTGCCCCGCACAACACACATCACGTTGTTCTGGATGGCCATCCCCGCGCTCCGCCCCCGCCCCGATTCCATTGATGCTGTGACTCCTCCTCAAACTACCCGGCGCCGATGGTGAGTACGGCCTATTCATGGTTGCTGCGGCGGTGGGTGACACGCGCACAGATTCCTTTTCCCCTGCTACGCGTGGCCATCACAATATACTGCGCATATGTACGGCGAAGTTGTACTAGCGTGTGCAGACAGTCTGAGGCCGACATCGCCAACTTAGCGGGAGCCTCTGATGATGCTCAGAAGGTACGTACATTGAGGCCAAATATTTTCACGATTTCCGACACGCCCCGGCCCACGTGGCGTGCCTTCTTGATATAAAAGTCTCGTCGCTTGACGCAGACCACGTAATCTTCCGTATCTGTCTACCAAGAGACATCTGCTCAGTTCAGCGCTCCACGTTCAACACCTACCGCATAATGACGATGCTGATCTTGGGGGGGCCTGTATCTGGAAGACTACGTCAGTATGGACCATCTCGCCAACTACACCGTATTCGTCCATAACGGACGATCCGGGAAGGACGAGCGCGTGGTGCATTGCGTTGCCTTCGCACACACCAAAGCATGGCATCTCCGGGAGCTCTATGGGCTCGAACGCACGAAGGGAGAGCTCCCGGACGACGACACGTTGTAGAGGTTTACCGAGCTGCTCGGTCCACCGGGGTGGTACTCGAGCGATCGGGAAGTAGACAGGGACGATATTGGGCCGCACCTGGAGAGCGGGGAGTACCAGATGGAACAGGGCATGCAGATGGTGTTCAGGCAGGTACGGTACACGGTGCATTTTCTAGGGAGCCGCGAATTAACATGATCATGCTCATAGGACGTCTAGTAGTCACGGCGGCCGTAGAGGATCCACCTGCGCCAAGGCATCCGCTTTGTTGCACGTCTGGAGTTCTTCTCTACAGATAGGGCCCCTTGACGTGTAGTTACCAGTGGTCCAATCTGCATATTAAATGACGTCCCCTTAGTCCGTCGTGTAATGAAGCGTGATGAAAACATATACCAATCGCGTAGGCGACAAAACCCGCGTACTTTTATACTGCCTTTCAGAGCCAATTTCCGAGCAGTGCCCCAATACCCGAGTCCCACGAGTCTTTGTACGACTGCCTCCGTCCGTATCGGACATGCGCTTGCTCAAGCGAGCGTGTATTCGTCTTCCATGGGACACCCAGCATATCAGTAATCATGCACGGTATCAGCCCGCGGTACACAACTCACTCCCAGGTTGGTCCGCCATCCTAGCAGTGTTGATTTTTGTTCGCCATCCGCGGATCTCTGAGCCTGGGCACCGTACCACGGCGTGGCAAAGAACGTGAAGAAGAACGGAGTAGTTCTGGTACACAGCACACCGCTGCCCCTACGGCAGATATCACATAAAAGAAGGCTCCGACTGATGAAGGGTCCTACTAGATCCAAGAAGTTCCGAGATCGGCTGCAACACCGCGCATGCCATTCCCACGTGTTTGGTCGCAATCGCGACATATAAATTTCGCAAGTGTTCATACCGGTGTACGACCTCGACCTCTCACACTATCATACTTTTCATGATCCATCGACACACGCGCAAACTAGATGTCCATACCTACTCAACCTACTCAACCTGAGACGGCGTTCACCATGCCCACCGAAACGCCGCTATGGTCCTACGGATTCGAGTGCGACTGCTTCAAGGCATTCGCAGTTAAACGCAGATGCAAGAAAGAAGGCGGCAAGTTCTGGCCGCCTTTGGAGGACGACGTCGAGCTCGAGCGCGACCCCGACCCGAAGCTCGCACTCAAGCAGAAACAAGCCACCAACCAGAGCAGGGAGATATCCCGCGCCGTCGACGTCCTCCATTGGGCCCAACTGTTCCTGCAGAACAAGGCGGGCAACAACTACCTCTTCAAATGCGTTAACTCAGTGCACAGTGGGAAAACGGGCACGCAGGATCGCTTTACAATGATCGTCGATCTTGCGTCTGCGCGTGCGTGGAAGCGCGCGGACATCGACATGGCGGCGGTGCTGGAAGAGTGGGAGCTCCCGGACGAGAAGTCCATGGCCGTGCTGCGGGAGTATCTGGGCGAGCCGGCGTGGTTCTTGGAGACCGAGTATGTGCGGCGCAACAAGCTCTTTCCCGCTCTGGAGAGCGGGGAGTTCCAGGCTGTCGTCGGGATCCCTGTGGAGAGCCACCCGACCGTTGGCACGAGCGCGCAGGTACGTTGCGAGCTCGTGGTCGTCGTGGCCAGGATTATGTCGTCTTTCGTGTTGTTAACGTTGTTGTTCACGCATAGGCGCAGTCTGCGGAAGGCCCCGAACGCGAGGTTTACTAAGCGGATGTCGGTCGATGCAACGCAAGTGCGTCATCTCCGGTGTCTCTGCAAGAAATCGTGCTGACAGAGAATGTAGTCGATGCCGAAGCACCCCAGTGAGCCTACGAGGTTATTGTCAGAGTCATGCACGCAGGATACGGACTAGCAGAAGGGCTGCGACCGCGGTACGGATATGCGCACCCATGTTGTTGTTCTATCGTACGTGATGCATGTTCTGAACGTCTTGTACGCACACTGGACTCGCGTAGTTCCCAATTGTCGTTGTCCAGCATGTTCCAAAAAGACCTTTTATGGGAGGTCTGGCGTGGCAGGCAGAGAACGGCCCCACCTTCAAACTCATGCTTTCCGCCCAAGCGATGCCTCTTAACTGGGTCTTCACAGTGCCGAGAAGGCTAAAGTGGCGCCGAAACAGCGCGCTCGGATTGCTAAAAGTGCGAGCACTCGGCTCACGACCTCGGCTTGAACATGAAAGAGACGTGAAGCTTCTGCGAAGATGACGTACCTCTCCGAGCGTCGAGCGAGACACCTCGATGATTCTACAGCAGACCCCATGTGACGCACGATTCCTTCACTAAAAAGGGCCTGTAAAGATTTCAGTACAATTCTCGTCGCATCGTACATGTTATCGTATCAGTTTTTGTCACTGGGAGCCTGGGGTCGATGCCAATGATACTTACGCGTCCAATAGTGTCGCACCATTGGCAGCGTAGTATCTGCGGGACACGATCACGCATCCGGCACCTCCTCAACACATCGGCGCAATATTTCCTCCACAAAATGCGCCACGATCTGGCGTCCCCCTTTGGACGGGCGCCTGTACAAACCATTGTCAGCTCTTCTCACCTATCTAACCTCACACGAACTCACCCATCGATATGATAGAAGAGGTGCTCCGGATTGTCGCACATCCGCGCCGCGCCCCATATCCGCGAAAACGCCGCGAACGCGACCTTCAGAGACGCGTTGGCGCGGAGTGCAGCACTTGGGGTGTCCCATCTAACCAAATAAACGTAACATACATACCACATGGCCCGAGAGGATGAATAGCATGTTTCTGGACGTAGAACTTGAAGACGTTGGTGGTAGGAATCATGAGCAGACACGTAGCAGTCGATGACGAGAAACGGGTGACGTCAGAACCTTAGGGCAGGCACCACTACGTGTAACCGTGAGTGGGAGGGAACGTGAAGGGCTCGTATGTTCGAACAAACCGCCCGTCATCTAACGGAGACCAGACAGAACCTCACTCACCTCAGCAACTCCGTGTTTATCTCCTACAGCACATATTCTCAGCTCAGCACTTGATACGCACTGCCCATACCTCGATCTCCACTGCATCACCATGGAACAGGTGGACCGAGATCATCCTCCGCTCTGGCGTTGGGGCTTCGTATGCGACATGGCGCGGATCTTCAAGCTAGCTCGAGAGGTCCAGGCGCAAGGCGGCTCCGGCCCGAACCTTGCGCCCCTTCCGACCGTCGACTTTTCGAGGGACCCAGCCAGCCTACGAATCGCATCGGACTCCAAGTCGGCCCTGGGCCCTGACCTGAACAAGAAGGACGGCAAAGCGGCCACCGTGGAGACGCACCGCGTGATGGCGGTCTTGCTCTGGGGCACGAAGTATGTGTCCGACTACGTCCGCATGTACCGCATGGCCAGCCGGTACAAATACGTCCACACGGGAGTTACCGGGGAGGACGTCAACGACATGACGCGCATCATCGCGTTTGCGAGTGCCAGGACGTGGGACTTTGGAGACCTGGATGTCCAACATGCGAAAGGGGATCTTCCGGACCGCCGCCGGCTGGAGAGGTTCGAAGAGCTGCTGGGCCCCCCGGCTTGGTACTTGGCCATCGAGTCCGCAGACAGGGAGGATCTCGCGCCGCTTCTGCTGAGCGGAGAGTTCCAAGCGGAAGCGGGAATGCCGGTAGCGCTCACACAGGTATGGGACACAGTGTATCCTCTGGTGATGCTGTCGATTGACGCAAGCATGCACTACAGGGCACCGGGTCGTCACAGGAGTAGAGATATACAAGTGCAATTCCGGTTTTGTTGCAACTCGAGAGTTCTTTGTTACATCGGCAATTCCTAGCTATGTAGTAGCCAAACCCGCATGGCGAATGATCGTCCCTCAGCTTGTTGTTGAATCGAACACTGTGATGAGCACATACCCCACATAGGCGGGGCCCATTTCTGAGCAGTATCGCCACGCCCGAGTCTAACAAGCCTACGTATGAATGCCTCCCTTCGCAGCCGGCCTGCACCCTTTCAAACAAGGGTACAACCGTCCGCAGTGGGGACTCAGCGTGTCAGCAATCCCGCGCCGCGCCAGTGTATGGTATACAGCTCACTCCCAGGTTGTATGCGAACGGCGCGCTCTGCGCGATCGATCCAACGGTATCTATGAGTCTGGAAGCGACTGATTCGCCTGGATATGCATCATGTGTTGAGAGTCGGGAAAGCGTGCGTAATGCCCCTGCATGTGTCGGGAGGACGTGACGTACCAGCCGGGATGTTCGTGCTTCAAGTGCATGACTCCGGGTAGTCGGGGAGGTCCAAGAAATCGGAGAACACGCATTGCATGAACGTCTCCCGCGGGAAATTCTTGCCGCGCCCGTGCGCGTCCCCGCAGAGGAAGGCGCGCGGGCTCGTCAGCGGGCTCGCGAGGATGCGGATCGGGTCGATGATGGCTTGCGCGACGGCTTGCAGGTTCGCCATGCGGCCCGCTGTGCGCGCATGGCCCAGGTCCGTGCGAGTTGAGGGAAACGCGGTTCTGGAGTCTTAGAATCTTCATGCCCGCTGAGGTAGAAGGGTGAACGTAGGCGCAGAGGCGCAGCGCTCGTGCGCGAGGGCGTGTTATAGGACAGCAGTGATGAGAGCGGCACAAGTTAATACCGGTGGCAGAGCTCTGAAGGGGTCTGATAGGAGCTACGAGAGATGTTGTGGTCGCTGGTAAGAGCTGGACAACGTCGAGAATCGCGGTGACTTCCATCGAGGCACGGCGAGGTCACAGTATGAGATTCAGGATAAAGAAGGTGTATCTGGACGCAATTGAAGAAGTGGGCGGCTGCAGGAATCATGAGCAGAAAGGTAGTAGTCAATGACGAGGAACGGGCGACGTAATAGCATTAGGGCAGGCTCATAACCTTCTCGCAGATGTCGCGCTTACTCGCATCTCCTGTGCGGGTTTGTGATATCCTAAGCCTGACATCCTAAGCACGTTCATTTGTGTTTACAATAGCCTGGTTCTCACATAAATTCTCAATCCAGCTTTTACTACGCACGAAGTTCCTCGTATATGCTAGTAGGATATGAAAGCTTGGCCACCTTTCCGTCTCGCCTGATACCTAACCATGCAGATACTTATGCCGATTATGTCCGAGTCCCCACCGATCATGTACCCTATGTAGATATCATTGACACCGAAAAGTCCAACATCATCGGGTCTTCTGCTGGCAGTGCTTTTCTTTGCAGTCGAAGAAGTCCTGTCTGCGGCTTGCTTCCTGTCATCGCTCTCACTCCCGCCACGCGTGCAGACGCGGCCACGTGGATTCGCATCGTGCATCTTGGCATGTTCACGACGTGTAAGCCGCCGATGCCGGGACGCAAAATGAGCAGAGTCATTACCGATAGCCACCACGACATTTTGGTCCCTCCCAGATGTCACCGTGCCTATTACACCAATCGCCGAGCTCCCATAGCTGCTGAACAAGAGTCATCCGCCCCCACCACCAGGCTGGCGCTCCGAGGCTACGTTGAGGAAGAATTACATCATGATTACACCCTCGATCCATGTGTCATCCCTCCGTCTTCATTCAAAAGCCTCGCGATCTGACGGAGGACCGGGGCGAACCCCAGTCTTCTGTGTCCGTATACCAACAAACATCTGCTCAGCTTGGCGCTCGACGTGCACGTTCAACGCCTACATCTCATACCTCTGAGGATCACCGGCACGACACCACAATGGAGACAACGCGTTCTCAGGACTCGAAGCACCCGCCGCTGTGGCACTGGGGCTTCATATACGACCTCCCATTTCTCTTCAAACTCGCCCGGAAGCTCCAGGCGGAAGGCAGCGCCGGCTCGCGTCGTGCACCCCTCCCGGACGTCGACTTCTCGGTCGATCCGCTGCACGGTGCGGACCTGGAGGACGCCGAGGAGGACGTCATGGAGGACCAGACCTACCGCACAGTGATGATGTGGAACTGGGGATCCCAGTATCTGGCAGACTACGTCTGCATGAGCCACCTGGCCAACTACACCGTATACGTCCACAACGGACGATCCGGGAATGACCAGCGTATGGTGCGCTGTATTGCATTCGTCCAAGCCGATGTATGGCATTACCAGGAGCTCGATGGGCTCGAACACACGAAAGGAGAGCTTCCGGACGATGCGACGATGGAAAAGTTCACGGAACTGCTGGGCCCGCCGGGGTGGTACTTGGACATTCAGTCAACGGCCAGGGACGATATTGGGCCACGCCTGGAGAGCGGGGAGTATCAGGTGGAACAGGGCATGCCGGGGATGTTCACGCAGGTACGGTGCACGGTGTACTCTCTCGTAGGGCTCGAATTGACATGATCATGCTCATAGGACACCTAGTCGCCATAGCAGGAGGAGAGGATGCATCTGTGTCGATGAGTTCGCTTTTGTTGCGTGTTGGGAATTTCTGGAGATGTAGTAGCCTAAACCGCAGAGCATGGTCCATCAGTCCGTTGTGAAATCGAGTGTGATGAACGCACATAGGGCGACAAGACTCACGTACTCCTATACACTTCGTGTGAGCCTGAATTTCATATTATTGCCTCGGTTCGTACGCAAATTACCCCTGCTCAAGTGGGGGTGCAATCGTTCTCGGTGGGGCACTCGGCGTGTCAGTAATCGCGCGCAGCGCGACCGCGCCGCATACAACTCTCCCCCAGGCTGGATGATGAACGATGCGCTCTGCGCGATCGACCCTGTGGCGTCGGTGAGTCTGAGACGGAGTAAATTGCCTGGATTTTCATGTATTGGTAACTGTACCCGCGGGTGGGTGAGGAGAGTGCGACGTACGAGCAGGGATGTTCGTACTACAAGTGAACGACTCCGGTTAGCCAGAAAAGTCCGCGAACCCCTTGATGTTAAGCGTTCGGGCTTCCAGGATCCTCTGTTAGTTAACAGGTGCAATGTTCGATGCTTGGGCAATGTTCGATGCTGTGCGCTTACCTAGCACCAGACCAAACGATAAGCGTGGACACGCACTGCGCGGCACTAGCTTTGGAGGCAGAGTAACAGAGATTTTTTACGATGTAGGATACTACTGTACACAGTCATTACCCGGAATCAGAGAGAGATACGACAGGCAGAAATCAAGCAATACCGCACCATTAGTTAAGCTACCACTCGTTCAGACGATCGCGCGTCCGACACCTCCTCGACGCATCCGCGCAACCCCTCAACACAGTCTGCCATGATCCACTGACCCTCCTTCGACAGGTGTCTGCATAGCATAGAAACATCGTCAACGCCTCTTCGCCCGTCCAACCCCGCGCGCGCACGTGCCGCACTCAGCCATCGATGTAGGAAAAAATGCTCCAAATCATCGCACATCCCGGCCATCGTGCATTGTGCGCGTCCTGCGTACGTACCCGAATGCCGCATATTCGGGCGCCCGTGTCCGCGCCCAGCACCCCGTCTCAGATCCGCACAAACTCAGCGAACGCGACTCGCAGCGGCGCGCCCGAGGTGTTTGCGCGGAGGTCGCCGTTGGTGGGCATAGGACTAGTTGGTGCAAAGATCGTTCAGCCCAGAGAAGACGCACTGCACGGATCGGAACGCGTCACCTGCGGACCTGTGCGTCCCACGTACGTACATGTCCGCGACATGGAATGCGCGCGTGTTCGTCGGCGGGCTGGCGTAGATGATGCCTTGCGCGGCGCCTTGCCGGTTCCCCATGCCGCCCGCTGTGGGTGCATGGTTCACGTTAGTGCGAGCCGGGGGAGGGAATGCGTGTTTAGCTGACTCTTGAAATCTTCGTAGTCGCTGAGACGGAGAGGTCAACCAACACGCAAAGGCCCAGCGCTCGTTAGAACTTACTTGATCCGGTAGAAAGGGGTATACAGCGCCGTATCTGGTCCAAATCATTCGACTGGTTCGACACCAGTGGTTGCCAGTTTTATAATATAATAGCCCACCAACGTGGTACTAGCATTGTGTATTTGGTGATCACCTTTTTTTAATGTCTATCAGGTGGGCCACCAATATATAATCCAAGGCCACCCATTGTAAAATAGACTGGGCCTCCTCTGTCAATGCCTGTTAATTTTATCCTGCCCATTTGGGCTTCCCTGTTGACTTCTGTCAATCCCTGTTAATACCTGTCAATGAGGCTAGGCTGCTTGTAGGTCCCTGTTTACCGCTCTTTGGGCGCTTTTTAGGCTTCCAAATAGGGCAGGCATACCAAATGGCCGCACCTGGGCGCTTTTTTGGATATCCCAATATGGTAGGTGCCTACTACCTCCTCCTGGGCCACCCCTGGGGGCTCATTTTGGGCACTTAAAAGGTCCTCTGGTGGTGCAATCAATTCCTAGTGTATATCTTGTGTTTTTCAGCTTTCTATATGCTCTCTTATGACCCAAATGAGAGGCAAATGCACCCAGAAAAGCGAATCCAGGGCAGGGGTCATCAGGGCAGGGTTGATGCATAGGGGCTCTAATGGGCACCTCTGCATAGATTGTCAGGGCAGTAGTCCTGTTTAGAAGCTGTACTTTAGGCCTGCTAGAGACAACTTGTTTCATGATAACAGCTGCATGGGCCATAGAGATATCACCCTTCGCATTTTCGCCAAAAGCGGTCATTTTGTTTCCCCCATATTCTGGCATCCAAAGCGAATATGAACTATCCCTTTACAGTATTCACTTCAGATTATCACAGGCTTCATAATGAACCCACTCTCATGAGATTCTGACCAGATTAACCTCGACCCTCCTCCTCCCCCCCTCTCAAAAGAATGCCATCCAGATCCTTCAGTTCTTCATGGATGCCACTGAAACAATTTTCATTATGTACTACATAAATATACACATATAGTTTGAGCTTCCCTGGTTTCAGTATGACCTTCCCCCTCTGGGACCTTCTATTGCACATTTCATGGACTCCCAGCATGTTTGGGTTTTATAAATCTATTCCTTATAGATATGACTACCAAAATTGCTCCATATTGAACCAGCGCATACTGAACTCCGTACATATGCTCAGAATCTTTATCGCATCCACAGATCCTCTAGGGTATCCTTATCAGTTGGCTACAGTATACTCACTTCTGATGAATTGTGAATGCATAATATATTGATCAGAGTACATAGTGACATAGCAGTGGTATATAGGAGCCTGATGCAAAAAAAAGTAGAAATTTCCATGAGGAACTGACAGAGTAGTGGCCAGAACACCCCAGAAGTGCCTCTGATGCACTATATGCAGGATACATGGTTCCAGCACTGCATGCTGTGCTGGGCAGCACAAACCACCATTTGATGTATTTCCTGCATATCTCTGTTTCTTCACACTCAAATGACATGATTGTTTTTGCATTATGGAGCTAGGATATAGGACTACAATCTATCAACTTTCTATGCCGCGTAATGGAGCCCTGTTAATTCTACAGAGCATATGCTATGGACTACTGATAAGGATACCCCAAAAGATCCAAGCCTCTGATAAAGGTTTGAGAAGCGGGAATAAATTTATGCATACCATGGCTATGTACGTAGCCAGTTTGGTGGTCATAGCCTCAAAAGGTAGATTTATAGGCCACAAACATGCTGGGAGTGCATGAAATGTGCAATAGAGAATACCAGAGGAAGAAGGGCATACAAAACCCAGAGAAGCTCAGAATATATATGTATGGGTATATAGTACATGATGCATATATTTTCAGGGGAATATGTCAAGAACTGAAGTCACTAGAGGGTATTCTTTTGTAAGGGGGGCAGGAGGAGGGCCAAAGTGAAAATGGTCAGAAAACTATGGATATATGCTCATTTGAAAGGTCCATTAAACCTCGTCAGAACGCGGCTTGGGGATCATTTATAGCGGCTATGAGTGCCAAGATATGGCAGGAACAAAATGACCACTTTTTGCCAAAATGCGAAGTGTCATATCTCTATGACCCATGCAGCTATCATCACGAAACAAGCTGTCCATAGCAGGCCTAAAATATAGCTTTCATATGGTACCATTGCCCTGGAGGTTTTCCAACAGGAACCCATTATATACCCCATGCATCCACCCTGCCCTGCTGACCCCTGGCATGCATTCGCATTTATGGGGGCATTTCCGCCCCATATATGCGTTTAATTGGCGCATAGACAGCACATAATAACTACACATCCATAGCACATTAATCTATACAGCAGAGTGCCCATTAGATGCCCAAAATGGGCCCCCAGGGGTGGCCCAGGAGGAGGTAGTAGGCACCTACCATATTGGGATATCCAAAAAAGCGCCCAGGTGCGGCCATTTGGTATGCCTGCCCTATTTGGAAGCCTAAAAAGCGCCCAAAGAGCGGTAAACAGGGACCTACAAGCAGCCTAGCCTCATTGACAGGTATTAACAGGGATTGACAGAAGTCAACAGGGAAGCCCAAATGGGCAGGATAAAATTAACAGGCATTGACAGAGGAGGCCCAGTCTATTTTACAATGGGTGGCCTTGGATTATATATTGGTGGCCCACCTGATAGACATTAAAAAAAGGTGATCACCAAATACACAATGCTAGTACCACGTTGGTGGGCTATTATATTATAAAACTGGCAACCACTGGTGGGTTCGAAGCGTCTTCACTAGGCAGGCGAGATCCGATGTTAGAGAGGCTATCGGACCGTACACATGGCAGGAGACATACGCTGCTCAAGATCTCGTGCAAACTTCAGCCACAAGCTCAAATCCGTTGCTATGGTAGCTCGGGGAGGTGTCAGATGCTTCAGGATCTCGTGTTGTTGCCCAGAGTATCAAGACTGCAGCGAGAGCGAAACAGGCTAGGCAGAGTCGCGTGGTCGCGCAGTCCATCGTGCGCGAGGGCGTGTCATGGCAGTGCGGCCATACTGATAGCACAAGTTTCGACCCGCGGCAAAGTTCGGAGGGGGTCTGATTGAGGTGCAGGACGTCGTATGGACGTCGATTTGAGCCGAAGAACAGCGTCAGAGATTCAGGTGAGCGCAGTGACTTCCATAGAGTCGAGACACGGCGATTCAGAGGTCACAATATGAGCTTCTGCAGGGAGCGTCGTCAGCACAACACTTTTGGACGACACATATCACAAAATAGATGCAACATACCGCATGCCAGAGGATGAAGAAGGTGTATCTGGACGCAACTGAAGAAGTGTGCGGCCAGTGCAGGAACCATGAGCAGCAAGGTAGCAGTCGATGACGAGAAGTGGGTGACGTAATAGCGTTAGGGCAGGCCCGTTCACTCTTCGCGGGTGTCGCGCTCACTCGTGTCCCCCTGTAGAGAGCCCTGTACCTCGGAGTGTACCATACTACACCCTTTCATAAGGACGCTCGTTTGTGTTTTCCATGTCCTGGCGCTCAATAGGCCCCAATACCTATGGAATGCATGCAGATATGATGTAACATGCTTACAACTGAGGGTGCGGGTACCCATCAGGCACGGTCACTGTGCTCGGGGTCAACGATACGACGGGGCAGACCATCTTCTCCGGAGAGGACAACTTTCAGCCTAGTCGAACGTCATCTGTATCCCTCGTGAGCTTTGCGTGACCTCTGAAAACACAGGAAACACGCACTGAGGATACTTCTTGCTTCAAGTAGGATTCGCAGAGGGGCGGCCGTATCCTGATGCGAGCCGTTAGCCGCATAGCAGGGAACAGTGATAGGAATGGTTTTACCTCTGTGGAATTCGGAGCTCGAGGAGGGCGTACACAGCGGGCGGTTTGCCTGGAGACGGGGCGAACGGGGGAGTCTCGTTGCAAACGCGTGAGGTACAAAGCTGTAATCTACGCGGTATATATACGAGGCGGCAAACGGGAATCAGGCGGAAAAGCGCCGGGCCGAGCGTAGCCGCTCATAGCAGACAGCGAAATACAACAACCTCACCATCGGGAGTCCTTCGCTCGCCATATGACCCTGATGTGATGGGTGAATGCACCAGCTGTGGTTGCGCTTCGCTCCGATGCGCATTGCTACACAGCCGCGCGACCTCCACGGAGAGTCAACTCCAATGAACCGCACAATGACACCAGGCGGCACGTCACAGGTCATGTACACGGTGGATACAGCGCTGCGTGAGGAACAGATCGCGCCCTACGGTCTACGGCAGGCATCAGCATCGCCCCACCACTCGACAGGAGCGCTGACAAGAACAAGAGCCGTCAGTGCATGGCAGAACTTCTCTTCGCATGCCGCTTGAGGCTATTCGCGAAGCGGTGCACATGTCCTTCGCCGCTGGTGTTTGTGCTGCGGTTCGGTCATGCAATGAATCCCGACCACGCTTGAACTTACGTTTTTGGCCTATATAGTCAGTACATGTACGCTGCATGGTCGCGGCGCGCGCTATCTCACGGCGGCTGCGGGTCCGAGATGAGCCCGACGGCACCTCGGCGGGCGAAGGTTGAAATGAGGCTCCTCCTCATCTGCGGTTATAAAAGAGACGTCGCGGTACGCCAGGTTGGCATCGTAAGGGTCGATCTGTCCGTCTAGCATCAATACCCATGAAGACAATCACCTCATTTTTCGTCCTCGCCGCAGCGTTCGCATCTGCGTTCGCAGCTGGCCCACTAGTGCTCAATACTCCGTGAGTGGGACACTGCGCAGACTTTTTGTTGCGAGGCTCACCTTCGTACTACGTAGTGAGAGCGTTGCACAGTGTGTGCCCACCGAGATCACCTGGACCGGGGGTGTTCTTGAGTATCTCCTGCTTGTCACGAGCTCGCCTCATCCACTTACTCGTCTCATCCCTCAGCTCCGTTTAATCTGGTAAGTTGATCATTTCGAGCTCAATTTATTTGAACTGAAGAGTTCATGCCGGAATGCCACCTTTTTGCAGAGGCGAGTCGCTGTACCGCCCATTGTTCATCGTCGCAGAGCTAACCCAGCCTCTGTCTCCCTTTCAGCATCACGGACAGCGCGGGGATCAACATGCCCACCCTGGATCACTTCCCCGGCCTGACCAGAAACTCATTCCTCTGGGCCACAGACGTACCCGCAGGTAAGCACACATGCCTGTCAATAGACAGACTTCTGGCTTGTTCAAAGTCGTTTCTGACTGCCATGATGTCGGGGTGCTCGCAGGCACGGCCGTGACACTGGGATTGAACGACGGCACTCGCGCTACGGTTTTCTCTCCTCCAGTCGTCGTCCAGCAGAGCGGTAGGTCCATGAACTGTTCGCCAGAATAAGCAATCACCTAATCGGCGCCGAAACGCACTTACAGAAAACACTTCGTGCCTGTGAGCAATCTGACGGCGTTGTCACGGTGTAGTAGGAGCGCATTGCACCGGCACTGGCACGATTTTAGGTATATCAAGAGTACAGTGTGACGCATCGTCCATGTCTCTATCGAGGAATGCAATTTTTGGCGCTGTACCGTTTTCTGAAGGTGGAAGTTAAATGCGTGGTCATGAGTAAGTAGCGTTAGACGAGAGCAGAAAAGCAACAACACCTATGGAGCTAGCATGAACGTGCTTCGACTTCAGCGCAGTACCTGAGACCATCGAGCACTGCATGCATATACCTCATACGATGCTTCAAGTTCTTTCGGTCTTGGACGTTGAAATGTTGACAGCGTAGACAGATTTCACAGAAAGCAACTAAAGACTCGCAACGGCGTGGCGGTTGGACCTCACACGCAGGCTGAGACTCTGGCGCTTACATAGCTCCCACACGCTTCTCGTTCGCGCACTCACTTCCTACTGGACCTCTCGTTCTCTCTCTTGCCTCACTGGGCTCACAGATTCCTCTGCTCGTCCTCGAAAATGCAACACATTAGCACAGGCTCCCCGCACTCACGACCCTGGGATATCGCCAAGACTGCACTATCAACGCCGCTCGTTTTCACTTCCTGAATCATAGTCAAGCGCCGACGGTATATGAACATCGCCGATATTTTGCAACCCCAACTTTCCGCTGGTAAGCAAGGCATTCGAACTTTCTATCTGTAATCGCTGCTTATTATCTCCGTCTGTATCGAACCTGCGCTTGCTCAAGCGAGCGTGCAATCGTCCTCCATGGGATACTCAGCATATCAGTTATTATGCACGGCACCAGCCCGCGGTACACAACTCACTCCCAGGTTGGTCCGTCATCCTGGCAGTGTCGATTTTGTTCGCCATCCGCGGATCTCTGAGCCTGGGCACCGTACCACGGCGTGGCAAAGAACGTGAAGAAGAACGGAGTAGTTCTGGTACGCAGCACACCGCTGCCCCTACCGCAGATATCACGTAAAAGAAGGCTCCGACTGATGAAGGGTCCTACTAGATCCAAGAAGTTCCGAGATCGGCTGCAACACCGCGCATGCCATTCCCACGTGGTTGGTCGCAATCGCGACATATAAATTTCGCAAGTGTTCATACCGGTGTACGACCTCGACCTCTCACGCTATCATACTTTTCATAATCCATTGACACACGCGCAAACTAGATGTCCATACCTACTCAACCTACTCAACCTGAGACGGCGTTCACCATGCCCACCGAAACGCCGCTATGGTCCTACGGATTCGAGTGCGACTGCTTCAAGGCATTCGCAGTTAAACGCAGATGCAAGAAAGAAGGTGGCAAGTTCTGGCCGCCTCTGGAGGACGACGTCGAGCTCGAGCGCGACCCCGACCCGAAGCTCGCACTCAAGCAGAAACAAGCCACCAACCAGAGCAGGGAGATATCCCGCGCCGTCGACGTCCTCCATTGGGCCCAACTGTTCCTGCAGAACAAGGTGGGCAACGACTACCTCTTCAAATGCGTCAACTCAGTGCACACTGGGAAAACGGGCACGCAGGATCGCTTTACAATGATCGTCGATCTTGCGTCTGCGTGTGCGTGGAAGCGCGCGGACATCAACATGGCGGCGGTGCTGGAAGAGTGGGAGCTCCCGGACGAGAAGTCCATGGCCGTGCTGCGGGAGTATCTGGGCGAGCCGGCGTGGTTCTTGGAGACCGAGTATGTGCGGCGCAACAAGCTCTTTCCCGCTCTGGAGAGCGGGGAGTTCCAGGCTGTCGTCGGGATCCCTGTGGAGAGCCACCCGACCGTTGGCACGAGCGCGCAGGTACGTTGCGAGCTCGTGGTCGTCGTGGCCAGGATTATGTCGTCTTTCGTGTTGTTGACGTTGTTGTTCACGCATAGGCACAATCCGCGGAAGGCTCCACACGCGAGGTTTCCTAAGTGGATGTCGGTCGATGCAACGCAAGTGCGTTATCTCCGGTGTCTCCGCAAGAAGTTGTGCTGACAGAGAATGCAGTTGATGCCGAAGCACCCCAGTGAACCTACGAGGTGATTTTCAGAATCATGCATGCAGGATACGGACAAACAGAACGGCTGCGACCGCCGTACGGATATCCGCGCCCGTGTTGTTGTTCTATCGTACGTGATGCATGTTCTGAACGTCTTGTACGCACAGTGGCCTCGTGTGGTTCCGAAACCTCGTCCGGCATATTTTGAAACTATGGTAGATTTTGTATGGGAGCTCGGGCGTGGCAGGCAGAGAACAGCCCTACCTCCAAACCCATGCTTCCTGCCCCAAAGACTATGATGGCGCTGAAGCAGTTCGCTCGGATTGCCAAAAGTGCGAGCACTCCACTCACGATCTCAGCTTGAGATGACGCACCTCTCCGAGCGTCGAGCGAGACACCTTGATAGTTCTACAGCAGACCCCATGTGACGCGCAGGACACCGAATCGATGGTTTCGTCCACGGAAAAGGGTCTGTAAGGCTCCTAGGACAACACTTGTTGCACCGAAAGTGTCATCGTACCAGTTTTAGCCATCGGGGGCCTGGGGTATCGATGCACGCACCCGTGCTCATGTAGACGAACATCGCGAAACCTGGATCCGCGCAAAGTGCGAGAACGCGACCTGCAGCGACGCGCTGACGCGGCGGTCGTGGAGGCCAGACGAGGCAGACTGGACGGATGCATCGCCCACGCGCGTGTGCGTGCCGTGTGGCGAGGAAGGCGCCTTCGTCGACGGGCTGGCAAGGATGCGGATCTAGTCGATGATGCCTTGCGCGGCGGCTTACAGGTTCGCCATGTCTTCTGTTGTGAACGTATGACTCAGGTCAGCGCGAGTAGAGGAAAACGCGGGTTGGGCTGACTCTTGATATCTTTGTACTCGTTGAGCGGAAGAGTAAACTGTTGCGCAGAGGCGCAAAGCTCGTCGCCGCTTACATGATGCGAAATGAAACGGTGTACAGCGCCGCCTCCGGAGCTAGGTCGTTAGACTGGATCAGGAACGTTTTCACTGCACGAGAGAGATTCAGCATTGCAAAGGGGGTAAAATCGTACCCATGGCAGGAGACATACCTTCCCCAACAAATTCTCCCTCCTTGATTGCGCTCAGCCACAAGGCCAGATCCTTTTAAGCTCCAGACTACTATAGCAGCCCGGGGATGCGTCAGCGCCGCCTCAACCACTGGCGCTTGCAGGACTTACAGCGTAATCTGTGGTTGCCATCAGCGATGTCCTACCAAGACAGGCGACACGAGTATAGCTGCTGTCCTCTCTTCAGCCATATGTGTAAGAATTCTATCGCCTTGAGTAAGTATAGTAATGGCCAACTAGTCGCAGCGCGGTGGCGTGTACGTTTGAAGCGAATGGAGAGAGACGTACCCCCAAAGCGGCGATGGACTTCGTAGCTCACAAGTAGATGCCTGCGTCCACATGCGAGACGTTTCCCGAGAGCGGCCCACACACAGGGGACACAGCGAGGTATATGTCGTTGCTAGGGTCCTGTTGCGGCGGAGTGCAGTACACCAGATATGAGACGGAGTGGCGTGGCTGGCCGCGCGAGGGCGTGTTGTAACACAGTAATCATAAGAGCGGCACACTTTACGACCTGTGGCAGAGTTCGCAGAGGGTCCGGTAGGAGGTGCAGGAGATCCTAGGGATGCTAGTAAGAGCCGGACATCGTCGGGGATCCAGGTGAGCGCAATGACTTCCATCGAGGCACGGTGAGATCAGAGCATGGAATGCTATACGGGAAGATGTCAGCGCAGCACTTCGAGATGCCCCAGACGGCGAGATAAATGCAACATACGGCAGGCCAGAGGATGAAGACTGTGTTTCTGGACGCCGAAGCTGCAGCCGTTAGGAATCCTGAGCAGAAAGGTAGCAGTCGATGACGAGAAACGGGTGACGTAATGGCATTAGGGCAGGCTCACACCCTTCTCGCGGGTATCGCGCCTACTCGCGTCTCCTGTAGAGAGCCCTGTAACTCGGAGTGTATCATACACCCTTTCATAAGCACACTCGTTTGTGTTTATCATGGCCTGGAGCGGCAACGCTCAATCGACCCCCCAACACCGATGAAATTTCTGCTCACCAGAGTATGACAGTTTGGCCACCTTTCCGTCTCGCCTGATACCCATCCGTGCAAGTACAGGCTTATGCCGATTATGTCCGAGTCCCCGCCGACCATGTACCCTAGATATCATTGACATCGAAGAGTCCAACATCATCAAGTCTTCCTCTGGCAGCGCTTTGCCTTGCGGTTGGCGAAGTTCTGTCTGCTGCTTGCTTCCTCTCATCGCTCTCACTCCCGCCACGCGCGCCGGCCACGTGCATTCGCATCGTGCTTCTCGGCATGTCCGCGACGTAAAACCGCCGGCGCAATGGCGCACGTAGTTCCGCATCATCCACAGCAACTACCACGAAATCCTGATTCCCATGGCTACTGAGCAAGAATCGCCCGCCACCACCACCCGCCGCTACCCCATCCCGCTCTGGCGTTACGGCTTCGAGTGGAACCCCGACAAGGCGCTCGAGCTCGCGCGCACATGCAAAGCTCGCGGAGGCGCGGTACGGCCCCCACTGCAGGACAGGTGGGACCTCGACCGCGACCTCGACGGGGAACTGGCGGGTGAGCAGCTGAACAGCCGGAAACACGGCTTCGCCAGCGCGGAGCTCGGCCGCGGCGCCGACATCTACGCCTGGGGCATACTGTTTCTCCATTACCAGACTAGGGTGCCGCGTATAGGCGAGGAGCCCACCGCAGTACATACTGGGAAGACGGGCGCGGGGGCGGATATCGTGTCGGATGTCATCCTTGTGGGGTCCGCGTACGCAAAGAAGGCCGAGCACCTGAGGATCGAGTTCGTGCGGGACGCGGGGAGGCTCGTGATCGCGGAGGACAACGTTGACATACTCCGGGAGTATCTCGGCGAGCCGCAGTGGTTCTTGGACTGGGAATATGCGGAGAGAAACAGGTTGCTTGACTCGCTGGAGGGCGGCGCGTTCCAGTCTCTGGTCGGTATACCCGTGCCAGGCAGCGATTCGGTCTCTGACGCCTAGGTAAGCTCTAAGAATCCTTCACGGTGATACTATTAGCATTATTCGTCCGTCTCACATCGGCCTCCAACCCCTTAGGCACACCTTCATGAAGCCTTCGCGATGGTTCTGCGTGGGATGCCGAGGCTTGGAGGAGGATGTTGGCGAGGTGGTGGTTGGCGCCTAACAAACAGGCGCGCACCGGGTTAGGAAGGTGTGACGTCATCGCATTAGGGCAGGCATCGTGAGCATGCGGCAAGGGAAATGTCCAGCTATCTACTTTTCTCTCCGTACTTTTACGACGCAATCATCAGCAGCTCTCTAATACGCATGGAATGCACTGTGATACGCCACGAAGACAGTTCATGCACGGTGCCTCCCCTCTCCACGGTCTACGTGCAGCGCTCGTACGTATACACGGATGCCGGCGTTCACCTGAATCACCACGCTCGGACACTTGACCGACGCGCCATGCGAGAGCCTCGTTGTCCGCGCGCAGAGTTCCTCGAACGCTCGAGGCTGAGGCCTGATGACCGCCTCTGAGCGAAAACTCTCTTGGTGGTCTGAACGTGCGGACACATGCACAGCACAGCAGCGTCGGGCGACGCCACTTCACGCTACGCAGGATCGCCGTCCCGACGCCTGCCGCCACCCTCGAGCCCTGGCAAAGAAAACGATGTAATTCGAGTACATATAGTGAGTACCAGTGCGCCCCGTGTTAAAAAAAGGATCCCTTCAGAACTCGTCGCTTTCATTTACAGATTTAGCAAACGCTCGTCACGGGCCCGTTCGATCCCCGCACGCTACTCGACTGCATTCACCCTAACATGCACGGTCGTGATACTACACCCACCCACTGCAATGCAGATAGGCCACAGTCGAGTAATAAAGCCCAACAGGCATCTGGCGCCAACCCAGCCGGTCCCCTGCGCGTCGCGCCAGCACCTTGCTTCGGTGAGTCCCGCGACCATCCGCTTGTCCATATTCTCGCGCACGCATCAAGCGGCGCGCCTTCACGTTGTGCCCGTGTTGTACACCACCTATCCCGTAAGGAGTCTTTTCAAAGACAGAATCCGACAACCTAGGCCAGTGTGTGATAGGTGCCCTCCGGTAACACGAGGCCCCAACGAGCATGAAGCGTGTGGAAATGTGGCAGCTCGCTGCAGCAGTTGCAGTGCAAAACCCCATGCAAGCTGATGAGCGTATGCTAGGATAGATGAGGAAGAGAGCAAGCATATGGGCCCCGGGTATATTTAGCAGGCTCTGCGCCATGGGCGGATCGATAACTGACTATGTATAGGCCAGGAATGCCTATGAACGCTCGAACGTCAACAACATGTAGACGCCTGTCGAAGTAGGAACACGATGCCAACGACACGCCGCCGCCGCCCGACCCCCCGCATTCTGTCTCTCCTCCTCCCACCTTCTTCCTACGTTCTCATTGTTGCTTCTTTTGCTGCTGTACTCGACGACGACTCTCAAAAGCCCAGCGAGGACGAGAGACGACATGCCACGCGACCCGGATGGCCGCTCAGCGCTAATCGCAGACCTCGACGAAGGGGACCCGACTTCCCCTTTCTGCGACGGCCCGTTCACAGAGACAACGCCAGACGTACTTCTTCATGTTTAGAATTAGGATATATCATTACTCCTGTCCCTAATCAAAATCTCCCTCCAGCACGTTCGCGAGCCGCAGGACGACAATGCGACGTCCTCAGCCACGTCCCCGCCTCTCCCAAGCGCGCGAAGCTTAACACCCACGGAACGCTTCCGCTCAGTCGTTCGCAGACTGATACACATGCGGAAGACCATCCGCCTCGTCGGCATCGAGCCCCGCAGCGCCGCCACGCTCCTCAACTACAGCCACATCCGGCAGCGTTGTACGATCGGGATCATGGACTACTCGAGCATACGCGCCGACGCGCAGCGTATGCGGAACGCCGAGTTCGTCCGCTTCCTCAAAAACGATAGGGCGAGCCGGAGGGCGCCGTGGGCGAAGGTGCGCTGGATCAATGTGTGCGGAATTAGCTGGGACGTCGTCAGCGCGTTGGCGCTCAAGTACGGTATGCCTCCGTCTTGCCTATTCGCAGCCGCCTGTTAGATGGCTCGCGTCTTATGATGGCTTACTCGTTCCCGGGTTCTAGATTTGCACCCCTTGTCGCTAGAGAGCGTATTACAACAGCGCGGAAACGCGCGCTCGAAGGCTGACTACTACAACGAACACCTGTTCCTACGCGTGCTTTGCCATAGGCTGTCCGACGATGATGCCCACGCAAGTATTAGCATCCAAAATGACGACGGCGACGATGATCAGGAGGAGGATCAAGAGGAGAGAGAGGATGAGGATCAAGAGTTCCAATCCGAGCGCACGGACGTCGAGAACCTGCCCGCATCGCGCCGCACTCGATTCGCCGATGCACAGGACGTGAAAGCGAACAAGGATGCACGCAACCGGGCGCTCCTCCACGAGCTCAAGCGCGGGGACCGCGTCAACGTCACGGTCTCACCCCTGTGCATATTCCTGATGCGCGATGGGACGGTCATCTCGATACACCAGGGTGAGTGTGCGCATCTGCCACGGCAGCGGCAGAGAGTAGAGGGTGTAACTGACCTGATGACTGTGTAGACAACACCCGCGACTTCACCGCGCCCATTTCTCAGCGATTGTGGCAGAGCCAGGCCGGTTTGCGCGCCACTGCGGATCCGTCGCTGCTGGTGCAGTCCCTTTTGGATCTCGGTAACGCCTTGCAATCGTGTGTATGTCGAATCATGGTGCTGACAATGCTGTTCATAGTTGTAGACCACGCCTTGGCGGTCATCGACGAATACCAACGCAGGGTCCTGAAACTTGAGCAGGCTGTACTGATTAAGCCAAGCATGAAGATTGTTCGCCAGTGTAAGTGCAGATCAGGCAAAGCGGATCGGGAAGTGGTGGCAAAGACTGATTTCTCGTCGGCGGGACAGTGCATATTCTGCAAGGAGACCTCATCCTACACAAACGAACACTCGAGCCTATCACGACCGTCGTTTACGGCTTGCGGCGGTACGACCTCGACCGTGTGACGGCGCTAGGGCAGCATGATGACCCGAACGCTAAAGTAGAAGGGTACATGAGCCACAAAGCTAATATCTACCTCGTACGTTCTGTCTACTCCAGTCGTGCCCACTTCTGATCGGGATTTTGTTATACTGCAACCGTACCTTGATACTCAGGCGGATGTACACGACCACATGGAGTACATTCTGACAAGCCTCGACATGATCGCAGGGATCACGGACAATCTGATCAACTACGCGTTCAACGTGAGTTTCTCCAGTACATTATAATGCCTCGTCTGTTGCCAGTGATTGGAACTCACAGACTCGTGTTCCCTCAGATGGCGTCCTATGATATGAACGAGACAATGTGAGTCTACTCGTTATAGTGGCACCCTCCTGTTTCCCCCGGGTCAGCGGGATGGCTCTTCTGTAGCCAAGGAGGCACCGCCTATGGTGGCCTGCCTGCACGGCGCATGTAAACGAATGCGAAAAGCAGCGGCTAAGCGTCGATTCTTTTACTAGGCGTCAACTCACTCTGGCGACGATTATCTTTCTGCCGCTAACGTTGCTCACGGGTTACTTTGTGTGTCCCCTCTGTCATCTCAATCGTCCCGAAACGTGTGCTGACTGTTTGCTGCCTGCAGGGAATGAACTTTAAGGTCATGTCCATCCACCATCTCAGCGACACCTTGTGCGTTTTATACCCATGTCACACTGTGAGGCACATACTGATCGTACGCGCCTGGAAGCTTTTGGGAGGTTGCGATGCCTACGATGGTCGTGGCGGTGGTGCTATTCTTGCAGAACGACATCAAGCGCATGGTGCATTACCTGAGCAAGAGGATGACGCGCCATCGTATCAAGAAGGTGCGCGCTCTCTCCATGTCAGGACGGGGGGCGCGGGTTTTGATGTCGCTGCCACAGAACTATCGCTACAAGTACGTGTAAAGCTCCAGATTAAGTGTCTGATCTCTGTCGTTCCTCTCTACTGGCAGTTGTATTCTATCGTTTCTTTTGTTCTCCTAGGAGGATATCCCTTCTATACTGTAATGCCATGCGTACCGTGCCCATCATATTTACTCGCTGTCATGATGACATGAATTGGAGGCGTGTAAACATGATGAACATAACCAACCTTCTCGCTGTGAAGCTTCCATTTTCCTTCATCATGCACGCAAACCAGTTGTCCGTGCCTACTCAACCCGAGACGGTGTTCACACACGTACGAATAGTAGCCTCGCGTGATTCCGAATGCTCGAAGATGTGCACGTCGTAAACAGCGGAGTTGCCCGCTGAAAAGCGTCTGTCTACTGCGACGAGCGTCGTACTAGAGCCCTCATATTACATTGCAATTGCATCAGTCTTCATCATCGGGAGCCTTGGGTTAGTTCTTGAGATACTCAAACATCCAAACTTTCGTACCATCGACAGAGTAGCACCTTCAAGACACGATCACGCATCCGGCACCTCACCACACCTCCGCATCACCTCCTCCACGTAATCCGCCATAATCCGGTGCCCCTCCTTCGACGGGTGCCTGCAAAACCCCCCATCAGCTCCTCACTCATCAACCCCTCACCCACCCCCCATACACACTGAGAGCACTCACCCATCGATATAGTAGAAGTAATGCTCCGGATCGTCGCACATCCCGTCCGTCGTGCACCGCGTCAACGAGCAGTCCACGATGCACGCGTCCGTGCTCACGTACCCGAACGCCTCGAAGCCCGGGTCCGCGCCGAGCACCCCGTCCCAGATCCGCGCGAACTCCGCGAACGCGACCTGAATCCTACCTTTGTCCTCGCCCTTTCCCCCATCCTCGCCGCCCGTGGGTGTGGACGCGGACGTGGAGGTGGACGCGGACGTGGAGGTGGACGCGGACAAAGACGAGTTGGCGCGGAGGTCATGCAGGCCAGAGAAGACGGACTGGACGAACGCGTCGCCCGCGGGCGTGTGCGTGCCGCGCCCGTACACGTCCGTGACGAGGAAGGCGCGCGCGTTCGTCGGCGGGCTCGCGAGGATGCGGATCTGGTCGATGATGACCTGTGCGGCGGCTTGCAGGTTCGCCGTGCCGTCGGCTGTCAGTGCGAGGCTGACGTCAGTGTGAGCCTGGGGAGGAAATGAACAGTCGGAGAGGACTGACTCATGGAATCGCCGTAGTCGCTGGGGCGGAAGGGTCAGTGGGTGAGCACGCGCGATGAGTTCGGCCCAGCTTACTTGATACCAAAGAAGACAGCATAGAGCGTGGTCTCTGGGTCGAGCTCATTTGACTGGTTCAGAAACGTCTTTACTGAGCGGGAGAGGTCCGGCGTTAGTGGGGTTAGAATCGCATACAAAGCAGGAGACATACCCTGCCCGACGAAATCGGCCTGCTTGATCGCGCTCGGCCACAGGCGCAAGTCCGTACAAGCTCCAGATTGCTATACCAACGAGAGGCGTCAATATTGCTCCGCAGGGGCGGTCCACATCTATACTTACGGCGTAGTCCATGAGCGTGGCGCCGATGTCGTCGGCGATATTCTCAACCCAGACCTTGCCATCGGTGGACCGCCCACCAGCAAGTGCTTCGGGAGGTATCACGACAGGCGGGGCGAGCGGGCCGCCATCCTCTCTTCCGCCATCGGTGTAGGAGTCCTATCGTGTGAGCACATCTCATGTCAATGGGTCGCGCGCGGCATGATTTAGAATACTAAAAGAGAACCTACCCCGAATGCGACGATAGTCTTCACCTTTGAGAGGTCAATACCCGTGTTCACATCCGATACGTTGCCGGAGAGCGGGCCGCACACAGGAGACACGGCGAGATGTATGCCGTTGTTACGATCCTGTCGCAGAAGAGTGCTATACGCCAGGCCCTTCTCGTATAGGGAGAAGGAGGAGAGAAGTGATATGGCCAAGATGCTTCCGGATGTGAAGGTGGCTTTCATGTTTGTTGTCCAAAGGATCAGGACTGCAGTGAGCACCAGAGAGACGAAGCAGAACCGCGTCGTTGCGCGGCCCATCGTTGGCGAGTGCATGTTATAAGGCTGCAGCTGCAATAATAGCGCGGGACACGAGTGCCAGATCCACGCGAAGGTTCGGGGATGTAGCCTAGTCGGAAGCGCGAGGACGATCTTGTGGTCGCAGGTACGAGTAGGAGGGCGACGTCAGTGATCCAGGCAAGCTCAGAGACCGCACCGAGGCACGGCGAGGTAAGAGCACAAGAAGGCTAGAGATGGTATAGAAATGGAAGTCAGCGAAGGACTTCTTACCACTTCAGGTGCTCGTTGCGTATAAAGAAGCTTCATGACCACGACTGTTCCCCCCGTGACCTTGGAGCATGAACAGCAGACCTCCTCCCAGTGAATACGAGGCGGAGGGAACAATCGGCAAGAAATAGTAGCACATGGGTCCATCTGGCGTGAGCATATCCACGCGCGCACCGGTAGTAGCGAGAACGGGGCGAGGCTTCCGGCATAAGGTGGGCAGGGTTGGACTTACGTGTTAGAACGTTGATCGTGAACCTTCAGTAGTCCTCCGCGATGCGTGTCTCCTCATGACAGACCTTGCACTCAGATTGTTGAGCAAAGCTGAAGCTGAAGCTGAAGGCTCAGAAGATACGATGCGAGGCTTGGAGGATTTTGGCGAGGTGGTGGTGGTTGCCGATTAAGCGATCCTTGCTCGCACTCAAGCGCCTATGGCGTCAAGAAGGTCTGACGTCATCGCATTAGGGCAGGTCAGGCGCATTGAACCGGAACAGTCCCGCTGTTGTACAACCACGTCGACCTCGACACGGAACTGGCTTATGACTATACGACTAGCCATCTATCCAGAGCTAGCGGGGCAGAGCTCCAATATTGGTCAAGGTACCGATTCCTAGCCCAAATCGATTGTCCATTCGACGCGTTCTCAAAATCAGGTAGGCGTACGGCGTATCGAACTTGCATAATCGTAGCATGAGCAAATGAATGCAATGTACTCCGATGTTTGCTCCAGACGAAGTGGCCTTCCTGAAAGTGGCCAAATCCATTAATTCGTCATGCAGTATGCTTCCATTCAGACCCGGCATGCGAAAACATTGACCAAAGCGCGCATACAGATGACAAAACGAGACGCATGAAGCATACGACCACCAGCTTTTGATCAAACCTCCAGGGCCATGCAATCCTAGTCACACGCAATCCAGGACATTGCCGCACACCCTTCCGCCGCGCGCCCCTAGAGAAGCGTGCAGTTGTCCGCTGCAACGCAGGTCCTCAGTCGCTGTAGGCACATGCACCGACAACCGAAGATACTCACATCCCTGCTGAACGACGAAAGCTGCGCTCTGGACGAAATGCTCGTCCGCGTCGATAGCTTGGAGGACAATTTGTGAGCCTACGAGAAGAATTCATGCTGATCAGCCACGCTCCGTCGCCATTCCGGACCACTCGAGAGCGCACCTTCAGGAACATTGGTGTTCCATATGAACGTCCCGCCCGTTTGGAAGGACTCGACGACTTCGTTACCGCGCTGGATCCTGGACGTCGGACGGTTAGTCTCTAGCTCCAACACTTGCAACGGCTTGGAGTTAACTCACTCCTGCAGAGCACAAGGCATCTAATGAGTATGCTGTGCGCTCGGAGATCAAGCTGTGCAACATACCAAGAAGTAGGGTCCTAGGCCTCCCGAGATGGTGATCAGCGTGTTCTCACACTGACGAGCATCAGTTCTATCCAATCGCCAGTCAGAAATGCGACGCGGACATTGTAACTCCACAGACACCTACGGCGTGTTGACGACCAGCGGGGCCTGGGCGAAGACGGACGCCGCGGAGAGGACGAGGGCAACAGTAAGGGTGTTAACAAGCATGTTGTACGGGGTAGTGGTAAGCATGAAAAAGCGGAGATGAGCTGTCGACTGATGTGCGGTTTCTCGTGCCACGGCATCCTGCTCTTATACGCGTGGGCTGGCGTCGGGTGCATCGTTATCGGGGAGGCATGCCCGCGCATAGCGACGACTTGCACCGGACTTCATCTCAAGAGTGCTCGCGCAGGACGGCTGATGGCGCGTCGCGGCGGCTGGCCTTGTCGCAGGCTGTATTTGTTGCTATGACTGAGAAATACATACACTGTCGGCTCCCAGCTGATCAAGTGCTTCGTTCGCGAAAGTGTAGCCGCCGGTCTCCCAGCCCCGTCGTAGCCAGCGCCGACATACTCTGCTTGAGACCTTTACCTGCAGATAACCGTTTTTCGTTGGCCAGCACGCGCATGCGCAAAGTAGCCAACTACCTGGACGACATACGTACCCTACCTTATGAGTGCTGGTATATGCAGCGTAGATCTACATGCTGACATTCTGGGTGACGATCACAAAGGACTCGCGCTGCATGCATCTCCGCGGACTCGGAGATCAGACGTAGGATGCCGCCTATCTTCTCTCTTCAACCCACGCAATGGCCTCTGAAATCAACCTGTGTCGATGCCGACGGCATCCGACCATTTGCGCACGTTTGAAGCTAGCGAATGCCGTGAGTCTTTGGGCATATCTCCTTCAGCTGCAGCATACTCAATCACCTCTTCCATGTGACTCCAGAGCGAGCAAGTGCGTACAGAATCACGTTGTCCTTACCACTTGGAATGTACCACTTGGCGTGCGTATGGCCGAATGCTCAACCCAAAAGGCAAATGCGGCCGTGCATCTGCTGGCTCTTTCGGCGGGGTTAGGCCGCGCGACTAACCCCGGGCACTCGGTCCACCACGCGCCCACATCCTGCTTGATCGCTGCATTGCCACTCTCACATCGGTTCCGACGTGATCGTCGCGCTGTGTCGATCCGGCGTGCGATGTCCCGACATCGGCACTCGAGCCTTCAATCAAATACCTGCTGGTCACTCGCGACTGTGAACTCCCGACGGCGCCGGTGACACAGGATGAGGACGTTGGAGAGGACGTAACACGCCGTGTCGCCGCACGACACCTTGTGGAAGACGCATCCTGGGCTGCAGTACAAACCATCCACGACCGTCGTGTGCACGCCTCAAAACATCCGCCAAGTCTCAGACGCGATGCGCTTCTCCCTCGCTTTCTTCGTCGCTATGGTCGCTTCGGTGGTCTCCAGCGATCTCTAGCTCATCTACAACATCTCCCGCAGCACGAGAGTGCGTACACATTGACGTCTCTCTAGGGATCCAATTGTGCAATCCAAGACTACTCCTGTAACCCGGACTGGCGGCATTCGTGAGTTTGCCTCATATCAGTGTATGCTTAGAAAGTACTCATGCCTGATATTCACACAGCCGTTCAACATGGCATGAGTAGCTTGTTCCTATTGCGTTGCTTGTCCCGCTGTCATGACATACTGGGATGGAGCCCTTCTCGTCTTTCAGGCATGAATAGTCGCTTGTTTCTCCAGCATATCTTCGCCTGACGCGGTGTCCTCTCAAGCATCGTGCGCGACAAGCCCACCGCCGAGTACTTCATAAACATCGCGGAGCGTCCTCTTCTTTGAAACACCGATCTGCCTGAGCTCGTAAGCCCAATCTGATACTATCACCTTGTGCAGCCTATGTCAACGCCGTGCCACGATCCAACAGATGCTTTGGTATATATTTTATTCGTCGTCCTCGCTAATCGGTATCCGGCCCAGTGGTGCGTTGCATGTCTTGCGTGACGTATGCAACTTCTACAGGTTGTTCATGCTTTCTAGCGGACAAGTGCTGCGTGCAACCGCAGTAAGCAATTCGACTTGTGTCGTGAGCTCTCAAGTCTGCTACCGTACATGTACACGGCAAACGACCACCCATCAGATGAGTCTATAAACGTTTCCAGCGCATCGTGGCATAATTTCGTATACATATCACATGTGAACGCGTTACAGTCGTGCGATGACTGCGCACCGTGGGCGTAAGGGGTATCACTACGCACTGTAACGGGAGTTAGGTTGCACTAGTGTCTCTCACTGTGCGTTCTACTCGTTTCAGAGCCTGTGATCACTTAGGTCCGTCAGTATCTCGCAGCGTCCGTTCACATCGCCACTACGAGCTTTACGCCACGAATCTTTTAAGTCAAAGCAGTAAAAATGGTGACTGTCACGAACACAACTTGAAACCATGTCGCGCAGGAAGTCGCATAAGATTGACACCCACGGAAGACCGCAGCAGCGCGAGTCGCCCAGACGGCCCAAACAGCGCATAAGTTCAGTCGCTCGCTCACGCGCTTGTCCAGTCAAGAACCTGTGTTCGGGCCTATGTGGCTGCAGCTGGTCCCGCTGGATAGAAGCACGCATCCTGATCCAGCGTTCCGCTCGCCACTCCGGCGACTTAACACAAAAGTCGCACGGAGGTCCTCAGCTCCCGAGAGGATGCACCGTCCCGGAGGTTGAGCGGGGCGCATCGACGATTCTATAATAGCCCCCGTGTGACGCAAAGTGGTGGTACGGCGTCAGCGGAACGGCGGATAGGTTTACACTGCGACGGTCGGCGTACCACTGCCAGGACCCTTGTGCATCACTCGGGACCTCGGGTGGACCTCCTTGAGACCTAGACATCCAACAGGATCGAATGGCCTATGAAACGCCACATGTTTGAGGGCTCGCAAATTCTGGGCGCGCGGAGACCATTCTCCTCGGTGGAGGACATCATCGATTATCGGCAAGAGGCTCCATCCAGACTTGGGCAGAGGGGGATATTAAGGGAACAACTATTGACCTGAGTCCAGAGCGAGCAGCTGAGTAAACCGTACACTGAACATCCTGGACGTGGATATAGGTACTCACCAGGGTGGCAGCTGCGGTGATCGCACGCGAAGCACGATGCCGTTTGTACGGACAGGTGTCGGAAAGAGAATAGCGCGCAGTCCTCTCTTTGGATGCCTCACAGCTATCGCTGCAAATGATGGGTCCCTGACCCAACCCTGACCTGGAGGCTGGAGTCTGGACGAGCAATTGAGAGAAGCGTCAAATTCACATGGCAATCCCGCCTAGATAGCGTCGCCGTCGGGCAGAAACATACGGACACTGACAACGCACCCAATAGGCATCCCGACGCATCCCATGCACGTTCATTACGCCCATCGCCATATGTACTTGTGGCGGGACGTGTCCCGGATAATTCAATTTGTGCACCTAGCTCTGCATTATTGATGGGAGTATTTAAGATGCCAAGGCACTAGGTCGCTCCCGCGACCGACCGCAGAGGAACAGCACCCGAACGCCACATTCATACCTTCGGAGTCGGAGATCAGCCGTGGACATTCGCCGAGTGGGTCCTGACGAGGACAGCTTTAGCGCGGCCGTGTCCCGGAAGACGTCGTGGCTCCCGCTCGCAGTCGGGGAGACAGGCTTGAGAGTCGGGTGCGCAGACCGCGCCGGCAGTCCGTACCGTGCATATAGCCGTAGCCGACGGCGGAGGTAGCCTGAATGACACGAATAGTCAGCGGCTGCGCCGCGCGAAGGCTCCCCAAAGTCCGGCACAATGCCCTGGAGGGCCCCAATGGAGCAAAGAAGCCGCGCCTACGACGATGAATGGGGGCTGTCGATCGTACCTGTGCAGAGTGTGTTCGTCGCGCACGCGAAGGCGTCGTGTGCGACTCGCCAAGGCAGCGCGCGCGAGCGGCAGGCGTATACCCACACCGGGTCGGGAGCGCATCCGTACCATAAAAGGCAGCGCCCCGCCTCCAGCTCGCGCTACGCGCGCGGGCGCCCCATTTCCCGCCGAAGCGCCTTCATGTGTCCAGGAAGGGTCCGGGGGCGTGCCGGGGTGCCGCGCCACGGTTCGCACCCTGATTCGTGCCGCGGGGTTCTAGCGAGGCTGATGAGCTATAGAAGGGTGCTGCATATATCAGCGTGAAGGGCGCAAAGGAGAATGGAGGACTGGCTATACTGCGTATACCGATGGGCAATGGGGCGGGGATGACCGGAAATCGGGGCGGTCTTGTGGGCGGCCGCGAGGCGACATGACTGGTACGATTTCACAGCGCGGGCCTTGCAGGACGGAACGCGCACAAGAGGAGCTGTAAGCTCGCGGCGTGCGACGAGAATCAGTTTGAGAAGGGTGCCTTGTACTATTCACGGAGGGTCGCGGCCCTTCAATTCCCCACCTCATGCGCGAGGTGCGGCCGCCGGGGCTGTGTACAGACTGAGCCATCTCTCCGCGAAGTCCGTTTGCCTGGGAGCAGATCCGTGCTGGGAAGTTTTCGAACGCCGACGACGTCGTCGTGTCTCGTAAGGGGGTTCGTCGATGGTGGTGGGGTGTCCATTGCGAACCAGCGCCGGTCGCATAAATTTCTAGGGCGCTGTCTCCGACAATGGGGTGCGTGCGGGATGTGCGGTGAACGAGGGGAGGCGCGGGAGCGCTGCAGCAACGCACACGGGATGAAGCCTGCTAGGACCGGGCTAGAAGGTCACGTCCGGGCGGTGGGCATAGCGCTGAACTGTATGTTCTGTGAGCTAAGTTCAATGTGAGTTCCAGTTGCCACCGCGCAGTAGATGCGTGAGGTCACGCACCTTGTAAGCTGAGCTCAATCGACAGTGATCAGCCCGATGAGGCGTTATTACCGCGTGTCGCCCTGAGCCTCATCTCACACGCGCCCCCATACCACTAATGCCGGTATGTTACCACACCTATTTGATTCGACGTCTATTCAGCAGAACTCACCGTCATGCCGTACATCTGGTCACCAATGACGTGCAGCCCGGATTTGGCCTCTGATTGGCGTGTAACGTCGTGTAGTTAAAACGACGTGAGTGGCACGTACCTCGGGGGTTCGACTGCTAGCGTCTGCACGTCCAGTTACAATGCAATACAGATGCGCGAAACGCCATGGCTGGCTGTGGATCGCGCGCAAGCCGGACACTCGTCGGCGTGGAGGCCCGCTCGCAATCGTGGGGAGGCTGACCACCCTATTGGCCACGCGCGTCAGTGCCACAAAGGCATACAATGCACCTTCTGCGGTATCGTTGTCGATCGCGTCCAGTGACCACTCTATGGCGCGGATGCGCTGCTTCGTAGACGTGCTCGTCTTAGATCCGAGGAGCAGGAAGTGAAACACAGGGCCTTTATGCCTATGTAAAGATTAGCTCATCGTAGTGCGGTTGCGAACGCGGGTGCGAACGGTGCACGATCCGGCGTGGTGGATCACTGAACAGCATGCACACGAGCGCCCCCGGACGGGTATTGAATTGGATACCTGCGGCCGACGCGGCATAGACTGCCGCGTGGGCACTAAGAATTTGATAGAGAGCTCAACATGCAGGACGTACGAGGAGGGCGGCACGTCGGTGCGAGGTACGACGTCATATGACGTTTGGAGAGGGTTTGGATGCCGGGGCGAGGGGAAAGTGCCCCGCGCGAGATGCGAATCCAGTTGATTCGGAGGGCGCTAAGACTACTTACTTGGACAGCAGGCGGCAATGGAGGCGTTGTGGCGGATTCCGGACCGACCGCGGGGGGAATTAGGACACCCAGAAGAGGCGAGGGCGACTGCGCGAGAGAGCTGTTGAACGTGTGAGATATGGAACAGGCAACATTGTAGGTCCAGGATTAACTTATACGAGGCGTGGGCAAGAGGAATGCCATATAGAGCGTGTGCTCCTTGCAGCGTGCAGACCCAAAGGTTCGAGGTGGGGCGACCAGTGTCCGCAGGGCACGGGTGGGGACGGACGCTTTACGCGTGTTACGTGTTGAGAAGTTCATGAATTGCGGAGGCGCTGCCGAGATCGCGAGGAGGGAGGGCAATGACACAGTTGATCAAGCTTGGCGAGCAGAGCCGGTTGAGAGTAAACCAGCGACCCAGAGAGATGTCGACCGGGGCAACCGAGGAGAGGCAGAGTGAGCGGAGGATACGGGAATCGCATACGTGGGATCGAGGACCTGCAGGGTTCGCTAGATTGTCGGTAGCGATACTATACTGGGACAGAGTCAGGGACGCACCCAAGGCAAAAGGGGAAGATTACACACCGTGGGGGCGATAGGGCTGCGACGCGCAGACCAAAGATGGCTTAGGCCCGAGATGCGCACCTGCGAAAAGACATGTCTTTGCCGCCCGAATCGCGAATCGCCTGCTAACGCGAGCAAATTGGCGAGCACCCACACGTGTCTCTGCTCGCGCTAGCGTGCTAGCTTCGATTTGCCCACCCAGCCCATAAGTAACCCTCTTCGGGGGAAGGAGCCCTCTCCCCCTCCCCTCTCACTCTGCCTGCGAGATTTTGCCTCCGCGATCCTCCATCAGGTCCTTGGCTCGCGTGGCGCCCGATCTGCGATCATCTCACTGTCGCTTGTGCGCCTCCAACATGGACATCCCTCTTTTCCAATTTCCCCCATCTCTCGAGTCTGAGGTTGCCGCTCGAGAGCGCGCCCAAACCCATCCACGCATGCAGCAACACTACGATCACACGGGTGCGCTTCTCAACCAGAGGCGCGCATCGACGAGTGCATCGCAACTCGTAGACGTTCGCCAATTTCGGGCCACCGCGCATCCCTCAACACCCGTGGGCACTCGACAGGTCGTCCTCGGTCCTCAGGCAGATGCACGACTCACCGATGCCTTTGCGTCGCGCGATGGTCTCTTCCCATCCACCCCGTACGACCCTGCGCGTGGCAGCGCGTTTGCGTCGGCTCCGCGCGCGCTCGCTCCCCCGCATGGACCCCACTTTTCGCTAGATGCACGGCACGGGGAGTACGTACACCCAACCGTAAGTTGATTGATTCCGTTTGATTGTCGATGCCCTTGGTTTTTCATCTGGCTGTATGCGGGTACTGACCCGATCTTCCCGGACAGCGCCCGACCTCGCTGGGTTCGCATGACCAAGCTCAGCCGTACGTCTCTTCTCCGCAGTTCACCACCACGCCCGAGTACGCTGTCGCTGTGAAGCACGAGGAGAGAGGAGAAGAAGAGATGATGTTGTGGGGAGTCCACGGCGAGCAAGCCTTATATGCCTCGCCGGGAGATGCCGCACCGTGTGGGGGGACGATCGAGACGGAAATGTACGACTGCAAACAGGAAAGCTGGGAATATGCACCGGTGCGTTTTGTTTCCTCCACTCATCCCTCTTCATCCTCCTCGTCGTACTCCATCATCTGCGTGTCGTCCGCACGCATGCATAACAGAACTAGTTGCTCACTTGCGGATGCAGATGTATACTATGCAGCCCGAAGAGCTCTATGTCGACACATCGGCTGTCCAGCAGGGGTATCTCCCGTACGCGGTCGATAGCCCGATGTCGTTGGAGTACACAGAACCTCCCCAGCCCTCTGCACCATCATGGCAACCCATGTACGCGCCTCCACCCCCGCCGTCGAACACGCGGAGCTACACTCTCGAGGGTGCGATCACGCCGATTACCCCTCCGCAACACGTCGCATTCCCTACACCCCCACCCATAAACGTTCAGCGTGTCGCCTCGCCTCCACCCATGGGTTCGTTGCTCCCCCCGGCTTCCAACTCGCTCGTTAAGATCGAGCCCGAGTCTTCGCCCATTCCGCCAGAAGCAGGTCCTTCAAACCCGCCAGCAGTGGTACCCATTCTCCCTGTCGTGCAGAAACGGCCGCGCGGCCGCCCGCGCAAGAACCCACCGCATGCGCAGCCACCGTCCCCGCCGCCGACTGTCGACTATCCTTACCCCCACTTCCCCGAGCCAAGCTCTTCGTCTTCGGCTCCTCGCCCCGAAGACGCGCTCATGCCCCCGATGTCTTTCCCTCTCCCCACGGTGTCCGCTGGCACCCCTGGCTCGGACGGGCCGATGTCCGCGTTCAGCGGTAGAACGACTACCTCCGAGACTGCGACCCTTCCCGCTGGCCAAGCGATCTTCCGCCTGAACATGCACAAGGACGGTGAGGGCGACGGGGCCGAGGGACGTGAGACGGAGAAAAAGAAGCCGATAATGGCGTGCCTGTTCTGCCGTGAGCGGAAGATCGCGTGTGGCCCACCACCCCCTGGCGGGCCCCGTCGGTGCAAGTAAGTCGCTTGGCGTTCTCGTTGATGACTCAGCTCACCAGTCGTCTACAGCCAATGCACTCGTCGGGACCTGGTATGCGAGTATCCGAAGGAGTCGCGTCGTGGGCAGCACAAGCGCGGCACCCGCGCCGCCCGCGTCGAAGCACTAGCGTCGGGTTCCTCCGCGCCAACCTCAATCAAGCCCAAAGGCAAAGCAAAGGCCGAGGTTCGCATTGACACCGTCAATCTTCCCAATACGCCTGCTAGTGTGGCTGGCCCGTCCAGCTCGCTTTCGCCACCATACGCCTCCTGTTCGGACGCGCCTTCGTCCCCGCTGACGCCGCTATCGCCTCACCCCACTGAGCGTCCCAGCCGATCGGAGAAAGTCTCTCTGGCGCAGGATCGCGAGGGGAAGGAACGTTCCCGCTCGCGCGCCCCTACTCGGGAGGCATGGGACAACCCCGCCGCGGCCGCCCGACGTGCCGTGCAGCAGCAGCAGAAGAGGCGTGCGTTGGGCCCAAGCGCACTCGCATCCGCGGGCGAAGGGGCCTCGACGTCACCGAGAGTGCCGCAGGACTCCGAGCTCGCGATGGCAATGGGGCGTTGAGCGACGCGTTTCGTCCGCTCTTCTCTTGCGCTACTCTCTCGGCTCCTGTTATGTAACGATTCCACCTTCTCCCCGCACCCCGTCTTCCCCCGCTCTCCTCTGCTAGTCGAGTCGTCTACTTGCTTTCGACTAACTGCTCTCCACCTATCCGCTCATCACTCTTCGCTTTCACGGATTCAGATCGCCTTTACTCTGCTTTTGCTGTTGTACGTAGTGTTGCTCCAAGCGGTCTCGCGTCCATCATACCCACGTCATGTATCTACTGTATCATTAATGTCCATGTCCGCTGTACTTACATACTACCCAGCAGTCCCATCGTCCACCATCAGGTGCGGGACATGTAACAATGTGTTGTCGTAGGTACGCCGCCCACCTCGAGCAAATCCTCGCGCTGGGAACGTAACACGAATGAGCAACCCAGGTCTCTACGCAAGAGCGAGCCAAAGTCAGACGTATCATCAGTGCTACCGTGTCCTCCAGCAACAGCACGAACTTCGTGTGCGACCGCTGCCCATCGTCCTCATACACAACGTCCTGCTTGTAGATCCCGCACGGGAGCGGATCCCTCGGCCGCACGATCCCCCATGCAGAAGATGTAGTCTGTCTGTCCGCGGTACCTGAACGGACGGCTTAAGTCCAGCACAAGCAGGACAGCATGGGGGTCGGAGTGGAATACGCTATCCTCGTCCGGAGGCAACGATGCTGGTTGAGAGGGGATGCCCTCGATGTAGAAGCCACCTTGCGGAGGTCGTAAGAGACACAGAGGGATGACGCTGCCGCCCGGGCCGCGCGTGGTGTCGATGGCGTGGATAGACACTTCGTCTTGGTAACCTATGGGAAGCAGGTTTTTGTCCGGGAAGTGGGGGAAAACAGAGGACGGGCTGGTGCGCCTCATGTGCTGGTGTTATTGTGAGCATCGAGTATCCAGGGAGCTGCGCACCAACATACTTACTAGGCGCTAGACACGGCTTGCACGACTTCAGCTACCACGATGAGCACCTGCGGCAACATGAAGAACAGCACGTCCTGCTCTGAGGAAAAGCCTCGCGATACCCTTTGCATCTAACTGGGGATCGGTCCACGCCGCTTGATCGACCATTTACAAGTGCTTGAGCACGCCGGAGGTCCATGGCGGGTCGGCTAACGAGCAGCCCATTGTGAGTACATAGCTCGTTCACAGCACCTTGAATCTGCTGCTCAATGTTGAATATAGACGTAAGATGTCCTCATGGACGGCTACAGCGTCAGATTGAGCCCGCGTCGGGCCATGACGCGGGGGCAAACACGTAGTTGTGCGTGCTCGCTGATCACCGCATGCGCGGACTCACCGCTCTCTTACGCAGTACGAACACGCGTACGGAATACGCCGTTCCGACGCGCATTCAGAGCCTTCATTAAGATGCAGTATGAAAAGCGTAAAGCCCATGCTATGTATCACTTCGATCACTGACGCAGTTTCCTAGTAACACCGCTGTTTCCATTCTCCCCGCCTACACAAACAAGTCTACAAGTGAACTTGAACTACCACATCCTTGCGCAGATACGGGAATCACTAACACATTCCTTATACGAACAGAGTCCACCCGCGCCCTCGTCGCGAAAACGCGCGCACGCTGCTTGTGCGCACGTGTGCGCGACAGATAGCGCGTGCGGTACGCCGAGGAGACTTTGAATTCCTAGTGGACGGCACAACCGAGCACGCATGAGATAAACCGCTCCCGCTCTCGGTCGTGCCGGCCGTGATGTACCTCCGGGTTTCGTAGGTAAACGACCTTATCTTTTATGACTCTTAAGGCAATTTCGATGAGAGCCAGTCCGCGCGAGAAAGGGACGTTCGTGCAATGCTCTCGCATGCAAGGCTGAGTAGGGCCACCATCCGTTCCTGTGTGGTTGCCGCCAGTCGAATGGCAAAATTTCCGCGAGGATCATGTCGTGCGGACGCAGAGCAGCGGTGGGGCTCTTGATCCTCGTCACAGCGTCGGCTCAGGCTTTGAATACGCACACGGAGGAATACGAGGGCAGGTGTATCACGAAGCTGTCGAGACTCGTTTTGTATCGCAAGAGCGTGCGTAGGCGAAAGAGGACGGCGGGAGTGTATCATCTGCATAGGAGGGCGGTACTTCATCGACCGCAGTTATTAACACCGGCGAGGAGTCATTCTTCGACCTCCAGCGGAGGATTGCTAGATTGGCGGACCAGGCGGCTCGCAAGGTTCGTCTCCGCCATGTGACGTGGGCGTGAAACTGACGTCGCGCTGGTTCGCGTACCAGGAGTATGAGGACCGCGCGAGAATGAATGACCTAGAGCAACAAGTCACCGTCGCCAGAGAGCGGGCTGTGGGTGCCGAACAGCGAGCGCATGCTGCTGAGCAAAAGGCGGCAGGCTCCGATGCGGCAAAAGCGGAATTAGAGGCCAAATTGTTGGAGGATATTGCACAGGTGCGTGCGACACTGTCTCCCCGCCCGCGTCATCATTACTTATACTCACGATCCGCACAGCACAACCAGCAGGTTGCCGACTACGAGGTGCAGCTCAAGCGGAGCAAGACCGAGTGTCTTGAGCAGTCGCTGCTTACCCAAGAGGCGTGGGCAGAGGCCGTGCACATGCGCCAGAATTACGCAGTGCTGAACCGCCGACTCGTACAGGCGGTCGAGCAGAGCGGGCGCGTGTCCACGCTCGCTCACGTGCGCATCGCAGAGCTCAGTGCGGAGGTTGTCGACGGCTTGAATATTGTCCACCAAATGGGGCAGAGGGCACAGGACTTTATGCAAGGGATTATGGCGGGGCGCCACCTCCTTCGCGCAAAACATCGCAGGCCAGGTGAGTGTGCGCTTCTCAGCCGATCCGGGAGCAGTGCGAGCTGACATCCGAGCGAAGTGGCCTCTGGCCTGGCAGGGAAATTAGGTCCAAGACTGCTTTCTTCATCCGTCCCCATCGCGCGCTTACACCTGATTCTATCCGTATACATCTTAGTGCCCCATGTTGTATGTTACGCTCCTAGGAGACGCGCGAGCCCCCGCTAGTAGACCCTTCATGTTTAATTAACGCTGTATATTCAAATGCTTTGAAGAGGAGTTCGTACATCCACTTGCACATCCCATTGTCTTTGCTTCATCACAGCTCTTCCGAAGGATCTGAGAGGAGGCATACGGCCCATATGTATTAGTCCAAGGCTAGTCGATGGAAGATAGAAAGCTAGAGCGACCACGTCCTTTCGTGAGCTAGTCATAACGGTTCATCTTTACAGGCTTCACCCACACACCGCGAACTTCGAGAGCCGGAAGGCCTGCGCCTCCGGACGGCTGTCTCAGCCTGGACGGCCTACTGGTGACCTTTGGCGTATCCGGTAGCGAGCAACTCCTCCACCCCCCTCCATGCAGGCGCTGTAGAAAGCAGGCGCAGTCGCATATTGTTGAGTGCGGTGTGCCTCTGCTGAATATACCGCGGGTTTAAGCACGGGACAGTAACCTGAGAGACGTGAGCAACTCACGGGGCCCGGGTAGGCTTTGAAGCTCTCTGCGGCTGACAGGTACGCATTGACCTCGTTCAGCAGCTACATGACGAGGTGCTGAACAGTTGGCGAGTGTAACCTGGTAGTAGGCGTGACAGACGGCATACCAGCTTCCGAAGCTCGGGGAGGGCGCCCATTTCCTTCTGCTCCTTCTTCAGGAAGCGCAAGACCGCACCGAAGCGGCTGGTCGTGGTCTCCCAATCTATCTTGCCACAGATCTCCATAGAAGTTTGGGCGGCGTTGAGGCGCTTCTGCGCATTGGCCAGTTTGCCTTGCACCACTGCAAAAATAGTTTGTTTGTGGACGTATGAGGGAGGACTACATCACTCACGGAGGATCTGAGACTCCTCGAAGGAGCGGCTGTCACTGCGGTTTCGGGTGGTTTCTGTGGGAGTGCACTATCCAGTCAATCAGCAAGCTATGATACGTATGACCGACTTAGGGATCCGGGGTTTGCGAATACCTTTGGTTTCCTAAGTCTTCAGACATGGTCAGAGACGGTATTTTATGTGCGACCGTAGATGAGTGGTACGTACTCTTGAAGCTGCTCCCGAAGAGCTGACACCGCCGCATTGGCGTCTTCAACCTGTCGTGACACCACTCCGACGCGGTCTTGGACAGCACTGGCGTGCTGTTCTCCCGCCTGCGAGGCATGACCGATGATGATCCTGAGCGATTCCTGCTGGTCAAGCCGGTATCCGTTTATTTCCTACGTGCCGAAAACATATTAGTACACCGAGTCAACGAAACGACTGCTTTCTGACCGTCTTGAGAGCGTCGAGCTCGACGATTAGATCGTCGACCTCTTCAGCTGATACTTCATCGTGCATGGTGAGATATACTATGTGGAGCACATAAGACAAGGTGAGACAAGCATAGTAGGAGGTACGCACTATTGATAGCCGAGGAAAGCTGCACGGCAGCTTGGTGGGCTTCTTCCTGAATCGTTCCGTTGAGCTTCAGCAGAGAGAGGGTTGTCAGTGAATGGAGACCAGCAAAAGTCATGAGAAACCTGCTGCACCTTGTCTACGTTGGACCACACTGCTTCGTCCGTACGCCGTGTGAAGCCGTCTGATTGAATCATGCTACCTCTGAGGTCTGTCATAGCAGCACGCAAGAGCTTCTCGGTGCAGACGAGCTGGCGAATCTCGTTTCCGCAGTGCGTGATCAGCCTTTGTGATTCGGACATTGTCGAGAGCGTCGAGGGTGAGAGACTTGATGTGCGCAAGAGGAGTCGAATGGCCTTGAGCACCCGTCAGTGGATGCTATTGGAACTGAATTATAACCACTCACCATTCAAAGACAGCTCTACCCTCGCGAACTAGGGAGGGGTAAGATGTACGAGCGTGAGAGGTCAACTGCCGCAGGGCGATATTCGGCCGAAGGTTACTTCGACCATGCTGATCCCGCCAGGTCAGGTTTGCATTCAAAGTCTACTAAAAATACCAGCTTCTTTGCAACGCGGATCCATGGCGTACTCAGCGCGATCATGAAGGGACAATTACCGCAGTGCGGTCATGACACTGCCCTCCGCGATCGCTCACGGATTCGACCGGTCAGCACAGGCAATGGGATGGCTACGAATGCCACTTCGATCAAAGAAATCGAACACATCTTACTGTCCGATGCAGGGTGGAGGGTAGAGGGAGTGAGTAGAGTTCGACAAACAAATATCGCAGGTCTCAAGCTTGAAGCGCCCGTGTGACGCGCGTCGCGGGATCGAGGGCTCGCCGGTTTCCAAACTTGTCTTCCCCTCATTGTCTGAGCTAGCATCGAACTTGGAATTTTTGTGGAAACAAGGGGCTAGCCCGACATAGTGATCAAGCAAGTCGACGAGGGGGACTTTGTGTTGTAGTTTGTCATGCTTGAGCAAGTGAGCGCCCGCTCGCCGGCTTTCGCCGAGGCGTCCAGCATCGGCGTGTGCGGCCAGGTGCGGCCCCAATAAGTCCATTTATTGCACCTACCATCGCCCATTTGCCTAAGTACCACATATGTGACAGTGAACTGGAATACAACGGTTTCCTTCTTGATAACCCGATTTCTCAATTGTACCGACAACTTGTGACCACGGTGTCGCTGGGCCCTTAGTATCTAAAAGCGCAAAACCGTAAGCTTCTCCGCTGCTTACATCAAGACATCCTGACTTTCGAACTCACGCAGGTAGAGCTGCCCAGTAACGATCTGCGCCAGCAGGCGTTCCTCGCGTCCAGACAACAGTGCAGCCGTGTGTGCATTGTGGCCGATCTGGTGCTTGGAGGTTCGACGATATGGCTGCGGTGCATGAGGGTGTCCCGCAGCATTTGACTTCAGCTACTGAACATTTCACAGAATGCGTAGAAGCCAACAAAATTTCTGGAGCCCGCGCATTTCCAAGACCTCGGGCACTTGAAGGAGGTTCACCGCCGTGCTTCAAAGTTCAAAGAACTATACCATGCTGTTCACCATGAGGTGCCGTTGTTCCGAAGCGAAGCACACCCCTATCTTCATGGTGAATGCACCTCAACCACTTCGTGCACAGCGCAGTCGCGGTATGTCGACGCAAGTATCTCGAACCCACTTGGACTTTAATTATTAAATGGTCTAGCATCCCCTCTCGCTCCTCAGCGACCGTCCCTTCCTGCTCCTGTGTCCCAGAGACTCTCGTCATGTCGACCGCTACTACTACTTCTGTGGAGGTTGATTACTACGCGTTGCTGCCAGTGCTCACTGGCAGGCTGCGTAGCGACCTCGATGAGCCCCCGACTGAGCAAGAGTCTTTCAGCAATGACTTCCAACAGGAACACAACGCGTCGCAGATGTACCGTGACATACGCCAGCTCCGCCAGGCGGTCAACGACATCAACAGTGTCTTCCAGAAAGTCAGAAACGACCTGGAAGGCTTCGACCAGAGTGGGTTCCCCGCCCAGGACGGACACCCGATGGTTACCTATCACTGGACCCAGGTTCGCCACAATGTGAGTCCTCACATTTGCTCCGATTTTCGTCTATGTACACGCTCAAATATATTGCAGCTCTTCAGGCAGACCATGGAGCAGAGCTACAACAACGCGGTAGTCGCTTCGGAATTCATGAGCCGTCAGTGCCGTTCGCCCCCAATCGACTGTTCCTACTTAGCACTGACCGTTTTGAGAGCAGGTCACTGCAGGCTCCTGCCAGACTCGGGTAACAATATCAACGTCGACACTGTACCAAACCTGGTGATCGAGCTCGAATGGTTTCTGCAGGTCAGTGGTGAATCTTCGACTGAGCCGTTCTCCGGATGATGATGCCTGCGACTCGGGGTTACACTAGGAACTCAAGGCGAAGGAAGACGTCGCTTACGGGGCACAGAAAAGCTTCAAGACGCTCGCGGAGCATGTCCGTTTCTATGCAGCCGTTTTTGCCGACCATCTGCAAAGTGCCTCTGGACAAGTCGCGGCTGAGCTCACCAACACTCGGGCCCATCTGGCCGATCTTCAGCGGCGTCTCAATGTGTATGTACACCTTGATATATTCTGACGTCCTCACTGATGTCCCCATCCTCCAGGACCCATGCTAAGGTAGCGCATCGCTAGTCTTTAAAAAAAACTGCATCCTTACTGCAAATGCCGTTCTAGATAGAAGAATGGGAGAGCGACCGCGATGCTGCTACGGCTGCAATGGGAGCCGCCAGTGTATCCCTCTTCTTTATTCCATTTGTCGGCGTGGCAATGACGGGGGTACGTGTTTGTCGATGCGCACTCAGTTTACTCTTGGCCCTGATCCCGTGTCTTTACTACTAGGGGGCCATACATGCCAGGAATCTGGCGTTGGAACGCCTCGACAACTCCAGGAGACAGGCATCTTGTATGCTTCCCTCTTGTCGCATGCGAACTGTACTGACGACATCGTTTGTGATTTCCAGCTCTGGAGAGAGAGATCAACGAATGCATGCATCGTCTGGGCCCGCTGCAAGACAAAGAACGCCTCCTCAACCACTACCAACAGCTGCGTAACACCACCGAGGTCGACATCGCCGCTCTGGCGAACAAGATTGAGATCATCTCAAACATCTGGCAATGCGTAAGTCGACTGATACCAATGCTACGACTCATTCGTAGCATTGGTATCTTTTTCTAGCTCAAGGCTGACATGCAGAAGGTGCACGAACAATTGCGGCTAGCCCTTATATTCAAGATTTTACCGGTGAGTTTCTCGGCGCTTGGTGATTCGATATGACTATTATTCGATACTGAAGCCTGCGATGCAGCGTCGGTTCATGGTGAGGCTGCGGAATGTTTGCAAGATATACTCGAACCTCGCTGTGCTCTTCGAGGAGTATGCGAACCACTCGTAGGTACCTAAGCACCGGGTGCCGGTGGATTCGTACACGGCGCCCCTCGCCCATCCTGGATCCGGAAGCTATGATTCGCGCTCGCCCTCCGGCATGGGCTGCCGCTGCTACTTTTGTATCTTTTCTCGACTGTCACTCTTATCTCTCCTGTAGTAGTATGCACCGTCGAATATCCATATGTATGGACCATGCAGCAGCCTTAGCGGCCTCGACGGTCTCTCAGAGTGATCATGAATGGATGCAGCAAGACGCGCATGGGCGCCTTACGCGATCACATGTCTCCGCCCGCAACTGTAAAGATAGACGCGCAAAACACGTCTCTTTCCTTCCTCTTCTACCATCATCGCTATGGACGCATGTTCTCTATCGCTCGTCGCTGCTCGGCCCGTATCCTGCGCAAGAATACCATGAAAATTTAGCGAGCCCGGGACGCACATCGTAATGTTTGGGATTGAGCGCGAGAAGCTCAACAACAAGACCAATGCCTCTCCACCGAGCACTGAAAGCACCGCGCCGGGGTCGTTCCGGATGGCATTGCGTGGCAGTTGTGCAGCTCATGCCGGTTTGGAACGCACGAAGTGTTCACCACTAGTGCGCCAAGGCTACGAACAACGGCTCGAGGACGCGGAACTCGAATTCAAGATTGTACGATGCCAGGGCCTGTACGAGCACGCATCGCGCAGGTATGTCGCGATACCTTGTACCCCTTTCGCAGGGAGGACGAAGAGAATGAGTTTGCGACGGACCCGTTGTCGAGGGGTGACGGCGACGGTTATCCATGTGCAGTGTTGGCTGGAGCCGAACGGAAAAAATCCTGTGTATGGGAGTTTCAGCTATCTTATTACTAGTGGCTGCGTGCGTGCAAAGTTGCAGATGGGGATGCCCGAATCGTGCCCGAATACCAGTGCATATTTTGATTCTCAAGCTCCCCTTCGCCCAGCACAGGGCTCGACCTCCTGATACAAGAAACTCAAAATCGTGACCTACAATGTTGCTTCCCCAATATACTGATACTTTCTAACTCACACAGGCCGCAAGGCCGACGAGAAGAATACTCGCCTCAGGGTCTAAACTTCGAAGCAGCGGGGGCAGCGTATGAGGGCATGCCGCAGCATTTGGCTCAGCTACCGAGCATTTCACAGAACACTCCGAAGTACCACTCAGACGTGGCGCCCGTCATAAACTCTCCGAAGACTGCTACGATTCGCGAAAGTTGCACGGCCGCGCTTCAAAGTTTACGTAGCTCTACCAGGCGGTCCACCATGAGGCCGCTGGTCCGAAGCAAATCGCTCCTGGCGGCAGAAGGCTTGCCTTCAAAGTGGAGACGTGCCCGGGGTCTCATGCCTGTGGTGGCTGCGGGAAGCCGGTATCGGGAGGCCCAACGCACTCGGACACGACTCGGTTTAAGTATAACGTCTTCAGTCACTTCCCTTCAGCGACTGCCTCTCCTGCTTTTGCACTGCACCTGATCCGGCCATGTCGACTACCATCACTACCACCCCCGTCGACGTCGAGGATGAGTACACGCTACTGCTGCGCAGTAGACTCGGGGATGAGCAGACGATGAACAGAGTGTCGGAGTCTTTTGAGAACGTCTTTCGACAGGAGAACATCAGGTCGCAGACGCTCAGCGATATCCGCCAGCTGCGACAGACCGTCAACGACATCGACAGGGGTTTTCAGATGATAAGAAACGACCTATGGACCTTCGACCAGCAGGGATTCCGCGACGAGAACGGCCAGGTCCTCCAACTCGCTCCTCAGTGGACCGCTCATTACGACGTGCGCCCTCCTCCCTTTCATCCGGTTGCCGTCGGTGTACATGCTCAGACCCCTTACAGCGCTTCAAACAGATCATGGAGCAGAGCTATAGGAACGCAGTGGATGCTTCAGCATTCATGGAACGTCAGTGCCGTTTTCTGCTAATTGACCATATGCACTCACCATTCTGAGACTAGAATACTGCACGCTCCTGCCAAGCCCGGGCGAGCATATCAACGTCAATGACATACCGGACATGAAGATGGAGCTGGAGTTGTTCATGCTGGTCCGAGCTCGATTTATTGCTGAAATGTTTCCCGAATACTGATGTCTGCGACTCGGGGATATGTTAGGAGCTCAAAGCGAAGGAGGAAGTCGCGTACGGAACACAGAGCAGCTTCAAGACGCTCGCAGAGGAAGTTCGTCTCTTTGCCTGCATTCTAGAGAACTCTGTACAAAGGGCCGGCGTGCAACTCACGCGCGAGCTCAACGAAACTCGAGCCCGCCTATCCGATCTTCAACGGCGTCTCCAAGAGTATGTATGCACGCTCATAGCTCCCTATCTCCTTACTAATTCCTTGCTTTTTAGGGCCTATGCTGAGGTAACATGTCGCTAGTGCTTTCAGTATCTGCATTCTAACCGCAGATTTCGCACTAGATCCGGCGACGGGGATCTGTCTGCGCTGATGCTGTTAGCTTGGGTGCAGGCTATGCCTTCGATGCCCTCACATATCTGTGTCCTGCCTTTGCCATTCTCTCCTTGGTATGTATTCAATCATTCAACACAGATGATGATACTCAGCACTATCCCATTCTCGCTCTGCTAGGCCGCCTTTGGCGTGGGTATCTACACAGACCATCGTTGCGAAAAAGCCTTGGATCGCGCGGCTGGTATGTTCTTCTTTGTCGCGCGTGAACCGCCCTGATAAGGATGTTCGTAATGCGAAGCTCTAGAGAAGGAGATCAACCAGTGCAGGCATGATCTGAACGTCCTGGAAGGGAAACAGCCACTCCTCAAGAAGTACCAGCAACTGCTCGACGCCACCAAGGACGAGATCGGCACCTTGGCGAACAAAATCGACGTCATTGCGAACATATGGCAATATGTGAGTGCGCTCGGACAATGTCTCGGCGTTGCGACGCTCGTGTTCACTCATACCTTCGATGCTCGCCTCTAGCTCAAGAGTGACATGCAATCACTCCATGAGAAACTGCGGCTAGCCCTCACAACCGGGACCAAACCGGTGAGTTTTTCAAGGCTTCTACGCGAGATTAGGTCATCTCGTGTTGACAGTGTCGATCCAGCGTTCGCTCGGGAAGAAGCTGCAGATCGCGCGCGAAGTGTACTTGCGCCTCGCTGAGCTCCTCGAGGAGTATGCGAAGGGACGTCCCTAGGTATCGGTACCGTACGATACACCGACGCTAGCAAGTTCGAACCTGGCACCACATAATGCTGAAAAGCTCACGTCCTGTCGCCATGATTAGCGTACCATCTCCCGACTGTTGCTCTTGTATCACCGCTGTAGTATCCCGTGTATTGAACTTTCACAATATTTTATTCCAATGGTGCCTACAGTGGTGTGTGCCCTTACTCGTCAACACTGGTGTTGTGCTTAGTTTTATCGACGCGAATGAGTACCGTAAGCAATGGAGGGACACTGGCGTTTGTCAGACCAAGTCCGTCGTCGTCCGACTTATCTATCCTGACCCGTGTACCCGCCCCTCATGTTGATTTCAAAAATAACTGTTATAGTCCCCTCTGCACGATGGCATTTCCCTCTATCCTGGTGTCTATTGTGGCCGGGGCACTGACGAGAAAGTACCTCCCGTAGCGATGGAATCTGGTGGCGGCTGGTAGCGAGCCCTTGAGAATTTGAAGTCCGACGCTCGAGCGCCAGCCTGAGTGACAGGCGCTGTTGGACGTCGACCAGCACAACTCTGCTCCCTCTCCACCACTTGAATACAGCCTCCTCCCAGCATTTCGCGTGCGCCGTTGTACATGTGAAAAAGCTCGCTTTGTATGTCAAATATCGAGGTTTCTTTTCTCGTGCATCTATCTGACCACGCTTTGTAGTCGGTTCATCACGGCATCATCAGTGGCAAAACGCCGCTATTGCGATATGACAGCGAGCGGTGCGCTGCTTCTGATATATCATAAGGACAAAGACAGTGGCGGAGTATGTACTACCTACGCCAGAATCATGCGCCGCCGCTGACTACAGGCGCCATCAGGATGGTCAGGAGCGCGGGCGTACGCCCGCGTACACACCTTCACACTCTCCAACGAGCGCATCGCCGAACAGCGCGGACTTCGGTCGCGATGTCACCGCTGACACCTCCAAGCAGACTGCGCAGGTCTCGGTGCGCGGGCCTTCTCTGACGTCGAACAATGAACTCTAACTGGGAGTTCATCTACTCAAACATCGCCCTTCCTCTCTTCCTATTCCCACTCCCCGACGTTGACTCTCCTCAGCTGCTTACTCTTGAAGATGACCTCGAACGACTCTGCAGCCACGCCTACTCAAGGTAGCGATAGGAGCACATTACTACCTGAACCAACCTCGATCTGCGAAGCTTGCCAATCCGGCCCCTTCGCTGCGCAGCTTGGCCTCTTCCACGCTCCAATCAGCTCGAAGTGGAGAGCAAAAGGCCTGATTTATGAAGGAGGATACTCATACCATGCCACGGAGTCGGGGGTCAAATATAGCGCTGCCACCGGCTGTGCTTGGTGTAAACTCCTGCGTACACTTTTCACAGAAAGCGTCCAACGACGAGTCGCGTGGCGGTCCGATGGTCCGGTCTGGCAGATCTCAGTTGGTTTGACAGAGGACGTGCGCGGTACGCCTGCAAATGTACAAGCATTGCGGGCGATTGGAGAGCCATTCGAACGCCACACGACGTCGCTCTCTGCGGTACACTCTCTGTCCCCGAGCCCCAGTCGTGCGTCTCCCCTCCGCAGCTCGCCACCACGCCCGAGTACGCTGTCGCTGTGAAGCACGAGGAGAGGGGAGAGGAAGAGGCGATGTTTTGGATGGCCCACGACGAGCAGGCTCGAGACGGACATGTACGACTGCAAACAAACAGTATTCAGCGGTACACAAATTCTCCCCGTCGTTCACTTCTTCCATCTCCTCTTCCTCTGCATTTGCGATTGCTTTCCTGACATTTGGATGCGTACGCGTAGATGTATACCATGTAGCCTGAAGAGCTGTATATCGACACATCGTCTGTCCAGCACGAGTATCTCCCCTACGCGGTCGACAGCCCCATGTCGATGGACTACGCCGACCTTTCCCAGTCTCCCGCTCCGTCATGGAAACCCAGGTACCCGCTGCCGCCATCGTCGAACACCAAGAGTTACACTCTCGAGGGTGCCATCACGCCTATCACGGCCCCAACGCACACCGTGTTCCCCACTGTAAACCTCCAACGTGCTTCCTCGCTCCCACCCATGGGTTCACTCCTTCCCCCAGCCTCCAGCTCGCTCGTCAAGATCGAGCCCGAGTCTTTGTCCATCCCAGCGGAGGCAGGTCCAGCAAGTGCACCAGCAACGGTATCCGTTTTGCCCGTCGTCCAAAAGCGACCGCGCGGCCGCCCGCGCAAGAACCCACCATTCGCGCAGCCCCCGTCTCCGCCGCCGGCCGTCGACTACCCATTCCCCCACTTCCCCGAGTCCGCGTCCTTGTCTTCGGCTCCTCGCCCCGAAGACGCGCTCATGCCCCCTATGTCCCACCCTCTCCCCACGTTGTCTGCTGGCACCCCTGGCTCTGTCGGGCCGATGCCGGGCTCTAGCGGCAAGTCGACTACCTCCGAGACCGCGACCCTACCCGCTGGTCAGGCGATCTTCTGCCTGAACATGCACAAGGACGGCGAGGGCGATGGGGCCGAAGGTCGCGATACGGAGAAAAAGAAGCCGATAATGGCGTGCCTGTTCTGCCGCGAGCGGAAGATCGCGTGTGGCCCTCCGCCGCCTGGCGGGCCACATCGGTGCAAGTAAGTCGCTTCGCGTTCTCATTGGTGGCGTAGCTCACCAGTTATCCACAGCCAATGTACTCGTCGGGACCTGGTGTGTGAGTATCCAAAGGAGTCGCGTCGCGGCCAACATAAGCGTGGCACCCGCGCCGCGCGTGTCGAAGCCCTGGCCTTGGGTCCTCCGCGCCCACCTCAATCAAGCCCAAAGGCAAGGCGAAGGCTGTCGTTAGCATTGACACCGCCAACCTTCCCGGCACGTCTACTAGTGTAGCTGGGCCGTCGAGTTCGCTTTCGCCAACGTACGCCTCTTGCTCGGACGCGCCGTCGTCCCCTCTGACGCCGCTATCGCCTCACCCCACGGAGCGTTCCAGCCGATCGGAGAAGGTCACGCTCGCGCAGGATCGCGAGGGAAAGGAACGTTCCCGCTCGCGCGCCCCTACTCGGGAGGCATGGGACAGCCACGCCGCGGCCGCGCGACGTGCCGTGCAGCAGTAGCAGAAGAGGCGTGCGATGGGCCTGAGCGCACTCGCATCCGCAGGCGAAGGGGTGTTGACGTCAACGAGGACGGCGCAGGATTCCGAGCTCGCGATGGCGATGGGACGTTGAACGACGTGTTTCGTCCACCATTCTCTTGTCTCCTGTTATGTAAAGATTCCACTTTCTCCCCGCACCCCGTCTTCCCCGCTCTCCCCTGCTAGTCGAGTCGTCTACTTGCTTTCGACTAACTGCTCTCCACCTATCCGCTCATCACTCTCTTCGCTTTCACGGATTCAGATCGCCTTTCCCCTGCTTTTGCTGTTGTATGTAGTCTTGCTCCAAGCCGTCTCGCGTCCATCATACCCACGCCATGTATCTACTGTATCATTAATGTCCATGTCCGCTGTACATACCACCCAGCAATCCCATCCTCAGGTGCGGGACATGTAACAATGTGTTGTCGTAGGTACGCCGCCCACCTCGAGCAAATCCTCGCGCTGGCAACGTAACGCGAATGAGCAACCCAGGTCATTCCGCAAGAGCGAGTCCAAAGTCAGACGTACCACCAGTGCCACCGTGTCCTCCAGCAACAGCACGAACTTCTTGTGCGACCGGCGCCCGTCGTCCACGTACACGACGTCCTGCTTGTAGATCCCGTACGGGAGCGGGTCCCGCGGTCGCACGATCCCCCAGTCCGGCAAGACCCTGAAGTCAAAGACGTGCAGCACCGTCCCGGGCGCGCGCGTCTCTATCCCGTCGCGCGCCCACGCCCAGCGGTGCATCTCGAAGGCGTACACGGTGCTCTGCGACATGCGGGGCGGCCCGCCTGCGCGCTGCATGTTGAAGACGATGGCGACGCGCGAGCCGAAGGCGGAGACGGAGATGTCCGGGCGCGTCGTCTGCATGATGCCCATGCAGAAGAGGAGCTCGCCGCCGCGCGACCAGTCCTCCCACTGCGGGGCGGGAGAGCGTACCGCCGCAGGGGATGTCGCGGTCGCGGGTGAGAAGCCGATGTTTGCGAGCAGAGCCGCGCGCGGGATGCAGAAGACGTAGTCGGTCTGTCCGCGGTACCTGAACGGACAGCTGAAGTGCAGTACGAGCAGGGCAGCGTTGGGGTCGGAATGGAATAGGCCGTCCTCGTCCGTCGGCGACGATGCTGGCTGAGAAGGGATGCCCTCGATGTAGAAGCCACCTTGCGGAGGCCGTAAGAAACACAAAGGAATGGTGCTGCGATTCGGGCCGCGCGTGGTGTCGATGGCGTGAATATACACGTTGTCTTGGTAGCCTATGAGAAGCAGGTTTCTGTCCAGGAAGTGGGCGAAAATGGAGGACGGGCCGGTGCACCTCATGTGCTGGTGTTCGCGATTGTGAGCATTGAGTATTCCGGGAGCTGTGCAACAACATACTTACTAGTAGGATGATGCTCGTCTTCCAGTCCAGGACGTACAAGGAGCTGAATACTTGTCCGCGGACCGCTAATACTAGGATATCACCAAGCATGTCCGCCTGTATGACGTCTCCCGGGGAACCGATTGTGGGTTCAATCCCCAGTGCGGCCCGTGTTGCAAGGGGATGGGGACGTATCGACCCGTCAGGAAGGAGGGTCAAAAAGTTGCAACGGAACACGCTACATGCATATTCGTAAGAAACAAACTTGAAGCAGTTATGGCAGAGATGAGTGGCAAAAGCGTACTCTTCGTTTCCGATCGTCGCTCCGCAGATCGCTACGACATTCTCCCTCTGGTCGCTCGCGCCCAACAGTGGTTTTTGACCGAGACTAGCAAGCTGCGTAGACCAAGTCATCCCCGGAACGCGGCGCTTCGCAGACGCCAGGCGGTATATTTTCAGATTGGATCCGACGTGCATAGCGACGAAAGGGCCGCTGAACTTGAGGAGGCGGAAGGGATCCTTTGGTGGCGTGAAACTGACGAATTTTGAAAATGTCATACTGATCGGAAGCTGGAAGGTGCGCCATGCGAACTGGTACTCCTTGAGAGCCTGTAGCCTATCCTTCGAGCCGAGGCCGCGCTTTGCCCCGTCGACGGCTGCGGCCCAGACTAGTTGAAACTTGTACTGCACCGGGCTGGAGCCGACGAGGTCTCGGAAATCCTTGCTAACCTATGATGCATGATCAGTGTCAGTGCATGGGTTCTCGCAGTTATGGTGGTACATAGTACGTACCCTTTTGCAGACCAGTAAGTCGCGTATGTCAAGCTCAAGCAGGATGGACAAGAGAGTTTCCACGTCAAGATCAACGATGGTCGGCATACTCGTGCTGTCCTGATCTGCAGTTCTCTGCGTTGGTTTGATCACGCAAGCTGCAGCGTCCGGCGGCAGAGGGCTGTAGGCGGAGTTGATTGCGAAGCAGGGGAGGGTTGTAGTTTGGATCCAAAGACACGACTACCAGCACGGCTGCTTTATACAGTACGTAAGATTTTCTTGCGCAGTTGCATGATCTGCGCAGCATGAGCAAGGTTTTCCAAACATCATGTCAATGCGTGTTTGATAGTACAAGACGACACTCGCCTGGCTGCAGAGGATCCTTGCGGGTAAAGCGCGTCTGATTTGTGTAGGACGTCGTATGAGAGAATCTACCCGCGCACCTCTGGGAATCGCTTGAATGTGGGCATCATTGGGTTTGTGTCAGACGGACAAAGGAGACGCGTGACGAGCTCGATCGCGAGGACGGTGTTAGCCAGCAGCAAAATAGATCATTTGGGTACCTGTGAACTCGTATGGACCAAAGACAGTCTGCATCAAACTTGGAAGAGACTACCATAATACGCTCGCCGCATGCGGTACGAAGGTATAGCACGACGCGCGTGCAACGTTCGTACTACATAGGGCGACTCAGACTGACGTCTCCAGATTGCCGCTGAGGCGTACGCGAGTCGCTCACTGCTGCAGGCAGGTGTTCTCCGCTACAGGGAGGAACGGTCAGTTCGGCATTGCACCCGGAGAGGGAGAGTGGACACGTACAGCTGGGCTGAACGTGGATCTGGTTGGACTGCGCCGAGTTCGACGTCGAGTCGGTGACGAAGAAGAACAGGTTCGTGTCTGCGATATAGAATAGGGTCAGTATGCGTGGTATAGTTTGGAGTGAGTGGTGTCGGATGCGTACTAGCGGGGAGGTTGGTGTTCCACGTGAAGGTGCGCTCTGTGAGGCTGTCGAAGTGCTCGGCGGTCTGGTCGTGCACGATGCTGAGGAATACTCCGACGCCATAATGGTTTTGGGGTGGTGGTACCAGGGTAGAGTCTGACGTTCCCCCTCGAGCGGATGTGGAGGGGTTGCGCGCCGCGTGGATGCTGCATGCTTCTTACGACTCTGTAGGGGGGAAATTAGTAAGTTGCGCAACCACAATGCATCAAGGGCCACAGCGTACTTAATATGACGATACAAAAGTCAAGGGTGATCTCCCTACTCTGAAGCGTACTGGAAGCTATGAGCGCTGCTAGCTAAACGTCGTATACAGGGTGTATACATTCAAACCAGCAAGCACGCTGCGTTGTCGCGGCGTCCCTCCCTTGCTGCGATGAGACATTTTGACCTTCTGCGCTTCGCTGATTGCACTTGCTAGTAGTGACATATGCATGATGGCAAAAACGGGGTCTGCTGTTTTTCCCCTGTTGGGCGGCTTTGATCACGGAGACCGTGCTTGAACGATTCATACCAATGGTTTTGTCGGGTGCGACCGTGGTTGAAGCAGGTGTCGGATACCCCCGCAGTTGGGCAGGGCGTGGATCTATATATGCCTGCCTTCTTCGTGTTTCCTCTCAGGTGAATCTAGCATAGACAGGCCGAGCAGCCACAACGTCGACGAGAACAGGACAACAGACGGTCGCCAAGCCTGCCCTAAAGCGGTGCTACACCTTGGCAGTGGTAGCGCCGACTCGGACTCGGTGCTGTCCCTTGAGATCTCCCCCTGTGACTTTGCTAGTATGTGGCTTGCTTTCTCAAGGGCTGCATCGCTGCGCAGGCGGAATGTCGTAGAGGAGCGGGGAAACACATACAGATCGGACGTTTCACCAAACACTTGCTCGTTAACGCCGACAGCGAGGGAGGGACGCTCGACAGAGAACAGGCTAGCGTTAAGCCGAGACATCACGATTACAACGAGAGTAAATTGCAAGTCCAGCCTTTGGTTTATATCACCGCATGACAGTGTCTGAATAATCTTGTCAGGTCTTCTGAGGCCTCAGGCAACACTGCGCTCGCATCATTCCTTCGTAGTCGCTCTCATGGCGACGACTTCCCCGATCCCAATGACCTGGTCGGCGCACCCTAACTACCCTCCCGAAGAGTGACATCCACATGCTACCGTGTCAGTTTTGGGCCCAGGAACCTGAGAATGATAGCTATGGTTGCAACTGGGCATTGATGTTAGCAGATGCATATGGTAGATCAGTCCAAGGCAAAGCATCTCTCGTCAAGAACTCTAACGAGACAGTTCACATCCGTCAACTGTCCGGCCCCTCAAGTACGCAGGTGTGCTCTTGTGCTCTCGCACCCCCATCCCTTTTAAATCTGAGTCCTGCGTACAAAAATCCCTGCTCTGATGCCTTGTCTCTTCTGGCTGCCACATTTCCTCTTCCTTGTCGCTTCTGCGCTCGGCGTCCTCTCTATCTCGAAGATTGTAGACGACGCCGACTCCAGCATCATATACTCTCCCGCGGCCCAATGGACTCAAGGACCGACGTGCGTTAACTGTGCCATACTACCCGACGCGTCCTTGGCACACGATGAGACATGGCACTACGCGACGTACGATCCAACGGAAGACACTGTCGTCCCCTCGATCACATTCAACTTCAGGGCCACTGGCGTCGCCGTCCACAACATCTTGCCCCCATTTGTCCCAACAGCACCCTCCAGCAATGTCGAGCTCGCCTTCGTCATCGACGGCGAGGCTCAACCGAACTTCTCGTTCACACCCCAGAGCGCCGATACCGCCTTCGTGTACGACCAGGTCGTGATGAGCGTTGGAAACCTCTCGTTCCAAGAACACACGCTCATCATCCGGATGCAATCTAACCAGGCGTCTGTCGTGCTCTTTGACTTTCTCGAGCTCACACTCCCTGACCAGGCGGTTGAAAAGTCTCATCAATCGTCCACCTCTGCATCCACCTCCACCGCTCCAGCCGTCACCACCATCGTGACGGTTACCTCCACGCAACGCAACCCTGGGCAGATCGTCACTACGCTCACGCTCACATCTTCACTCACGTCCTCGGCGTCTCAAGCGTCTACAGTACTATCACTTCCGCAGTCCCCCGCTCTCGTAGCGTCTTCGTCGGATGGTACGCATGCCACCTCCAATCTCCAGCTCTCTCAGGGCGCATCAAGCATGGTGATGACGAGCGAAACAGTGCCCGGAGCATTGGGTAGCGCCACAATCTCAACACAGAGCCCGTCCCAGTCCCAATCTCAGTCCGCGATACCTGTGAACGGGAGCACGGTCAGTAGCACTACGATCGGGGCTGCGGCCGGAGGTGGCGCCCTCCTTATCATAATCATCCTGTGCGCGATGTTCTGCGTTCTCCGCACAAGGCGTAATCGACAACGCTGCAGGATTCTGGGGAAGGAGATGCTGCCGCATAACCGTACGGAGGCTGCCAACGGCGGTGATAAACCAAGCGAACAAACCCGCGGACACGAATACGGCCCAACTCCCATTCATCACTCCCTATTCCCTGGGTTCCCAAACGGGGACCCCTTCGTTGACGGCAACGAGGACCTCGGCCTTCTCGCGCCCGAAATCTCGTCTTCGGGGGATGTTGCATCGTTTGGTGGCGGAGCAGCTCCTGATTCGAACCTATCGGCGGGGACCATGGTCACTCCGGCACTTCGTTCATCTGTACCACTGCACGAGGACGCATCTTTGCACGTAAGTTTTATCAGCCGTACAAGATACGCCTACTCAATTATCAATACAGACTTCGACTCCGCCCTCGACGTTCCTCGATGGCTGGAACACAGACGAAAAGGATGATCCTGAGTCCACTCCTGGAGCTCTACAGGCGGGAAACGGCGCGCCGCGCATTGTCGGGCAGGCCACGCCGCGACCTGAGGAGCTGGCGGAGCAGCTCGCAGCGCTTCGCGAGGAAGTAGCGCAGATACGGCGTTACCGAGAAGCCCGGGCCATGTCGCCGCTCGAGGCACCCCCGCAGTATAGCGAACCATGAGCCTGCAAACTTTCGAGCGGCCTGGGACAAGACTCGGCGACGTCGGCGGGAGGATAGATGATCAGATGTGGGCACGGCGACCGCCTCCGTTAGTGCTGCGCGCGACTGGGTTGTTTTCCTTCCCCTCCGTTGCATCTTGGTGGACCGTGTTATGGTACAACATGTATGTGTTGAGCGCTTTTGACTTCTTCACGACAGGGACGGCCGTCGGGAGTGACTAGTGAGGGCTGCGAAGTCCGACAGAGACACTTTCTTTTAAGGTCTTAAATCTTCATAGTGCTGCTTTACATCGAATCTCAATCCATCCGTCCACCGTTCCGTTCATGCTGATGCACGCCTTTGGATCGCACGGGGGCCGCTATAGGATTTTCAAAGGACCCCGCTCAACGTTTCAGTACTGAGCGCTGAGCGCTCATGCCAAGCGCTCTTTTGTGGTTGACGAGTGACGTTGGAGTCTGCCCTAAAGCGGTGCTACGCACCACTGGCAGGAGGCAGCGCAGCCCACTCTTGAAGAGTGTCACGAACATTTCTTTGCCTATGATCTTGCTGAGCTATGGATATCTTAGGCTCTCCAGCTCTGTCGCTACCGCCGCGCGACATAGTCCAGACAGTAGGCGACAGCGGGGATCCGACCATTCCAGGAGGCACCAAGTACCCGCTCGCGAACGACGGGCCGGCGACGAGGCGGAAGGACACTAGATCGACGGCAAGTCGACGGAGAGCAGAGCATGAAGCCAGATAGACTAAAGTGTGCCGCAGGTCATGCTTATAGGTATTACAAACTACGTTAATAATGATTGAGGGCTGATGGATCAAGGGCTGCTCCTTGGACTCCGGCTTGAGCCCGGCTTTCCTCCCGGAAACACTTTCGATCACGCCTTCGAACACGAGAGTCGATGCCGAGCATATCCTTCAAGGTGTCTGCTTCACGCTCGGGTTTGAATGGTATTCTCGAATTCCTGAGGCCTCAGATGCTGCTGTGCTCGAAACTTTTCTACGTTGTTGCTCTCCCCAGCACAAACGACTTGCCCTAACACCGGCGATGGACTGGTCGCGGGACGACCGTATCTCTTCTTGTACAGTCATCCATGTGCTATCCCAGCATCTTCGGGCATAGGAGCCCAGACTGACGGCTACCTCCGCAACCGAACTTTGAGGTTGACAGACGCAGTTGGCTCATCAGCCCAACTTGAACGTCAAGCATCTTTCGTCAAGAACTCTATCAACGCCAACCTCCTCCGTCCATTTACGTGCAGGTCCCTAAGTAAGTACGCGTACTACTATTCCGTCCCCACCACCACACTGACTCTGTCCTGCCTACATCGCTTTCCCGTCCAATGCCCTGTCTCTTCTGGCAATCGCGCTTCCTTTTCCTTGCAGCATCCGCGCTCAGCGTTGTCTCACTCTCCAAATTCGTAGACGACGCCGATTCCAGCATTTCGTACTCTCCCTCGACTGCATGGACGCAAGGAGCGACGTGCGGCGTTGACTGTGCCATTCAACCCGACGCGTCCTTGACGCACGATGGAACTTGGCACTATGCGACGTACGATCCGACAGAAGACATCGTTGCCCCTTCGATCGCATTCAGCTTCACGGCCACCGGCATTGTCGTTCGCAACATCCTTCCCCCATCAGTCCCGACAGCACTCACTAGCCGTGTCGAGCTCGCCTTCGAACTCGACGGCGTCGCTCAACAGTCGTTCTCATACAGACCCTCGCGCAACGTCTCCTTCATATATGACGCAGTCGTGATGAGCGCTACAAACCTCTCCCTGGCAGAGCACACACTCATTATCCAGATACCACCCAGTCAGGCGGCTGTTGTGCTCTTTGACTATTTTGAGCTCACCGTCCCCGACCAGGGAGAGATGGAGATTCCGCAACCGCCGTCCTCTTCCCAGCCAGCCAGTTCGACTTCCCTCGCCGCTCCAACTCTCACCGCCGTCGTGACGGTTACCTCCACGCAACTCAGTCCTGACAAGATGATCGCTACTTCCTCTTCCACATCTCCGCCGACATCCTCGTCCACGGCCTCAGCGTCTCAAACATCCGGGATATTATCTCATACACAGCCCTCCGCCCTCGCAGTGTCTTCTTCCGACCTCCAGCTTTCGCAGGACACATCGAGCACGGTAACGGCGAGTGCGGCAGTACCCGAAACCCTGGGTATTGCTGCAGCGTCATCGACAGCAAGCCCGTCACAATCCCAGACCGCGGCGCCTATGGCCAGAAGCACAACCAGGAGCGCCACGATCGGGGGTGCGGTTGGAGGTGGTGCCCTCCTCATTATCCTCTGCGTCGCGTTCTGCGTTTTCCGCACTCGTTGTGCCAATCGCCGTCGCGGTATTGCTGGGGATGAAGCGCTACAGAGGGACTGTGCTGCGGTGGCTGACGGCGGTGTTGAATCAAGCGAAGAAACTCGCGAACAACACCATGGCCCAGCCTTCATCTATCGCTCCCCTGACCATGAATTCTCCGACGACCCTTTCGTTCACGGCAACGAGCACCTCGGCCTTCTCGCCTCAGGGACCGTGTCTTCGGGAGACATTACATCGACCGGTGGCGGAGCGACCAATACTTCGGACCTGTTTGGGGAGGCAATGGTCGCCCGACATCCTCTTCCCATCTCGCTCTACGGGACATCATTGCAGGTGCGCTATATCAGTCATACAAGATGTGCCTACTTATTGATATAGACTCCGAGTCAGCCCCAAACGTCGCTCGAAGGCTGGGACAAGGACGACAAGAGCCGCACTGCGGCGGTCAATCCCCTCTCTCACTCCCCGGCACTCGAGGATACTCAGTTTCCGAGTCTTCCGCAGGCGGAGAACACGCAACACCTAGGCACGCGATGGAGCCCACGACCACTCGAAGAGAACTTTGCGGAACAGCTGGCGACGCTTCGGGAAGAGGTAGCACAGATGCGGCGGCACCGGGAAGCGGCCTCGCCCCTGGAGGCACCCCCGCGATATGGCGAACTGTGAGCACGCGAACCTGTCAGGGATCTGGGAACAGCATTCAGTGTCTTCGGTAAAGATGGGTAATCAGATGGGGGCATGGGCGACCGCCATTCCGAGTGTTGTGCGTGATCAGGTTTTGTTTGTTTCGTTGCATGCTGGTGGACTATGCTTAAGGTACCGCATGTATGTATCGGACGCTTTCAAGCTCTTCATGAGATGGACAGCGGTTGGAGTGGAGGGTTGCGCAGTCTCACACAGGTACTTCCGTCAGCATCTTTAATCCTCGAAGTGTCTGTTCTATATTCATTCTCGCATCTGACGTGATGTCGAAGATGCGATCTTTGTTATTGCAAACCGTCAAGATTAGCTGCCATTTCTCAAGATCCGGGCTGACTTCTTCCAGGACACCTGCTATCACAGAAGATGGAAGCCTGTTGTATCGTCGCGCCCTCGGGCAATGGTATATAGACCTCTGCACGCACAACGGTCGAGAAGATGCTGGCCCTCGCGCGAGCGTCACATCACCGCGCCGAGCGCAATTTCGCTTGGAAGAGTTCTGATACAGAAACACATTTACAACTTCATGCATAGCACGAGAACTGCGTGGGCACACTTAGGGTGCGTGAGAACAAGCAATGCAATTGAGTACGGATTGCACGAGGTTGGCATTAAAACGGACATGATACGTTAAGATCTCGTACGAAGATATTCTAGGATGTGCCCTGCCGATGATGGTACCGTTATCCAGAGAACATCGGGCTTGTCGCAGAGTTCACTGCGCAAGCAGCTTACTGCTGCAGGCAGGAGTTGTCCGCTGCACGACGAATCAGTCTGGCTCTTCAGTGAAAACACGAAGGACACATACTGCTAGGCTGGATGAGGAAGAGGTCGGACTGCCCCGTGTGGGACGTCCCATCGAGGATTGAGACGAACGTGTCGGTGTCTGCGGTATTGCACATCATCAGCGTGAGTCGTACTAGTAGGTCGAAGGGTCGTGCACTTACTAGCCGGGAGATCGACGGTCCACAGGAAGCTGTTCCCCGAGGTGACCGTGTGGTGCTCTGCGGTCCTGTCGTGCACGAAACTGAAAACAAGCTATAAGACGAGGGAGGAGTTGTAGTATGGCTTGATCACTTACGCCTGCAAACGAGAGTGGGCGTCGCCGGTAAGGTGAGTACGGATAAGCAGCATGACAAGAGAATGCTCATACCAGGTCGAAAGGAGCTATGAAAAAATGTTGTGAGTATCTCGCGCGCACATCTTGATACAAAGTATACTCACGAGAGCCACCAGTCCAGGTCACAAGAGTGGTCTGGCATTGAACAGGGTTGGCCCTAAAACGACGTCAAAGGCTCAGATCATGCAAATCCGCCGAAAAGAAATACACTTACGGTGTGTCGATTACGATAGGAGCATTCTGAGCCAGCACAGAGGCCGCCATGCAAGCAAGGACGGAGAAAGAGACGGAGAAGCGCATCGTGTCAGAAGAGTCGTTTGGTCGTGGAGATGGGGCTGGGATGGTTTGTTCCAAGGCAGGGAGCACCTTTTATACGCAGGCGCGGTGTTGAGCAGTGTTTTGGACTCGTCAACGCTTGCACCATCGGAGCCAGTGTCGGCGAATGATGCCTGGCGCTCCGAGACAAAGCGGCGACCCGAGGCCGGAAGACCCTCGATACATACCCACAGTGGCTGTACTAGCTTTTCGTCTAAGCCGTGCTTCTTCTCTTTGGTTTCGAGTTCATCGCGACGCTGAGTTACTGAACTGAAGCGTGCCACTCAGTTCGGAGTTGAGGATGGAGCTTAGGAAGCAATACCTCTGCTGCGAAAGCAGGGCACGCCGCCAAGAACGTCATTGGATGGGCGGCGCGTCCACACACCGGAGGGTTCGAAACTTGAAGAAGCCGCCGGTTCCGACGCCGATCTTGGAGGCCATCACTGGAGAAGAGAGCATAGTCAGTCGTGCATCAGATTCCCAAGGAGACGCGCACAACGTGCCGCTGCGCAATGTCACTGCTTGTAGGCCATGGATCGCCGACTGCTACAAAGCCGGGGTCCATTTCGATGCACTGCCCGTATACTATTGCCATGTATGACCGGCGCGCGGCGGCGCGGGTATGTTGCGCCGCCCATCAAGCAAGTAGTACAGCTGTGAGACCAAATGAAGTGGAGGTACAAGTCAGGAGATCATGCTGCGCAAGAACTTTGTTTGCCGCGTAGAAGTTGCTACCGTGTCTTCACGACTACAGCATGCTTCGGAGCGTGCCTCTGTCATAGGTCAACTAACACCTAACGGGCTCTCTGGAGTTCCTTTTTTACATTGTGCATGGGCTTCGATGAACCTGTTCTTGAGAAGCGCGAGAATGGGTGCTGCCACGACCGCACGGAGCTCGCCTCTTCAAGGTTTCAAAGCTGATGGAGTCGGACTCACTATTCCTGCATCCACTTAGGTCGGCATCCTACCGCGCTCAACGTCTGCGATCACTTGCGCCACCATGATGGTAGGATGGGCAGTAACTTGGATGGAAGATGACCCGAAGCCTGATTTTGGGCTGGTTTGCGGGCAGTCGCTTGTAAAAGAATGACAGTACAATTACAGTCCAATGGCAGAGCAAATCACGAAGGAGAAATGAATTCACTATCCGTGTCCAAAGTCCTATTGCTCAGTGAGGAGAACGCCAGGCGTCGGCTCGTTCCCCGAGGTTGCTGTGTATTCCTACTTCAGCTACTTAGCCACCAGTTTATCTAGTCTATGAGGCTCACATTCCTATCTCCCGTCGGCATTCTGCGTGCGCTCCACGGCGTCATGCAGGAGTTCAGCAGCATTCGGTGGCACAAGCGACACGAAGCCCACGCGCGGCGGATCCACGGACGGATGCGTCAGGTTCCCGTAGTAGAACACGACCATGTTGCTCTTTAGAAACGGATCGCCGAGTACCCAGCTAAAGAGCGCGCCCGCGCTCGGTGCGTCCGTCCCGACCACGTTGTCCGCCACGCACTCCGACACGTCTCCCGGTGCGGCTTGAGCGACAAAGTCGCGCGGGTCGACGGGGAACATCTTCCCGCCGATCTGAAAGGCGAGCGTGTGCGCGGCGGAGCATGGAAGGCGAGAAGGGGCGCTTAGGTCTGCGGAGTAGGCGGGTGAGACCTGGGAAAGAATGGCGTTCACGACGTCGGAGGGTCCGCGGATGAGAGAGCTACCCTATGTGACGTACTTCACGTCAAACCAGCGCATCAATGAGCATAAGAGATGCGGTACTCACGCTGTCGATGAGGGCGGAGAGAGGCGGAGTACTGATATCGTCGGCTTGCTGCGTGATGTCGGGGAGTTTTTCCCCGTCGAGAAACACGCCGTCAATTTCTACCTCCCAACGACTGTCAAAAATGGTCTTGCTCAGAGATGTCTTTAATGCGTACGGTAGTGGCACGTACAGAGGGTATACCTCATCAGGAGCGAACGACGGCGCAGAGAGACCGCCTTCATCAGAGCTGTACAGCCGGACGGGTACCCAGGTAATGCTGGAGTTGTCGACACCTTCCGGAAGCCGACCGATGGTAAGCTGACCTTGGCCTGAGACGTCAATCGTATCCCGCTGAAGAGTAAGCTAACATGATAGTCAGCGCGGCGCGAAAGTGAAAGTCTAGATCAGTCCTTACCGCGAACAGAGGTTCTTCGACGGCTCCTGACATGATCAGACGCGGTACGATGGGGCCGGCCTTGTCGATTTTCTCAACGAAGGCATCAATGCCGAAGGCATTCCCGAGCTGCACTATCTGTATGAACCATGGATACCAAGTCCACGCCACATACACACTTACCTCGGCATTCAAAACTGCAGACTGCACAAATCTACACCAAGATGTGTCAACAAGGCATCCGAGTCATAAGATTCTTGTGAGATGCGCACCCCTGAGCGGGAAACCCAAGCCCCAGGACCCCAGACGCGCCGTTCGTGATTGCATAGTTGTCTGTGTCGTTAACAGCAGCGAAGGTTTGGTTCTCCATGGTCAACCCAGCAAGCGTGATTGTGTCACGGCCAACAAGGCCACGCGCGTACGACCCAGTCAGCGAGTCTCCGTATCTCAGATCGACGGCTGCATTGCCAGTTTGGAAGCGTTCATCGTTTGAGTTGGTGCTATATCGCGGAGCGTCCGATGCATTGCACTCTAAGGTGTGGCAGTTTGGGGTGATGACCCAAAGGTCACTGGAGCCGGTATCTGCAATATGGTGATGGGTCATAAACAGACGAGCATGCAACTCGCCACGATGGCGCCACATACCGATGTTGAGAGGGGTAGCGGTGTCCCCGATCGTCACCGATACGGTGTAAAACCTAGCACATGATACGTGGGTACCTTATAGCCCAGAGATATATTCAAAACTTACACGTCGTCCCTATCGCCAAGACCAACTGTCCCTCTGGGGATGGCGGGATCTTCATATTCCCTCTCTCCGAGTGTCAAGCGAGTGCGTTTAATGAAAGGAATGGTCGCATCGGCTGGTTTCCAGGGCGCCCTATCGGTGAACGGAAGGCCAGCGACGAGTGCAGGGAAGGCGACCAAGACGAGGGCCCACCACCCAGCAGTAGGCATCTTAGAGGCGGCGAATCGTGAGGAGCGTTCGTACCAGGAGGACGGTCTTAACGCAATCGCGACAGAAGGTTCTGTCAATATAAAGGTGTCCTAGCATGATGCACGACAAGCGTACGACAGAGCGTGCGCCGGTTATGAGCAGGCGGCGTGCTACCGCTCATTGCCTGCGTGCATCGATCGAAGTATCGTTTTCTTGAGATAAAGGCGTCATGAGGTGTTTTCGGAAACCTTGAGATTGTACGCGATGCATGGCCTGGCTATACGCATCTAGTTTAGATTCGGAGTGAGCAATCTGTGCCAAACCCCCGCTAAACGCCAGAAATCGCGGACGTGAGTATAAACGCTGCGCATCTCACGTCAACGTCTCGTAAAAATAGAAATAAGAGTAGATCGTCGCTGGCAATAAAGCATTTAGCACATGTGCATGCGGGCGAAGATGCTTTCGAAGGCCGGCACATTGTCTCGCAGTTGATCGAAGAAGACATGCGGGAGAATGACCTGGGTCTCGACTTGGTCAGTCAGCGGGCATCTAAGCGAGCATATTCACATACCCGTCGAAGCCGCATGGTTAGTTGCCGACGAGCCCGAGAGGACGCTATGAGCGGTATGCGGGTCGTGAACCTAAGCAGCTGAGCGACATTGGCATATGTCAAACTGTCCATGTGTTCGAACGTGCTGATCGTTGTTGCTTGTACAAAGACCGATGTGTGCGGGTTGCAGCAATTTGGATGCTCCCGCAGTAGGCGCAACAGAGGATGTGGCCGCGCCGATACTCCCTCGGAACATTATGGCCTCCAGCGAAGATGATGGGGGAAACAGAGTTGGCCTGTCGGGTAGCGCCTGTACTCCGGCGGTCATAAAAAGCGCCCAGTAATCGTCGGCACATGCCGGACCGCCTGTAACCTCGAGCCTCTCGAGTCCGATCCCTCATTCTTTTCGTCGAGTCCCCGCCCCAATAGCCATTACCCTCCCACATCGACGCATGTCCAAAGTGTCCGCAGGTCTCACAGAAAGCGAGCTGCCAGTATCGGAACTGATGTGCTCAGATGCAGGCTCGTGGATATTCCAGTGCTAATGTCCCTCGATTGCGGTATGTGGTGTCAGCGCGAATATGATATGGAGCAGAGTCCTCAAAGCAAGCGAAAAGAGCATCAGACAGCTGTGGTATCGATACAAACAACAAACAATCGTTCACAACTCGCGAATTACGGAACCAAATATGACCGGGAACAGCGTATTCCAGAGGCTGCCACCCACGGCATATTTCAACGACATCTGCGCAGAATTTGGCTGGGCGGCGTCGGTCGCAGAGGATCCAGAGGTACCAGACGGCGAGATCGCCGTGGCCGACAACGCGCCGTTGGCTGTGCCAGTCGCTCTCGCGGCGCCGTCTTCGTGAATGAGGCTGCTGGCCGTAGGCGCCGCGTCCGACGTGCCTGCAAGCACACGTCCTAATATCAGCTACGACCGGGAAGATAGAGCAGGACACAGCTCACTCTCGAAGTTCCCGCCCGCCTTCTGCGCATCCCCCACCGCGTCCTCCAGCAAGTCCGCGGCGTCAGTCGGCACGAGCGACTTGAACCCCATCCTCGGTGGGTCCACCGACGGGTGCGTCAAGTTCCCGTAGTAGAACACCACCAGGTTGCTCTTGAGGAACGGATCCCCGAGGTTCCAGCTGAAGAGCGAGCCGGAGCGTGGTGCGTCCGTCGCGACGATGTTGCCCGCCGCACACGCCGCTTGCCCGTCCGAACCGGATGCTTGCGACACGAAGTCGCGGGGATCGACGGGGAAGCGCACGCCGCCAATCTGGAACATGAGTGAGTGCGCGTCGGTGCAGGGGAATGTGGGCTGCGCGGAGGAGTCGGCGGCGAACGCGGGCGAGACGGTGGAGAGGATGTTGCTGACGACGTCGTTGGGTCCGCGCAGGATGGAGTTGCCCTAGATAGAGGTGAGTCAATCAGAAGGCGCGCGTGCGGAGCCAGGGGTACGCACAGTGTCGATCAGGGCAGATAGAGAGGGGTTCGGGATCCCGACTGCCTGCTGCGAGGAGACTGAAAGTATTTTGTCATCAAGGAACACACCATCGAGCTCAACCTCCCAGCGGCTTTGAATGACGTCAGGGGCGTGTGCACGCGAAGTGAGTTTCGCACTCACAGAGGATATACTTCGTTCGGTGCCAAAGACGGAGGTGAAAGCCCACCCACGCTAGCGTCGTACAGGCGAACAGGGACCCACGTCAGGCTCGAGTTGTCGATGCCCTCTGGCAGCTGACCGATGGTGATCTGGCCTTGCCCGGAGACATCGATGGTATCGCGCTGGAGTGTAATCTGCAAGTGTGGTGTTGAGGACAAGTCAAAGTTCGGTGTGCATGCGCTGCGTACCGAGAACAACGGCTCGTCAATCACATCAGACATGATGAGGCGCGATACAATAGGGCCAGAGCTGGCGGTTTGTTCCACGAACGTGTCAATGCTCGAGTTCGCAGTCTACTCAGATGAAATCAGTTTGCCCGCCGTGCGTACCGCGAGAGATTCGCCCTACCCACCTCTGCGTTGACGATCGCTGCCTGTACGAAGCTGATTGATGTATGTGAGTGAGAAGTGCAGCACGTCTCGCAAAAATGTCACCTTTGGGAGAAGAAACCAAGTCCAAGTATGCCTGACCCGCCACTCGCCACAGCGGAGTTGTCCGTGTCATTGACGGCTGCCAGAGGTTGCTTCTCCATGACCAGGCCCGCGAGTGTCACCGTATCACGCCCGACAGGACCGCTCGCGTGTGTGCCCGTCACCGAGTCTCCAAATATGAGGTCCACGTCGCCGCCGCTTGGCTGAAAGCCTTTCGAGTCGTCATATGGTGGCCCCGCATTAGACTGTGTACATTGCGAAGTTTGGCACGCGGAAGTCCGGATCCACAAATCTGCCGAGCCGGTGTCTGTTGAAAGTGCGCAAGTAGCATTGAGCCGCGGAGCGTTCCTGGACCAGCGTCTGCTGACCATGAGCGGCACATACCGAGGTTGACAGGCACGGTGGTGTTGCCGACGGTCACCGCGACGCTGTAGAAACTGCTCCGGAGTCAGCTCACGACCTCCGCTCCGGCGCAGTCGCGGCGCGGAAGGGATTACTCACAGATCCTGCGAGTCGCCAAGACCTACAGTCCCACCCACCACGACCCCGCCATCATCCCTTGCAGTTACTTTGCGCGAGTGTCTGATGAACGGTAGAGTGACGGCGCCTTTCCTCGAGGATGTCCGTGCAGGCAGTGCGGAGGCGGAGACGAGTGCAGACCAGACTAGAACACACAGCGCGCACCAGTTGCAGCTTGATTGCATCATCGGATTAATGGTGGCGGCCCCGTGAGAGCAAACGTGACAGTGGACCAGAAGATCGCTGAAAAGACAGGCAAAGGGAAGACAGTAGGCCAACAGCAGTAGTCTCTGGACCTGCGGGGAACAGAGGTCAGAGAAGGAGGTCCGCGATTGCCTGCCAGCGTATATGTACCATCCCAGATCGACCCTGGCTTCACCCTGAGAAGGCAATACCGTACCGCCCATGTCCGGTAACCTTCATCAGCCTCGGCCCTCCCCGCGCATAAAGATGGTTCTTGCCCGATGGACGCCTGTGAACGCATCACCGTGCTTTCGCACCTCCGGGCGGTTTGTTCTGGAATTTGAATGCGCCACGGCTCCTAGGTACGCGCTTTTGGGAGTCGCAAGTGACCGCTCGCCCCTGCCCCTACCTGCCCGCCCCAAGGGGTATGCCGTAGTCCCCGGTACCAGTGTGCGCGAGACGCACACTGACGTACTATGTCAGACATGCGGTGCGCTTCTGCGCCGCCCCTGAGCCCCGTGTGCTGGAACTGAGCAATCGCGCAATTGCGAGGCTCGACTTGGACGCTGCTGCGGTGAGAAAGTTGAGGGTCATCGTGATCAGCCGCTTACCATCAGAGGGTCGAGAATGTTGTTTAGGACTCGTGGTTCTTGGGTCTTCCTGACTTCGCTCGGTATCAGGTGCTGCAGCTGAGAGTTGGCGTGCCTACCAGGATTGTGCCAATGGCGGTTGGAGAGCGGAGGACGCGGAGGAAAGGCGTGGGTACGCATCCACGTGGGAGTGAGGGAAAAAGCCGTTTAAGCGCCTCCTCACTCGAGCGGTTGTCATCGAGCGCCTAACAAACTGTCCACGAACCACGAGCGCAATCATGGCCGGTGCCGGTGTATTTCTGCTATTCCTCGAGATCATGTAGTTGCAATGCTTTCAAAAGGTGAAGCGCTTACTTTTGAGGCTGTATTATGTGCTAACGTCCTACTTTTAGAGCATCCGCTGGCCAACAGTACTTACCCAGGCGCGAGTCATGAAAGCCGCTCGGAATGCTGTTGAGAGCATAGCCCATCCAGGAGGGGCTCCTGTTTCTGCATTGCGCCCACCTTTGTGGGCGCATGTGCACGATAACATAGGAATGATCATGTTGATTGAAGGGCTATGAACGCCGCCGCGTCTAGATCAACACGCTACGTCCATTCCTGTCCTGATTGTAGGGCGCTGTGGGTCATATCACGCCGCGCCGCTGTCCCTGCGGACAGCTCAGCGCAGCTTTTACACGTATATCCCAGCGGCATGGAGTACCACTCTTCAAAACTCCTCACACCTTGTGCGTCGCACAAACCGAAGGAGGATGGCCAGCTGGGGTCAGCATGCTCAAGGAGAATGGTCCGTGGATGATATGCCGGACCAAACTGGAAAGGTATTCCTCATAACTGGAGGAAATACGGGGCTTGGTAAGCTCTCACAATCTCGAGCCGTGGTCGCACAGCTGATAACATCTCCCCAGGCTTTGCGACCGCCACGGCAAGTAATCGTCACTCATACATCTAGCGCACGGCTCATATGCAGTGTATACAGGCGCTGCTCAGACGAAACGCGAAGGTATACATCACCAGTCGAGATCGAGAGCGTGGCCAACAAGCACTCGAACGGCTTCGGAGGATCTCAGAAACAATTCACGTTCTACCGCTGGACCTGTCCGACTTACATTCAGTTCGAAGAGCAGCGCTTGAATTCATGCGGTATGTTCCCGCCTTTCCGAACCATTCAAAAACGTGACTTATGATATGCTCGATGGTTAGACGCGAGAAATACCTTCACGTCCTCATCAACAATGCGTACGTCTTTTCCACACCACCTGCTACTTATACTCACGCCTTGTCTGATTGTGTTTTGGCAGCGGCGTAATGTGCACCCCAGCTGCACTTCTGACCCACCAGTGCTACGACTTCCAATTCGGTGTAAACGCGCTTGGGCACTTCTACCTCACCCATCTTCTCTTGCCAGTTCTCCTGACCACCGCAAGCGCCGTTGCGCGTGCCCTCGACAAGGTGCGCGTGGTCCACTACACCTGCACGCTTCCGCTATCGAGCCGAGTCGACTACACAACCCTCATGGACGGGCCTGTGCGGCGGAAACGAACGCCCGGGCAACTTTATCAGCAATCTAAGCTGGTCAGGCTTCGATCACGTACACTGCACTGCGGTCAGTTGCTAACAGCGTCGAGCTAGGCAGACCTGCTTCTCGCAGTAGAATTGGCCGACCAGTATGCCGACCAGGGTATTGTGTCCATCGCGGTAAACCCAGGTACGTGAGAACAGCAAGGATGATGCAGTACGGATTATGGACCAACAAGAATGCATTTTAGGAAACACGTTCACCGAGCTGACGAGACATACTAAAGGCGTCGGAACCGCCATCTGGGTACGTTAAGGTGATGTTTCGGATTATACAGATGCTGAACGATACGACGCGCAGAACATGCTCTCGCACGACGTCTCGAAGGGCATCATCTCCCCGCTCTTCGCAGCAACCGCTCCCATAGTCTTGGACATGAACGGAAAGGTAGGCTCCCGATGAGCCAGACTTGCTCGCTTGTTCATAATTACTTCAGCTTCTTGGCCCCCGCGCACGAGTGCAAGATATCCCCACATCCATGATGGAACGGTGCGCCGGGGAGACGCTGTGGGACTGGCTGGCTGCCCAGACAGAATGCTTTGAGATCGTCAACGGTATCGGGCCTATATTCCGATTCCACAAAGAATCGGTCTTGCCTATGAGAAATGGCTCGGTCACGTGAATCCAGGCGAACCCGGCTTCGTCCGCTGGCTTCCGTAGCCTCCCTGCACTCTTTGCTTGCCTCTGTTTGTCCTGTGGCGTCTGTACCCAGCGAGTCGTCTGGGCCATGAAGCCATCCGACTTGCCTCCGTCTCCATCGTTTCCAGTTGTGTTTCTGCAGGTTGACGAATGCCCCTCAACCTTCTAAAGGTTTGCTTGTACATTGCGGGTGGGCAAGCACTATCATCAGCTTCACGGTACACGCCTTGGTAGTATCTAGGACTAATCTCATCTGATGTTTCGTCGGTATCAAGCTCAATGCATGGAAACCTTATACAGATAGTTATGTGGCCGCGGACATCATTCCGCCGTGCGACTTCCTCGCGCGTCCCCTTTGTCGCTGTGCGCAGGTTGGCAGCCACAGTATGTTGGAGCTTTTCAAGCACCGAGTCTAACACGCATCGTCGTGTGTGCTGTCGTTCAACTGCCCCCGGCGCATTCTGCGCACCACACGGCACCGGCTCCATGGTCCTACATCCCGCCCACCACCGCACAGCGGCCCAAGAAGCTAGCTCCCCGGCATTTGCTCACCGCAACATCTGGTACAGGCACCTCTAAGTATATTCTTCGCCGTCTCCTGCCGCTGGTGGGAGTGTATGTCAAATTCGTTAAGACACATGTTCCGGCCGCATTCAAAACACCGCTAGTGCAGCCTGGAGAGTGCAGCTCGTAAAGGTGCGGAGTTTTCTGCAACTACTGACGTGGTGTGCACGCCGTGATCTATACGCTAACGTATGCGGGGTGCACAGTCGCCTCTTGATCCCGATCCACCAGTTCTCTCGCAAGATCCCAGAGCGCAGACCTGCGCAGAAAGAGATCTGCCCGTAGGGCGTCCCAGCGCCCTACGAACAGAAATGGTCATGATGCTTTGTGGGCGGCATCGGTGTAGACACGCCTGGGCACCGCACGCATCGCTCTCGTCGCGCCTTCCTACATGGAACAAGGTTCACGCCTTGGCCGCTGGCGCTTAGTAGACCGTTTGCAGATCATCTATCTTAGGAATCTTAGCTGGGGACCGACCCCGCTCATCTGGTGTATGAGGCTGCAAAAAATGTCACCGCATGCTGCCCATACCTATGTCCCCGATTACAATCCTGTCCTGTTCAGCTGAGCGTTGTTTTGTAGTAAGTCAAACAAATAACATAAATTTGTGTGATATCTGGGTCACTTCCTGTGGAATCGGACCTGGCGTGCGGAGCATCGCCGTTCACCCTCAAGTGTGTAGCAAACGAGACTGCAGCCCCGCTCGGTCCAGGGTGGCGTGTATTCGCCGATGATGATAGGGGAGGGAAATGAGACTGCGAAGTCTGATGAGTAGTTAGTATATTATGTACTGCGTATTTCTTGAGGTCGAGCTAATAAGCTTGCGTGCTTTTGTGCCATGTCTCGTGAACATCGGCCGATATAGTCCTGGAGCTATTGAGGCAAATACATATAATACAGTAAAGCGAGGATACAGAATGCGACGTCCCCTTGTATAACACGTCATGATACCTCGTTCGGGATCGCTACGATGTCCACAGCCTCTCGGGGCACTGTGTACTCAGACGTCGAACCCTCCGGTAGAGAGCGACGGCGGGAGTGCATCGGTGCCGTTCCCACACGATACCTCGATGTCGTCCGTGAGCGTGAGCTCGACAGTGGCGCCCCGCTGGAAGACGTCCCACTCCAGAAAACAGTTTGACTTCGCCGGCTGCCCGTCAATTGTCACGTTCTGCATCAAGTATATGATCATCAACTGTCAAGCTCGATGACACACTTGGGCGGCGGACTTGCCTGCACGAAGACGGTGCCTCCGGTGCCATCTCCAGGGTTTCCGACAAAGTTCTTTGTGATGATCGTGGTAGTAGAGTTGAAAGCGGGGTTGAAGAACGAGATCTGTGGGAAGAAAGGGGACGAGAGCAGATACTGCTTGGTCGCAGGCACGGGGTAGAGACCCGCGAGGAAGAACGCGACATAGCTGGCCATTGCACCAGAGTCTGGTATGCCTCAGTAAGTATCATGATAATATGCAATAGCCAGAGTAGAGCCTGAGAGAGATGTACCATCGTTACCCGGAAGCCCATTCGTCGCGGTGCTGAAGTGCTGTGCGAGCACCTGTCGCGAGCGCTGCGTGCTGTGGCCGGGCTTGTTCGCGTAGTGGTACATAAACGGAATCTGCTGTGAGGGCTCGTCCGTCGAATCGAAGAAGTTCTACATGCACGATCGTCAGCGATACTTCCCCAGAAAGTCGTATTCACAGCGTAGACGTACCTGGTCAAAGATGAAGTCCAAACGAGCGACGAACTTCTCGGGGCCTCCTTGCAGTTCGATCAGCTTCGCCGTGTCTTGGGGCACGAATTGCGAGTACTGTGTGGACATGTCAAGTTGCTGCAATAATGTTCAATTTGAATACAATACGCACTACGATGGGAGACGACTCGTAGAACCCGTCAAAGTTCTGGTTGAACAAGAAGCAGGTCGAGCCGGTCGGGTCGTTCGGGCTACAGTGCCGCGGGTCCGTGAAGCCAAAGCTCCCGTTCACAAAGCGCGGCTGCGTTGTCCATATAGTTGATGAGATTTTGATACTAGGGGAACCCAACAGCAATGTTCCACATACCTGCACCATGCCAACAATCGAGTCATTTCCAGGTACAGAGACGTTAGCGTTCCAGACATTGGCGAAGTTTCCCGCGCGCTTCGCATACTGTGACGAGGGTTTATGAGCAACACCTTCTGGTTCGTTCGTAGCGCACCAACCTTCTGCCCATCGGCTGTCTTGTTTAGCGCTTTCGCAACCTGTGAGATCGCGAAGTCGCCAAACGCATACTTCAGATGCATCGTCAGAGGTTGAATGTTATCTGCAATAAAACCACCGCATCACGTACCTCGAGCGCCCTCGACACTTGCTTCGTGTTTGCACCACCGGGTTCTACCAGGTCCTGAGGAATGTACCCGAATTGCTTCCACGCGTTGATCTGCCGACCCTGCAGGTTCCAGTTTGGAGGCTGGTCTTCCGCGTCGGCGAGTAGAGCATTGTACAACGCATCGGCGGGGACTTGGAGTGACGCTGCCTGTTCAGCAAACCTAAGGGCATGGATCAGTGGAGTTCCAGTCGAGGTATGCAGCCAATCAGACTCACTTGACAAAGAACTCCCCAAGGATAGGATCGCCATCTATGTCGAGTGAGAAACAGATGGGGACGTCGAGACAGAAACGTGATTACCACTGCCTCCTTGCATCCACTGTTTTGCAGTTGCGCCGCGGCACTCCGGGAGCCAGCCTGGGCGCGACATAGTTAGTTAGTGACACCTAGTTTACATGTTCAGGTAGAATACGTACCCTCATGTTGCTGAATATTGATCATGCCGCGCACGATGCGTGCAAAGTTCTCGGGGTCGTGCAGAGACATCAGTGGGTATAGCGTACGGAACGTGTCCCACTTTCCAGGCCAAGCGTGTCTCATCAGCAGGATCCACCTGAAGTATCACTGTTCTCGCTTACGTTGCAGTAGAACGAATCGTAGTACGGCTCATCGGACTGCCACAACGGGTTTTCGCCCGTGTCTGTTCGGAGGTTTAGCTGCTGTGTATAGCCTTATATGCAGCGCACGATGAGAGCTCTCACAGTCTGCAGGCGATATGTGCGTCCGGTACAGGGATGAGTAGAACAGCTCGACCGTGTCGTCATCCACTCCATGAGTCTCGACTTGGACGCGACCCAGGAGCTCGTTCCATTCTGCGCGTACGGCGGCACGCGTCCCCTCGAAGTCGAATGTAGGAATCTCGGACTCGGCGTTCTGGCATGCCTGATCGGTCGAGATGAAGGACATGCCCACGCGCGCAAATATCGTTGTCGGGCCTGACAGAGGTGTGAATCCGAGAATCAGCATAGAAATGTGAGGAAAACCAACCGTCCCCGTTTGTCTTGAAGCCTAAAAGTGCTCCTAGTTCGCTTCGGTAGCCTACGTCCAAGGTGCCTCAGCGTAAGTTATCTTGGATGTAACGGCACGCGCACCTGTGTATTCCTGAATGCCATCGACAAGGCCTCGGATGGGAGAGTTGCCTAAATACGTGCCAAATTCGACTGGGCTTCCCTGTAAGCCATAGCGACGTTAACATGTGTTCGCCGTATGACAAGGAGATATGACGTACCAAGTCGAAACCGACACCCTTGAAGTCCACGCACTGGAAAGCGCGGTATGTGCCGGGTCCAAAGCTTGCAGCAAACGTCGAGCCAGCTACAAGGCGTACCAACATCAACAATATGTTCTGGCTCAGACCTCGCAGTGAATCTTAGTGTGCTTACCAGTTACACGGCCGGTATCCTTGTCGATATGCACGATCGGATTCGAGTTACTCGATTGCCCGTCGTTTGTCACATCGACCACCATCCGCGGAATGGCTGTACCGGGTGGGAAGGTGTACCTAATGGTGATGCCCAGTTCAGCCTATGTACCCGAAAGCATTTCAAAATGAGAACCAACCGATGCAGGGCGGCACGGCGGGTTGCGGTAAGCTCGATGCGGACATCAGTGGTCTACACGTCCATCATGAGTGCATATTCATCATATCAGTCGGAGATACCGACCAGGTTGGACGCGAAGTAACCGGGCTCCGCAACGTCGTCAGGAGATCCTGTTGAAGATGTCTACGCCGTACTCATTTGAAGCCTAGTATGGTACGTACCATCCGCGAGCGTTTTTCGCGGCCGCTTGCGCGAGTTAATGTCGCAATCGCAGGTTTCGAGTACGTTGCCGGCTTCACAATGACCTGATGCCATCGGAAATAATTTGAAGATCGATAGGGGGACAGACTACGGCAGCGAAGTCAGGCGTAGTGGACATACGATAGGCTCTGAGGTCACTCACCCCTCCGGTACCGTCGTCATGAAGTTGGGAAATTCCTGTCACCGAGAACGATGGGTTGGAGTCGTAACCTGCGTGCTATGAAGAGTGTTCAGGACTATGGAAGGTGACGGACAGGTGGCTTTACGTACATTATCTGGAGAGTCCGTATCGATCCCAACTTTCACCATCCCGTGCGGTAGCGTCACACCTATGCCGACGAGTATTTCAGCTGGTAAACCAAAGACTGCGCTGATAGTATGGTAAATACCTGGGAAGGCATGTCCGGAGCTAGTCGTGCCTATGAACAGGTTGACATGGCTTGCAGGGTCTGTAATTGGCACGTCTGCCCTTCTCCTCGTCCGTGCATCAACGCCAGGCCGCGATACAGCTACAACAGGGCTAGCGACCCAAGCAAAACCCGCAAGGGTGACGAGAGATGTGAGAGAGCGGACCATGGGAAGCTAGTTTCTCCGAGCCGTTGACCACTGGGAGAGCGACGGCGCGGTCTTATATACACATCGTTCGCGCTACGCGGGGGATGTTCACGCCGCAGGGTCACGTACGAGGCCAAAGTGAGGCCAGCACGGAGACCGAAGGGATGCAACTAGGTGGTCCGCCTGCCGCTGGCGCATATGGTCGGGGAACCCATGATCGCGTCTTCGCCGCCGGGCGCAACGTCATCCGCCCACTTCGAGCCCTTGCCCCTGCAGATGGAAGCGGTCGCAGAACGGCGGCCACGGCGGTTGCAGTGAGCACGACACATCGAGAATGCCGAGGGATTCAGCGAATGCGCCCGGGCGCGGACGTCGGCCCACCCGGTAACGGTGACTTCTGCTGGGCGGCTTGATGTCATTGTTGTGTAGGCGTCCCGTGAGCACGTTACGGCCGTGTTCGTGCGCTTTCATGGAGATTATTGGGCAGAAGCGGAGGATGAGAAGTCAAGAAGCCGCGTGGCCATGCGCTAGGTTTCGTCACTCGACTGTACGAGCGCCCCGCCTGATGCCCGCTCGTGACTGTCGAAATGTACAATTGTCACCTCCAGAACAGGCTGAGAGCGTGAATAGCCTATCCTGGAAGAGACATATGTATGAACGACTGTCCAGTGATATAGTGGACCTCAACGTCTGGCTTTCGGCATACCTGACAGAGTTTCAGCGAGGAGCTGCTGCCGTCGGCAGAAGACAGCTTGTTGACTCGGACCTCATAAGCGGCATGTCAGAATTCCTGAAGGTCAGACAGAGAAATCGTCTAATGCGATACTGATGGAATGCCTATGAGAAGTGTCGAGACGATCAGCAATCAAGTCTAGCACGTAAAAGCAGAGACACACCATGACCGTAGAACCCCAGAGGAAGCCGTTTTGAGCAAGTGCCGACAATGCGGAGGCTTCGCAAAGTGTGCATCCGCGATCCCGGAGGAATCATTGGCACATTTGCATGGATACAAACAATATACGACATCATATGCATCCTTAGGGCCAGAAACAAGCTCTAAGCTTGCTGTGGTGACTGCAATATTGAAGGGTGAGTACTTAGTGGGAAACGATGACGCATGGAGATGCTATGGAACGATCACACGCTAGGAAGCTCGTTGGACATGATTCGCAGTGTGAAGCGCATTAACACTCTGGTAACACGCTCATCCAGCAAGCTCAGAAGATGAGAATAGTGCGCAGAAGAATGGGTAGCCCCGGGCAGTGGTCGATGTTGGGTCGGTGCAAGAGTTGTTGGGCGCTCACAGTCAGCTCCTTCATGCCGGCGGCACACGTGGCATGCCGGCCGTACATCACCGAAGGAGGGGAGCGTCCGGCAAACCCGGCCGGCCAGTCCGAAGTTTGCTGGTTAAGACCTTTGGTGTTTCGATTCGGAACGGTTACTTTACCTACTGGAGTCAGAGAATAATAAGAGCAATGGTCTACGTCCACCTGTGGTACGCTCTATAGTTTTAACCAGCAGTGCACTCCGTATACTGAGTCATGACAACACTTCTATCGTTACAAAAAATTTGGTACACGTACACAAGGAGTGAATACACGCCAAAAATCAGCAAGGCCATGGGCGTAAACCCGCACGGCACCCACATCAGCATCTGCGTTCCCCCAATGTGCGAACGCGCAGAGCCTCAGAGCGTGTACCGGAAGTCAGGCGCACGGTCGCCCATGCGCCTTAGTTCTTCCGGGGTGTAGCGCGTAATGCCCTTCTCGGTCGCGTCGCGCACCAACGCCTCGCGACGCGCATTAATGCGCTTGTACGCGAGCACCGTGATCGGCACAGCGATGAACCCAATCCCGACGAACATGAGCTCAATACCGTCTGCGCGTCCCGTAGGTCAGTCATGCTGTAAAGGGGAAAGAAGGGCGGATGAAGGGCTTACGTCCGAGGATGTAGCGCGGAGCGTCCTGGGTGCGGTAGATGTTGCTCGCGATCGCGCCCCCAAAGTTCCCGATGCCGATGTGCAGCGCCATGCCCACGCCGCGCTTGTAGTGCCCTGCGAGATTGTTTCCCAGCCTGCGCAGTTGTCAGTCTCACAAGTCGAAGGGGGAGTGCGGATGAAGAAAGGATGTACGCACCACGCGACGACACCGGGGAAGCCGGCGTATGAGCCCGCAACGATGAGGAAGGTGCCGAAGTACTTCGCGCCGATCGGCACGTCGCAGATGTTGATCACGAAGCCGACGAGGCAGAACGTGAGGCCGGCGAGCACGAACGGGTACCGTGTCTTGATGCGGTCGGACCAGACGGCCCACACGAGCAAGGTGATAGCTGTGGACGCAGCGCGCGTCAGGTTGACTGGTTACTGCACGATGAAGAAGAACACTGAGAACGACGTACTCGCAAAGACGTAGGGCGGTACGGTGAGGAGCTGCGAGATGGCAGTGGTGAAGCCGAAGCTGTCGTCGAGAAGTTAGAAGCTACCCTCGTCGACTCGGACTACAACATACCCGTTGATGATGGACCTGCACGTTTACGTCAGCGCAGCTCGACGATCGTACACACGGAAGTAGCACTTACGGCAAGAACAGCGAGATACCGTACACTGCACAGAGAACACTCTTTTAGCAGAGGTCCGTCAGCGACAGTATTGAATGTACGCACGAGGTGCGATGATCGACATGTAGATCAGGATGTGCATGTACACCTGCCAGTCGGTGATCGTCTCCCAAATGTGGCGTATTTCGAAGTGCTCTTCCTCGCCGACAGACGAGTTGTCGTACTCTAAGTAAACAGAAATATCAGCGCGCGTGCACGCGTCGAGCGGGGATGAAAGACGCACTTTTGCGGTGAATCACGTACGCGCGCTCTTCCGGGGTGAGGAACGCGGCAGTGTGCGGGAAGTCGACAAGAACTGCAGGTAGATTTGCGGTTAACGCTATAGGCAAGTATACACGCTTAAAAACACGCACTGAAGAACGAGATAGCCCCGACCACGACTGTCAGCAGACCCTCAATAATCTGCCGCGCTGATTAGAGCTTGCACCCTTGGCCCCGGAAGCAGCGCGAGACGTACGAAGATCCACGACCACCCCAGCAAGCCCGCGGTCCCAGCCATGAACGAAATGCCGAATGCGAGGAGCCCCGAGAACGCCCCTGCGAGCGTTGCACCGCCGAAGAAGATCCCGATACGGAATTGAATCATGTGCCGCGGGTACCACAGGGTAAGGCTGACAAGTACAGGTTGAGCCGTTAGTAGTGGGACGATGCATTGCAGGCGAGAGTACATACTAATAAACAACTCCGGGGAAGAGACCGGCCTCTGCGATTCCGAGCAGGATTCGTACTCCTACAAGCTGAGGGTAGCTATAGATGTTGGAGGTGAGCATACGCAGACATTCAGCAACGGGCCAGTTCGACGTACGTCTTGACGAGACCCATCAGCGTCCTACGTCCGTGCTCAGTATGCGCCGGACGCCAACGGAGTATACGCGTCACTCACATGATAACTCCCCAAGCGAGCTAATTGCATCGGGGGTAAGTTCGCTGGCAGCATGTAGTCTGTTAAACCACGTACCGTAATTCCGGGAAGCCACCTTGATGGTCGGAACTTCTTCAAGACCAGGCTATGAACCAGTCGTCAGTAACGGAGACTGATGCACGTGCGTCGAATCTGATTTACTTCGCTGGGCATTCAAACAGGCAATATGGCTGTTGAAGGTTTGAGTTTCTGAGCGAGTCATGACAGCGATCATCAAACTTACGACGAAGTACATCGTCTAGAGGATGGACGTGAGCACTCTAGGTCCGCGTATCAAACACCAGGAAGCATGGGGTGGGGGCTCACCAGTGCGATGTTGTACTTGTTCCCCGTCAAGTTGAGCTGCGTCGTAAGACCCTGCAGCTTCGCGTTTCCTGGAGCGGCAGATCAACATAGGCCCGCGCGAGATCATTGAAGTGTTGCTCACCAATGTTACCCCGGTCCAGGAACGAGCAGAGATACATGAGCGTAAGGATGGGCATGAGCCGCAAATCGATCTTGCGGTACAGCGCTTTCTGCTGCTCGGCGTTGAGCTCCGGCGGGGGCGGGAGGGTCTCTTCTCCACCGTACGCGATGACAGGCTTCACCGACACATCCTCCTCCACCGACTCCGCCGCGTTCTTCTCGATGCTCCCACTCCGCGCGACGCGTTCTGTCGAGGCCATTGCTGCACCTTTCGACGCGTTCAAGGAAAGAAGGACGTAGATGTCGTGAGAGTTAGAACCGCAAAGACGTCAAGGGGAGATGTGCGCGCTCGCAGCAGGTGGGGTGCGAGTACGGCGCCGTGGACAGGGTGTCCATGCCAGGCTTATAAGCCTGTCGAGCGTGTCGGCAATCCATGTCTCATACACACGCTATACCAAGGCACCCGGTGGTCCGGGAAGTTGGGGCTAGCGGCGGGTCACGTTGGGAAGCGTACAAACACCCTCGGTGACGGCAGCCACTTATCTGGACGCCTAAAAGTAGCACAGCAGGGAAGGGCAGGGACGCCTGCGCGCCAAAACACTGCGGTGTTCTCATGTGAGCATCGTGTGTGACAGTAGACAGTATTCCCATGGGCCGCCAGCTAAATCCGGGGACGATGCGGCGGAGTGATCGCCTGCTGTGGGGAAAGATGGTGTGGCCTTTGGGGTCGTGTCGACGTCGCGCGAGGAGAGCTTCGGATAGCGTTGGTGGTATCTACGCTCAACGTCGTGTGCCGCGGACTTGAGTGAGAGGTATTTTCCGGGGATAAGGGCATCCCTAGGACACCTGAGCTTGTTTTAGGGCAACAAAGTAGCGTCTTGGCTGCAGACCCGTGACTGCAGGATCAAATGGAGACAGCGGGAGACACTATCAGCAGCCCGACGGACTCGAGAGTCGAAGAGACTCGAGTCGTACCTCAGTGCTCAGCGGTCGCAGTAGCAAGCTCAGACCTATTTTTTCCCGAGCTTTCGCGGATTCGTTGGGCCATAGAGGTGGGAGCGAAAAAGGACTGGTCCCGGTTGGGCGATTCGGAGAGGACGCCCAACCCGACCGAGCGCTAAATGAGGAAGCGGCAAAAACGGGCCGAAAGGGAGTCAGGGCGCTTAATACATTGCGCGCGCGCCTCGACTCCGAGTTCGAGTCTTCGTTGCTCCTTCGCCAACACCATCGCCAGTCTATTCTGAGTGTACGCGGACCTCGGGGCCAACTTGCTTTCTTCTCGATATCCACGCGATTGTGAAAGCTTGGAACATCTCGTTGTACACAGTACTGCCCAGGAGAATAGTGAGTCTGAAGTCGAAGGGGTCCCCGACGGAGACTGGTTCGCGACTTTCCCCTATTCCGTTTTGCACCAGGTGAGTCCTTTGACATGGTACTAGCATGCAGTGGTGGCCCCGAGTGTCGTCTTCACGCGAGTGATGATTCAAAATATATGTATGTGAGCTTCAACGTGCAAGAGGCAGCCTTTTTTGTGCGTTATGACTGGTCCGTTACTCACGGTACTTGTTGCGTTCTGGTGCGTTTTACGCAACGAGAATCTTTACAGCTACTCATGCCTATCCACTCACGCAGAGTCATCGCAGCTTCTACTACAGTCTGCTCGCCCTGAAATGTGTTCGAACACGCTTCCAAATTCTCCCAGACAAGGAAGCGTAGAACGCGTGGAGTGTGGTCGTGAATCCGCTTCTTTGCCCGCACGAGGCAAATTCATCAGTACGTCCGCAAAGAGTCATCCCGGCCTCCGTCTATCAGCGGCTTTTAGGGTGGCAGGGCAGTACATGTGTTGCAAACGTTGTCTGAAGGGTGTTGTGAGTCAATTCACCCTTGTGAACGCTGCCGAAGTGAGACCAGTCCGGAGAGTCACTACCGGTGTCTTGCGGAGCCGCTGAAAGGGTAGACTCCATTTTCATCGTGTTCACCGCGTTCTGCGGTCGACTGCGGTGGACGGCCCAGCGATCAAGATTCTTCGGGAACGATTGGATCTGGGCGCGCTGCAGCACGACGCGCGCACGAGGCTCATCTATCACTCCAGCGCGTCCTTGGATTCCACATACATAACCTTCCGCGGACACCCTTCCCTCCCTTGTTCTCGACCACGTCCTCCTCAAGCGCGAACGCCACCAATCCGCCATGATGCTCAGAGGCAAAGCACGCGCCGTCCACCACCACCGTTTCGTCACCCGTGAGTGCTCATATCTGCTCAATCGTTAGCGTCTCCATGCGCTGCAGCTCCTGCGTGTTCGCAAGCCGGAGTGCCACTCCCGCGGGCGGTCGTTAACCAGATGTTCGGACACTCAGCTGGCGGGCTCGTCAACGACGACGGCTCCCCCGGTTTCGCAATGCCCGCGCTCGCCGGCGACGTCGTCGAGTTCGACCCGACAAAGGATGAAGCGCCGGTGGCGGAGGAGGAGGTCCCGCAAGGTCCGCCCGGCAGCGTGCTCGAGGTGAAGTATCTGCATGAGATCCATGACTCCTTCAAGAATCAGTGGATCATCAAGCCCGCTCCGGCGCCGACGGAGGAAGACAAAGCAACGAAGAACGACGGCGCCAAGTACTCCGTGTTCGCGTTCACGGTCATCCGGAAGTTCAACTACAGCCAGGACGGGAAGGCGAACACCTTCAATGTCACCACCTCTCTGCAGATCAATAGCCCGGAACTCGTCAAGGTCGGGAAGGAGGTACTAGGCGATGTGCAGGGCATCTCCTGGACTGCCAAACCGCTCCGCGTAAGTTTTTTCCGCGCGCTCGTCCGTGGGAGACTAAAGCTAATCTCCCCCTTAGATTGATCCGCAGACACTGTTGTCCTGGTACCCGGAGCTACAGGCGCGCGCAGACGAGCTCGCCGCCCAAGTCAAAGACGAACCCGAGGAGTCGGCACTCCGCCTCACGCACGAGCACCTCAACCACCTGCTCACATACCTCAAAGAGACCTATGGCAATACGCTAGACACGCTTTCCTCGCTCCTGGAACATGGTCAGATCACGTTCGAGCTGCTCTGGTCGCTCTTTGTCCCGGGCAAGACGACACTCTATGCGCTTTGCCCCATCACCTCGGAGCCTCGCGCGCTGCGCCTCGTCCATGCTGAGCTCTGCCAAAAGGCAGACTCGCAGGCACCGGTATCCGCAGCGTACGACCCTACCGGCCTGCTAACGTCGAAGAACTCGCAGGAGCAGCAGATGCAGTTCTTCTGGCGTCTCGTTGTCGAGTACGTCGAGGTCGACATCCAGGCCCACGGGGACAGTGCAGGCGACATTGGGAGCAGCTCGTCGGCGCAGCCCAAGAAGGACGTGTGCCCGACGTTCGGGTACGCGGGGCTGGGAAGAGTCATAGACGTGCCGCGCTTCAAGGGCGCAAAGAAGATCTCGAGCCTTGTCGCGTACCCTATCCAATACTACCCGGGGCTCGGGGGTGTTGACGGCCTGAAGGAGCGCCTCATCAAGCGCGGGAAGAAGTGGACCGAGTTCGCAGGCGGGATGCACCACGTTGCGTACCGTGGGCTCGCGTTCAAGTTCAAAGAGACTTCGCACATCAAATTTAGCGTGAGCCTCACATTCCCCGTGCATGTCGCCGGATACCCTGACGCTAAAGCCGTGACAGGTTAACTCTCGGATCATGATAGACCGAAGTGAGCAAAGCACCGTTTCCGGTCCCAGGGCTGTGTTTTGTGGGACTGCACTGACGAGCGTGGGTGGCCCGCAGAGACGTTCGCGGACACGGTGCCCAACTACCCGATGCTGCCCCGTGTGTCGAAGACACTGTCCGGGCAAGACATCGATAGGCACGCACGGCGCGCAGCTGCGGCAACGTCGAGCGCGGACCCGGATGCCCGCGAGCTGACTGATGAGGAGCTCATCCTCACGTCGCCGATCGTGTACGGCTTCGGATTCGCAGACAAGCAGTGGCGTGAGTATCGTTCTCGCCGTAGTCGCCCTCGCCGTACGCGTTCGCGAAGAGCTAACCCGCGTTGTAGTGGAGTTTATTGTGGAGCGGGTCGAACGCTTCGAGTGGAACGACGAGGCGTTCGAGCAGCTCGTCATCCCGCCCGCGCACAAGACGGTGCTCAAGACGCTGGTCGAGTCGCAGAACGCGGGCGCGTCGGCCAAGTTCGACGACTTCGTGTCCGGGAAGGGCCACGGGCTCGTCATCAACCTCTTCGGCAACCCAGGGACAGGCAAGAGCCTGACGGCAGAAGCGATGAGCGAATGTACGTCCCTGCGTCTTTGTGTCTCTCACCGAGCTAAGCGGAGCCGCAATCACCCCTTTAGACGTGCGAAGTGAGTCTCATGCGCTATTCTCGACACATGCACAGCGCTAACTGGATCCACACCGTCTCCTTCCCACTCATTCTCCAGAGCCCTTGTATGTTGTGGGAGCAGCGGACCTCGGCACCCATGCTGAGGCCCTGGACCAGAACCTCACCTCCATCCTGAAGGTGGCTGCGGTCTGGGGTGCCGTCGTGCTCATCGACGAGGCAGATGTGTTCCTGGAGGAGCGCACTCTTGCGCACCTCGAGCGCAACGCTATGGTCGCGGTCTTCCTCCGCCAACTAGAGTAAGCGCTCACGCGTAGAACTCACCGAGAAGTGTCTTGACACTTTTCGCGCTCGCAGGTACTTCCGTGGAATCCTGTTCTTGACCACGAACCGCGTCCGCGTCTTTGACGAGGCATTCCAGTCCCGCATCCACGTCTCCTTGCGCTACCAGGATCTGTCGCCTGATGCCAAGCGTCATATCTGGCTCGCATTCCTCAAAAAGGTCAACGGCGACGTGCCTTACGGCGGCATAACGCAGGAGCAGCTGCGCTCCCTGGGCGAGAAGAAAGTCAATGGAAGGCAGATAAAGAACATCGTCAAAACGGCGGGCGCGCTCGCGATTGGACGGCAGCAGCCGCTCACGTTCGCACACTTGGAGCAGGTCCTGGACCTTATGGAACAGTTCGATACAGCGTAGGTGTCTGGTTGCATTTTCAGTATGTGTGTAGCTAACGTTGCATCGATGAACAGGCATATCATGTACCAATAGAAGATCTGTAGAGTTCGGTAATGTGTAGAACGATAGTGTACAGCATAGATCTTTCTGGAGTTGACCGTAGGCGCCTTCGATGCCGAGATCTCCACTACACATGACTACTCCGTAGTAGATGACCGGAGGTAACGGATGCTGACAGCGTTCGCAGCAACGGAGACGTATTGAACGGGCAGTTTTCTGTGTACCGCATCCCTTCCGTACGTAACCTATTCTATGCAAAGGTCTCCGCCGCGCCGCGCGCTCATACAATTGGCATACTCACGTCTTTCTGCGACAGAGGCCGGTTGTCTTTGTCAATCACAGCACCTTCTGATCCTCACTAACACCTATACACGTGCCCAAGAGAAGCTCCTCGCAGGGCCGCGCCCGGCGCGAATCGTCCATGACCCCATGAAAGCAGGCCCGTCATACGCCCGCCCGCCCGGGTGTCCTATCAGAGCCCTCACCGTACGTTTTACACGCCTCACATGGTCCCCGTTCTTTGCATCGTGCCCGGCTACCTGATCAGATTCGTCCCCGCCAGCGGCGCGCGACGAGCATGGTCGTCGGTCAGCTGTCCTCAGTACGGACGCCTTCTGCGGGCTCGACTGAGGCGAAGAGCGTAACTGAACCCCGGCGCCGTCTGATTGCGTCCTCTGCTGAGGCACATTTTCTCAAGGCTCTGCGTATAAATCTGGGCGGCGGGAGGCAGCGATGCGGCCTACAGCCTGCCCGTCATGCTGCCGTTACGCGTGGTCATCGGGTTAGCGACGGCGTTCGCGCAGGTAACTGCTGCGCTGGTGGACGCTGATGCATCTGCAGCTTTGGCGAGCTCTGTTACGGCGTCCGCTGCAGTAGGGACCCCTTCGGCTTCTGCAAATTTCATTCGCGATGCGGCAAGTCATGTCAATCTCTTCATCGGGACGACCAACGGCGGGCATACTTTCCCCGGTAAGCAAGCCTCCGTTTTGCGTGAGCTCAGGTTGTGACGGCGGAGACAGGAGCGACAATTCCCCATGGCATGGTCAAGGTCGGGATGGACACCGACTCTCCCGGAAACGTATGTTGTGTTTCCCAGGACATGCGTTCTTCGTATGGACTTGTTTTAACCCCTCGAAAAGCATGCCGGTTACGACGCAAACCCCATCTTCAACGCGACGGGTTTCTCCCAATTGCACGACGACGGCACTGGAGGGGTGAGTCCCCTACAAGACCATAACTGGGTAGCATACTGAACTCGAAGACATAGGCGGTTCCGCTGTCCCTGTTCAAACTGTGGGCCTTCACTTCATGTGGGGTCGGAAACACCTTCGAAGAATGCCAGACGTCGATCTCGGGGCGTAAGGCGCTCAGGAAAGTCTTGCCAGATGGTGAGTTTCGTTGAGTAGATTATCAGTATCGTAAGTGGCGTGACAAGCTGTGCCACTTCAGGGTCTCCCGACGATGCGGCTGAACCAGGATACTTCTCGACAAACCTGGTAAGCATTCCCACTCCTCTTGTACTAGCATCCACTCATATGATCCCTTCAGTCCACCGGGATCCGCGTAGAGTTGACATCTACACGTCGCGCTGCCATTCACCGGTAAGTCTAAATTCTCGTACGCAATTGCCGATGTTCTCAACGTAGCTTAGGTACACATTCCCCGCAGGGACGAAGACCCCTCGCATGGTGGTCGATATTACCAACGATGGGCAGATGAGTAGCACGGACCCCGAGATGGACCTCGACCCCGACACAGCGCGTGTTACCGGTTGGTGCTTTGACACTGCATGCGTGATGCTAGTACCATCTGATGCATCGTGCATGTAGGAGGTGCTCACTTCGAAGCATCCTTCGGACCTGGACGGTATCGTGCGTTCACTTGCGTAGACTTCAAGGGCGATGGCTACGAGCTTGTGAGTTCGAGCGCTTTGATCGGGCTTGCAGATGCTTATCAGTGCTCCCTAGGGTGCACCCACTGAATTTGGCGCATGGCTAGCAGACTTTCCTGTGAAGCAAACGGTCACGGTTACGCAGTTGTATACGAGTGCGTTTGTCTCTTTTTTACTGGTAGTCCTTGCTCAGAATGCCCACAGGCTTCACCGACCAAATCGGCGCACTCTTCACGTTTGCTCCGAATGGGAACAGTGAGTGCCGACTGTAGCTTCCCCGCAGTTCGACCAACGACCGTCTATCGTTTGGCAGGTACCACTTCGATCCTGGCACGGGTCGGAGTGTCCTTTATCTCCTCCGAGCAAGCTTGTGCGAATGCGGAGGATGAGATCCCCGACTTCGATTTCGAACGAGTGCGCTCTGCGTCTCGAACACAGTGGAACGAGCTCCTCGGTCGCGTCCAGGTCGACACCACCAATGTGGACCCCGAGATCGTCGACCTCTTCTACAGCTCTTTCTACAGAACTCACCTGTCCCCGGCCGATTGTACGTGCGCCCCTTCAAATGTGTTGCTGCGTCATTAATTGTTGATCAGACACTGGCGAGAACCCTCTCTGGAACTCTACCGAGCCTTACTACGACTCCTTTTACTGCAACGTGAGTGCCTTGATCTAGGCGTGGCTCATAGAGTGAACTGATAATCTCGACGCAAGTGGGACACGTATAGAACACTGTACTCGTTCATGGCTCTTCATGATCCTGCAACTTTCGCGAGGATCGTGCGGGGTATGATCAACATCCAACAACACGAAGGTACACCTCTCGTTCTTATTCTCCTTCCTTGATTGACATCGTGTTCTAGGCTGGCTGCCCGAGTGCCGCGGCGCCACCGCAAAACACTATATCCAGGGTGGAAGCAGTGCGTATTCGTGTGGCTCTTTTGGCGTCGCCTTCATATTGAACATGCACCCTGCGTAGACGGCGACCCAATCCTAGCAGAGTTCTTCGTCAAGTGAGTCTCATGTGGGATGTTCAGTAGGGGTCTTCGTTTTAACCGGAAGCCGATAGATTCCACGAGCACGCCAAGGAACTTAGCGTCTCTGCGGATGCGCTTTACAAAGCTCTGCTTGCAGATGCAGAGTTGCAGCCACCGAACTGGGATTTGCAGGGCCGGCAAGTGAACATCTGGAAAACACTAGGATATATTCCCTCCGATGTCTGGGAGAGGAGTGGCACGAACTCGAAACAAGTGTCCCGAACGCTGGAGGTAAGCAACTGCGGGATATGCGCCAGGTGCTCGCCTGTTCAAGCCAAGGTCTCCCACAGTACGCCTTCGACGACTTTTCTATCTCCCAAGTCGCAAAGGTTCTCGGGAAGTCCGCTGATGGAAAGAAGGTAAGCGTATCTTGACACACCGCGCAGCGCAGAACTTAAGCTCGATGTCCGATGTCTTCTTTAGTACGCTCAGCGTTCGGAGAACTTCGCGAACGTTTGGAATCCGAACGTCACATTCCCTGGGGAGACAGACATAGCGGGGTTCATGCAGGCGAGTTCCATACAACTCGCGCGTATCATACGGGCTAATTCGCAACAACAGCCTCGCTTCGCGAATGGCGTCTTCAACTTCACCGACCCGAGGCACTGCAGTATCCACGATCCTATCCAGGCCACATGCTTTCTAAATGCGCAAAACCACGATGGGTTTTACGAGGGCGCGCCGATAGTGGTGCGGCGCTTGACCAATCTCTCCTGTGATAAAGCCAATCTCATCCGATTCGATCCTGTAGTACTCGCAATATGCGCCTCACGACACCGCGAAGCTCATCGCTCTGCAGGGAGGGAAGGAGAAGTTCGTGTCACGATTGAACTTCATCTTCAACCAGGTGAGTGCAGCCACTCCCGGCAGCGAAGATACAGCAGGTTTTACGACGACCATCAGGGTTACTTCGACTCTACCGACGAGCCCTCGCAACAGATCCCGTTCATGTACCACTACGCCAACAGACCGGGACTAAGTACTCAACGCTCTCGGCAAGTCATCGCGGAGTTCTACAACACCTCCATAAACGGCCTTCCGGGTAACGATGGTACGATTTCGACACCGTTGCACCACACGCGATTGCTGATGTCGCCTTACGCAGACTCCGGTGCCATGGGCAGCTACGTCGCCTTCTATCTGGCGGGTCTCTATCCTCTCCCCGCCACACGGCAGTTCCTTTTGTCTTCGCCCTACTTCCGCGAGATTTCTTTCCAAAACCCGGTGCTAAACACGACGACCACAATTCGCGCGAATGGTTTCCACGGAAATCCGAAGAACGGCACTGGCGGACACGTCTTTGTACAGGTTGGTCAACATACGCTTCGCATGAGTTGTACTGATGAAGCGTGTTCAGAGCGTGAAGATCGATGGCAAGCCGTGGAAGTCAAACTGCTTTATCGACTGGGACGCCTTCACTAGCGGCTCGCTCATCGAGCTCCAGCTCACAGACAACATCAACGTCGGGTGTGGAGCGGGCTTGGATGCTTTGCCGCCATCGCTCTCTACTGGGGGATACGACTAGCGCTTCGCAGCAAGACTCATTTGTAACAATCTTGTTGAGATAATCACAACGTGAATGTCAGAAGGTAATACAATCTTAGGCTACTGGACGTTGAGAATTCCCTCCTGAGGGTGCCTCCGTGTACTCTTGATCATCATGTAGCCTACGTCAGCATTGACCCACACCGGATGGCTACACCTGAGGTTGGGAGAACTTCCGTAGTTGAATTGTAACGCGCCCCTGGATAGCTCAATACGTGTCTTACAAAGTGTACCTGAAATCGGGCGCGCGGTCCCCCATCTTTCGCAGTTCCGCCTCCGTGTACTGGACCTCTAGGCTCTTCTCTTCCCGTTCGTGCTGTGCAGCGTCACGTCGCTTGTTGCCTTGCACATATGCGAGGGCGGTGAGCGGCACCAGAACGAGGCCGAGTGCGATGAACGCCATCTCAAAGATGTCTGAGAATAGATATTCGATGTTAGCATTCCTGAATGAACCCATCTCTCTGAACAAGCCTTACGTCCACGGGTGTAGCGTGGTGCGTCCTGAATGCGATAAACATTGCTCGCGATGACCCCGCCGATATTTCCGAACATGACCGTCATGCCGAGGCCAATACCGCGCTTGTAGTGGCCGATGCAGTTGTTGCCAATCCTGTAAGAGCCCATAAGCGTATGGTCCGCGTGCACAACGCGACATAGGATCCATACCACGTCAGCTCCATCGGCGCGCTGAGATACGCCCCGACCACGACGAGGTACGTCCCGAAGTACTTGACCCCAATGCTGACGTCGGCGACGTTGATTCCATAGCCGACTAGGGCAAGTACGAGGCCGGAAAAGACGAATGGGGAGCGCAACTTCATGCGGTCGGAGTAGATAGAACAAATGAGAACGACGATGGCTTATGGGGCAGTCAGTTTGTGATGGTCTCCGCGATGCTGAGAAGGTCTTACTGGCCAGAACGTAAGGTGGTACCGTGAGTAATTGAGATGTGACCGTGTCGAATCCGAAACTGTACTCGCAGAGGAACTTTTGAATCGATTCTACAGAGGACATCGTGCCTACTTACCCGTTAATGATTGATCTATCGACCCATATCAGCTTCCGCAGACAACAGTTGAATCCTCCCTGTACTCACGGAAGGAATACCGAGATGCCGTATACTAACAGCGCCAGCAGGAGAGACACTACATCAGCATACACCGCGAGAGATATTGTGGGGGAGGGATACGCACGAGGCATGGAGATAGTTACATCGGTGATGGCTGCGACGACAATCTTCCAGTCGAGCATCGCTCTCGGAACTTCTCGTAGGTCGAATTTCTCCTCTTCACCTCCCCCTGAGTAATCGCTTCCTGCAGGATGAGACGATGCACTGCTGAGTAAATATTGGTAGAAAATCGGGCAGCGTGCGTACTCAGTCGATCTAGCAAGAAAGTACGTTCCTTTGGCGTGAGGAAAGTTGCGGTGTCGGGGAGATCAACGAATACTGCAAAGCGGTCATTGTGAATTCTTTTGAATGAGCGTGTGGAATTGAAGGCACTTGCCAAAGAACGCAAGGATCGCGACGGCTACTGTCGCGAGGCCTTCGACAATCTGGGCAATACGAGGTGAACACGCTGTAACATGAAAGTGAAGAGCACAGGAGCGTACGAAGATCCAAGACCACCCGAGCAGCCCGTCGGTGCCGGACATGAACGAGATACCGTACGCTATCAGGCCAGAAAAGGCGCCTGAGCAGGTTGCGCCGCCCCAGAAAAGCCCGAATCGCCATTGCAGCATGTGCTTCGGATACCATAGCGACAGGCTTTTACGTGGTTGCGAGCGTGAAAAATGAGAATGAGAAGAAGTGTAAGACGTAGGGGAGGGGCGAAAGGCGAGACTGACAGATAGTAGATCCCAGGTGACATTCCGGACTCGGCGATGCCGAGGCATACGCGCACCGCAACGAGCTGGGGGTAGCTAAACGCCAGTCAGCGAATACAAAAGTGGAATTGGGTGAACGTACTTCTTCACGAGACCCATGCAAGTGCTGGATGTATGCGTGATCAATGAACCTATTGAAAGCGAACGTGGTAAAGGGGGCAGCGACTCACGCCACGATTCCCCATGCTAACTGTATGGACGGCGTGATGAGAACCAGGAGTCCACCAAGAAAGAAAACAACGTACTGTGAGGCCAGGAAGCCATCTCGAAGGCCTGAGCTTTTTGAGCAGCAGACTGAGTGGATTTGGAGTGAGTTTTGAACGAAGTGGGAACATCGAGGATACGCACTTTGCTGGGACGATGAAGATGCAATAAGACTAGAAGAGACAAAAATGAATAAGTAAATACTGATATAGTACTGTACAGGATCATACTAGATAATACATGGCCTATAAACACGATCAGCTCACGCAGGAATATAAACCCCGCGAGTTTGAAAGGTCTTACCAGCGCCGTGTTATACCGTTGGCCGGTAAGGTCCAATTGCGTGAGCAGTCCTTCAAGCTTCGCATTTCCTATATTGAGGCATGAGGGTCCGCTCGCCCGCATAGCTGTATAGTGGGGACGAACCGATGTTACCGCGGTCGAGATAAGACATCAGGTAAAGCAGAACTGATATAGGGATGAGCCGCATATCAACCTTGCGCCATAGTCGTTTCTCTTCCTCTACTGTCAGAGCAAGGGAGCAATCATCACTAGACGAATGATGTGGGACGTCCTCGACAGCTATAGAATCCACTTCTATCTTTTCGCTTGCCGGAGACAGCGGCGTGGGCGTCATTGTTGAGAGACAGACTTGTAGACGTTGGGTAGGAGGGGAAGAGGAGGGACCCGACGACACCCTCAAATGCACCGACGTACTCTTCAACTCTACGAGGCAGCATGCAAAGCATGTATTGAGACAGCTGACGATTGCTGAGCAATTCAACTCCGGCTGGGTTTACGGCTGGGCCGACCGAGGAAGTCGAGAAGAGGAGAAGCGTCACATTCTCAATGAGCTTCCTTCGCCAACGTGAGAGCGATCTTGGAGCGTAATGGAGTTGAGGCCTGCTGACCGCCCACGCTTCAACAGTGCTCTTCGAAGTTCGGAAAGCGATACCCTACTCAACAGAGGAAGAATTCCATCCTCCATCGACTAGCAAGTGCGCCGACATCGAATAGAGCGAGTCGCAGCTTCGCATGGCGTGCGCTCACCGCGCTGGGATTCTACGCCTGTAAGGGCGACTTTGTGAGCTTTGTCACCATCGTACACGCATGAGTTGGCAGTCACGGCTCACCGTATCGTCTGCATATATTTTACCTGGAATCTTGGCCCGCGTGAGGTGCCACGTATCAGGAAACTTCTAGTCTAACAAGGCCATATATCCACTTGCAGGCAGCACGAAAAGTCGATGAATCCTTAAAGATAATTTCAGCCTAATTATTTCACGATTCATACGCCGCATGCGGCTTGTCGAGGGAGAGGAAGAGCCGTAGCGTAAGTACTTATCATGCACGGACGTCGACTCTGAGCAAGGTCTGCGAGCGCCAACATCCATGCTGGAGGCTGCGGCCGTTGCCGGCGCTCGCGTGGATCTCGCGTGGCACTCTTCACGTGATCGTGACCAATGTGGCTGCACGCGCCGCGCGCAGGCGCGCGTATCAAGCTTGCTTCCTGCCGCCATCTTCACCGCCGACTTGCTGGCTGACATGGTGGACCCCCCACAATTGCGGATATCCTGCAGAATGGGTGCGCCTCACTACACGTTCTTGAAAACAACTGAGCGCTCGAACAACATGCCAATCTATAGTCTGTACCGACCAGTGGCTAGTCACGCACGTCGATCCATCGTGGCCTGTCTCTCAACTCAAGCAAATTCTCGTCCAGAGGTTCTCAAGGGAGCGCAAAACCGTGGAGAAGAGTCGGCGTACCATCCCTGTTTCTCCCCATAAGACCCGTCGGCGCTCTCTCTCGCCCATCACATTCGCTGCGCCCCGCAAACCTCGTCCGATAGTGACGGAGAACACGCCTTCGGTTGTGAGCGAGGAGGGACCAGAAGCGGCAGAGGAAACTGAAGAGCTTGACAGCGACGAAGAAGACGACGAGGTGGTGGACGTCAACAAGGCCTTGAGCGAGGCGCACCGCTACAAGTACAACACCCGGCCGTCAACTTCCTCTACATCAGACACTGTCTCCCGGCTCCCTCCTCCCGAGAGTTCCGGTACGTCGCAAGAAGTCGAGGGGTGCGTTCTTATCACCTTCTCCACGACCCAGATTTTGGAGGACCGCTTCTCCCTTGACTGGTATGACATACACCCCGGCGAGCTGCTCGAGCTGCACCCACTGGCCCACTCCTTCATCTCCCTGCCACGATTCTCGCTGGACGCATACATTGCACCGTACTTCGCGGCGAGAGTGTGGGCTCTCCGAGTCGTCGGGAATGCCTTGGACTCTACGCTCCGAGATCTTGGAATCCCACGCGATCATCAGACAGACGATGAGATCCCGGACGTCAGCCCGAGATCCCCATTGCTGCGCGACAGGAAGAAGAAAATCACGCTTGAATGGAAAGAGAGGTGGGCGGTTGTACATCAGGGTATCTTCTCCCTGTGCAAGGAGCGACATGTGAGTTTATTTCATGACTATATGCGGCCCAAACGTCGCATATTGCTTGACTCGCACTGGTCAGCGTGTGTGGTCACTGTGGGGCGACGATTATTCGAGGCTTTGCCGTCACGATAGCTCCGCGAATGATCATTGTACTCAAAGCTTTGTTCACAGGACACCCACGCGGCGTTCTCAGCACCTCTATCGACCATGCTCGCTATCCGAGACAGCACCCATTTTGATCTGCCACTTCGTTCCTCTCGCCGCACACGCTCTCTGCCCACACCGGGCCTATCATCATCCGGGCCTGACGTTATCTGTGTCAAGTTCCTCGATGCAGCTACGACTCCGCCGCGACACCGAACCATGAGCCAGGACTCCCTGTCCGTACCATTCGAGCGAAACTCGTCGGAGGCATCATCCCCACCAGCACGGGACGCGTGGTGGCGACGCGGATCACGCGAGGCGTCCGCGACTTTGAGCAGTAGTCTTGCGTCTAGCGCGAGTGCGCTCATGGGAAGCCCCAGCGGTTCCGGTCTTGCCGAGATGTGGGACGCACTTGCACGACGAGGGAGCCGTTCCGGGCTGGATGATTCC